CAAATTGGAAAACTTACCGGTTTTCACGTTCATCGTTGGTGTCCAGTCTACGCCCATGGTAGCGTAGAGAAGGTTTGCGAGTAAGAGGAACAATTCTGCTGCTGGTTTTTATAGCGTTTAAACGAAATGCCAGTCCATCACGGTGCTCATCACACGGCATACATTTCGGCAGGTTTCCTCTATAGTTCAGCAATAACCATCTGTATTCCTCAGTGGAGAGAAGCCCTGAGTAAATCTCCTGCACAGCAACACAAAGCAATGACCCAAATAGAGAACTCCCCCGGACCTATCGACCCTGAGTCTAAGAACTAAGTTCTAAGCTACCATATCACTGCAAATTTCATCTTCATAAGTAACCATGCATTGATTGATATCTGTACTTTCAGCTCCAACGGATCCTGGCACGGACGGTCAAATAGATGATTCCTATCTTCGTACATCTCGCCTCTCTGAAAATGCAAGAAGCAAATACCCCTTAGCATTGTTAAAGTTGATGAAAAGATATGCCGAGGATCGCATTTGGGCAAATGATATCGAGGAAGGCAAGAGTGTGCTGAGGTTCTTAATAACTTTAATGGAAGGAAGAAAAAGTATACAAGCCATGAGAAAAGGTGAGTTTTCAAATGGAGCTATTTAACCTTTCTTATATTCCTCAGAGTATTGTTTCAGAGGCGAGCTGAAGGAGAACAAATATCTCAATACAACGGCGCTAATGTTTCTTGTATATCTGTAGACGCAAAACGAAGGCTAGGTTTTCTAGACAAAGAAGGATTCGACAGATTTGGAAATAATAAATTGTTTGCCCCGCTGATGAAATGGGAACGCTTAAAAGAGAACGCTGAAGACATCGAAAAGTATGCCAAGGAATACCAAGATGCTTTTAACAGGATTCAAAGATCAATTAGACAACAAGAGGATATTACTGACATACTAAAGGACTTAGCGCCCAAGGCAGCCAGAATACAGGTCAGCAATCAAATAAAACGACTAAAAACGGCAAGGGCAGTCGATGAAAGCGAAAAGAGGCTTTATGTCGAGGTAAGGTGATGGTTTGTGAAACTGACATTTTAAAATCGTATTGCGTAATTTTTGGTTTTTGACATTGAAACTTGAACATTTACTCGGGGATTACACTTTTTAGATACCTGCTCCTTGGTATTAAAACAGCCTTTTTTCAGATTTATTCTAGAACTAATTCCTTTTCTTTTTTCCATTTTACCATCCCCATTTGTTTCATTAAAATTGACATTCTCTAGCAACTCATTTATACTTTCGTTAATTAACAATTTTTTTCTTTTTTTGATTCATACATTCATTTCTCCATTCATTTGTCCATTCATTCATTCATTTATGCATTTATTCGTTCAATGATGTATTTATTCATTTGGTCCTAAAACATTCTGTTTAATTTATTTTTCCTTTCATTCATTCGTCAATTACTTTATTGATTCATCCAAACTATCGATCAGCAAGTCAGTTGATTCATTATTCATTTTCAGTTTTAAATTATCTCCATTTTTTGTATGTTTATTGATTTGATGCTCAACACTCAATTTTTTGGGGGGAGAATTTAAATGTTACTGAACGAATTTTTATCAAGAAGCCTACCTTGCCTTTTTTTACTCTCTCCTGTACCCGATTAGTCCATCGCTCAGGTAGAAAACCGCATGAGCAGCACTTTAGAGACGCTAAAGGCGACACTGGTTGAGTTACAAGCTCAAAAAAATATGGAGCATTTCTTCGCAATACTCCAGGGAGTAACAGGCTTCGTAGGTGCACTTATAGAAAAAGATCCTGGTGCTGTTCTTGGTTCCGCCTTTAGTCTTATTGAGAACGAGGCTCTGAGGTGCAATAGAGGTACGCTTCAACAAAACAAGGCCAAATTAGAAAAATGGGTGAGATTTGGAAAGGCATACAAGGCTCTGGCAGATCCTAGTGACTTGAATTTTGACGAAATGGATATACAATCTGTTCCAGAAATAATGGAGGTAATATAGTGCACATGTTTCTTTTTTAATTTTCCTTTTCTTTTCCATCACTATATCAACACATCCGCATTCCATAGGATGTGGAAGTGGATGTACCACAGGGGTATCACAACGTTATCTTTGTGGCTCTCTATGGATGGAACTCAAAGCTAACTTATTATTGGCGATGTAATACAGATAAAGTCAAGTCAACTAGAAACTTGATGGGCGTTAGCTGAGCGATTAAATCAGTACTTACATGTAACACCATACCTTTAATTAATTACATCCGTGTTGTATCGTTTTCCATAACCAAAGGCGGATCTGGAAATAAACAAGGAAGCGCTTCTGGCAGACCTGGTTTGTTTGCTGGACGTTGATCTACCACCTCAAGTGACGGCAGAATTCAAGAGCGAAATCGAGAAATTCTTCATCGATGGTGGAACAAGGATTGATCTCATTGCGCAGGTCATGGAGTTAGACAACAACATTGGCACGTATAATTACGACATCATCAATTTAAAAGAGACAGAAAAGCAAATAAAAGCTGTCAATAAAGCCAAGGGTAAGAATTCTCTTCTTCAAGAAACTATGTTGTAGCAAGAGAATATAAACTGCTCTTGATTATGGTGGATCCCGGATTTCTTGTGTTCGCCGACGTTGTGGCGCTTTTATTAGCGTGGTAACTATCAATGCTACGGTAGTAAACTTTCATTGTATTCTTATGACCATTCATATGTTCGCCCGTAAGCACAGTTCGATGAGTTGCATAGCTACGTATGGAAAAGAAACTAGATTTAACCCCTAAGCGCACGAACTGACCGACGACTCAAACGCGGCACGAGGAAAGGAAAATGGAAGAGCCCTCCCTCCCCCCATCCCCGCGATTTTTGTCATGTGTCGATATTCTAAAATTTGTCATCCAATAATGGGTAGCACGATATGCATTAATCAGGTTGAGACAAAAATTATGGGTTTGGGCTATGCTCCTATCGCATTATTAAGGGTTGGGAATTCATCATTTTCTAATCATCACAACTTTATATTTACCTCAACTGACAACTTTCCAGGGACCCCAATAGCCGACAACGTACGGCAGGAGTTTATTGACAACCTTTTGAATATCTATGAAGAACTGGAGACCAGTTTTTCCAAGCAGCTGTACTTGTTCTACAAGGGTTTTGAGTTCCGGTCCCTGTGGAACATGGACAAAAAGATGGCAAAGTTTCAGCGTCGCGCTGCAACCCTCACAAAAGGCTCTGGACATCTTCAAGGAGTTACTTCCTTGACAAAGGCTTTACAAGAAATAAACAACATTGAAATGGCAGCTAGAAGCTGTTTTACGACTAAAAAGCCCAAAATTGGTATATACAAATGGTCTTTTGACAAGACGAAAGATCCAACGGTATGGACCTCATTCTTTTCTCTTGTCGACTGTACTGTGGGCTTTGTTCAGTAGTCCAGTGGTCAGTGCACTGAGCTCCGAGTCGGACGACCTGGGTTCTAGTCCTGGCCGGGGCAAGGCGTTGTGCCCTTGAGACGTGCGAGAAAAAAAAATGCGAGCTCCGATTTTAGACTTAGCTAAATCTATATTATTCTTATTTTCCCTCATCCTTGGCAGCTATTTCGAAGTCCCCCCTTCCCCTTACACACTGTTGGCGACAACTGATCCCTCCTCTGTTTCTCCTGAAAACTCTATGATTTCCACAAAAATCCTCCATTGATAAATAAACAAGCATCCCCGCAATGATATTTTGTAGCACAACTTATTAACAACTCCGAATTCTCCTACTTGATCCTCTCGCCTCATTCATTTAGATGTTCAAGGAGTTATACAAGAGTTACACGACGTTTTCCTTGGACATTGATCAGGCCTGTAAAGATTGCTACAATGTGCGCCTCTTAAAGGTACATAGATACAGAGCTGTTTAAGGAATGTGGTAAACTTAACAGATTTGAATACAACTACTTGCATCGACAGGTTACTTTGGTCTTGTCAACTGCGTTGATAACGTGAATTGACCACCATAAAGAGTTTCAAAGCTGACGTTTCGAGCGTTAGCCGTTCGTCATTCGCTCTGACGAAAGCTAACGCACGGAACGTCAGTTTCCAAACCCCTTTACGGTGGTCATTTTAAGTTAGTTGATAATACCGAATTACCCTGTTACACTCTCCCACCAGCGCAGCACCACAGCTTCTTCAGAAATTTACCTCTGTTTAGTTACTTGCATCGACGTTGTCATTTACCGTCCTATGTTGAGGGTTTTGCAAAATATTCCAAGATCATTACTGATGGAAGGCTAAATAGGATTTATCTTACACAAGCTTCACTTTCCTTCAAAAGAACTTGAAGCGTTTAAATCTAAATTTTTTTAATCTAACTTTTTTCGCCTTATAAATTTCGATGTTATTTCTGAATTTTGTTCCTGAAGACCTCATTTAACAGTTGCATTTTGTGCTTAAGATTTCATTGCGTGAAAATAGAAGAGGGCTTAGTTCGAATCAATTATCATTCATGGATATCGAGAACGAATGATCGTGCTTTTATTGAATAATGATAAATATCAGTAACACCTGTCCTCCAATAGATTATATGTAAGAACCAATCAAAATAGGTGTATAACTAAGCCTATCGTATAGAACGGAATAGACTACGGGTAGCGTAACCGATAAGATTGCCATATCTGGATAGAAAGGTAGTAGTGGAATTCTATTGATGGAAAGTAAATATAAAAAAGTTACTGAGGTGAATTTTTGGCTTTCACCACTGTAGTGTATTAGGACCCAGACTCCCCCTCAGTGGGGCATGTAACGCCTGACTAGTGTTGTTGTTGAGGACCACGAGTTGGATAGGCAGAATAAAGCCATCGTTAAGTCCAATACGTTGTAATCCTCCTATTTACCGACCAGATCGGACACAACAACCACGAGCAAATAGGAATTTAAACAACAATGCATCAAAAAGAAGGATTCTCAGAAAGATGATTTAAAAAACTTTAATCATAGTGTAAATATTTTGTTATCTTTTAAAGATGTATGTGGAGCTATACGGTGCAGGCCAAGATCAGAGCGTCCCAGACAAAGTTCATCTAAAGCTCAGACCACTGGGAAGGTCTTACTTTAGGATTGGCGATGAGATCAAAGACTTCCATCAGCCAATGGCCTCTTGGCGATACTTAAACTTCGATCGTTTCAAGATAACTAATGAGGACAAGTGCAGACAGGAAAAAGAACAAGGGAAGGGTAAGTGGCTAAATATGTTTTAAATATTTAAATAAACCTTCCAAACTGTTAGTTTTTACAATTTCCTTGTTCACTTATTCACTTGAGTATTTCAACGGAAATGAAAAAAAGAAAATTATAAAAATAAAAATGATATATGGCCATCGATCTGTGAAACAACAACGTGATGAAATGAACTTGCTTTCCTAAGGATGCTAAAAATGACAAGTTCTTGATCATTTGACACAATTTGATGAATTGCGAGTTTCTCCTCACCCCTAATTCTCAGGGGGAAAAAAATTATCTCAATTTGCGGTAATGTCGCAATCTGATTGGCCAATTTGCCGTTATCGATAAGAGTACAGACAACGCTGCTTGCGTCAGCGTGTCACGCAATGCCTTTATCAGACCTTAAACATGGATGACTTATTTCAATTGCCTTCGATGACTTGCGCCTCGTGAGTCCACAACATTTTGATCACTGTGATAACGAATATCGTTGTCGATAAGAGTATAGACCACGCTTTATCAAAGTCGATTTGTGAAATTATCTTTTGTCGAATAAAATATTGGATTCCTAATCAGGGGAATTACTTTGAAGCCAAACGGACATGCAAAGCGTACTGATTTTAATAGGCCTTACCATCTCAGCATTATCTGCTAGGAAAAGAATCTACCCTAGCGCGAGCTGGTGTTTGTGGGAAAAATGGTGAGCTCTTATTAAGAGCAACTACGCATGCGTTGTCTTAATTTCAAATGGAAAAATTCAACAGTTGAACTTTTTTAACCCTAGATGGCGGTTTTTACTGTATGACAAAAGACGACAGGCGCCTGACAGGGATGTGCTGTCATCCGCTCATAGCCGCACCTTGTGATGACGCTTTGGCGGGAGAAGAAGAATGTCGAAGTGTATTTGGAACATACCGCCTTTCCATACCAATTGATCCGACATTGGACTGCAGTGCACAAATAACTTACAAAAACTGCAAAAATCTGAATGTAAGTTTGCCCAACTGGCTTCAGTCGTTCGATGGCTAGACATAGCTATCCCATAGATGGCCGAGAACGTTCTATTTCTTTTATACAATTCTCCACTAAATGGCGTTATCCACCCTCTGAAAGGTGGGGCCTGGTGAAAAGGGAAGGAATAAAGGGTTTGGTACTGGTGAGAGGGGGATGTCAAATTTGATCATTTAAGGGGGAAGGGGCTAGTAACGGTGATTAAGGCACCAATGCAATCATTGTTCATCTCCTAAGGGGGTCAGAGGACTTAAGGGGGATCATGGTTTTCAGGGAATAATGGATGGGGACCAGCAAAGTATAAAGAAAAGTGACACTCAACGAGTGGGGGATTATCAGAATAACAGAGCCTTAGGGGGGGAGTCAGGTAAATGATATTGTGGCATCATCAAAATCCTCCGAACTAATCTTGTGCCCAGATCTTATTGTATGACTGAAATGTTACCACGCTTGACAGTGGAAGGTCTAGGTATGACCCTTCCTCTGACTCCCCAATTTACCATAACGATTTTATTTCCTTATCTTTTTTCTATTCATTTATTTTTTCTCAGCGAGAACTATTCACCCACATGAATGTTTGGACAACTTTCATGTATTGGCCCGAAGCATACCCACAGACACCGGAGGATTGTGGGATTCAAAAGCGCAATGCCACAGTCGAACCGGAAGTCGAATTATTGGATTCCCCTCTTATCCTAAGACGAGACGCTGATGCCGATTTAAACAACAATAAAAGGAAATGAACTCATATACTGCCATTGAAATAAACAGACGAATTTAAAAATGCGTCTTCTCTCGTTAAAAATTTCCGATCTGACTTATGACGTCATGCTGTACTCAATTGGTTCAAGATTTCCGAATTGGAATATGAAGATTTCGATTCCTTTGGGTAAAGGAAAACAGACGAGAATGGCTTTTTTTTTATTATTATTATTATTATTATTATTAGGGGCGTCGTATGAAACTATAAATATTAGTCCACTTTATCGCCTGTACTGAGACTCGCAGTATGCAGTCTAAACATCGTGATCCACATCTGAAGGGACTTCATCGTGAGACAAACGACTATACTTCACCTAGAGAGAAATCTAAGCCAACATCAAATACTGATAAACAGGCTGCAAAACCCCCAGCTCGTACCATTCCATCCTCGTTTGCCTGATGAAGTTATCACCCCGTCATCACACCTCGCCACGCTACGTCCTACTGCTCAATATGTATAGTAGTTCCAAGGGATAAGGGTCTGAGTTCGTAAGTCTTTGTAAAACGCTGATGAGGGGGTACGTCAAGACACAAATAAACTGAGATATGAAGTATACCACTCCCCAAAAGATTGCACGTATTTCAATGGAACAGAAAAAAAAAATAGTGCCTTTCTTGCGCACTGATTGGCTACTTTGGAAGTGATCAGCAAGTGCCACTCACCTCCGAGCGGCCGAAGAAATGAAATCGCGCGTCAACAATTTAATTTCTGACCATTCTTTTATATGTTGACAGAAAAAGAAAACTAATTTGGTTTCAGTGTGGTACATATTAAGACAACTATTCCCCTATTCTTCGGTGAATATTTGTTAAATATAAGATAAGGCTACATGACTACTCAAGGTTCCTCACAAAACTTAGCAATAATTGAAACACGATGTCATCAACCTAAAGACTAACAAACGTCAGCGGACAAAAACTGAGTAATCCGTGTATAAACCACACCCATTTTATTCACAAAACAACTTCAGATGTTATAAAATATACTAAAATACGTTTTGATAGTCTCAGCAGGATTAACACTTCATGGTCGGGTACTGCTTAACGGGAACAACCCACTTACAGAATACGTGATACATGTTTGAAATGTGTAACTATTGACGACATTCTAAACGCTTTTGGTACATTTAGTGAAGGGCGAACGGCTTTGAAAATTCCTTTTTCGGAAATGTTGAAGTCAAATTGTCAAGCGATTCTTCCAAAATATAACATACAATGATTTTTATATTCATACATGACAAAAAACATGACGTGTTTTTCATTTTTTTGTGTTTTGTTTGTTTGTTTGCCTTTTTACCAAAAATTTCATTACAAAGCATAAAAAAACAATTCACCTTTATAGCTAAAACGTTTACTTTTGCAACAATTTGGTTTTTCTTAAAAAAAAAACCCGTATAAATGACTTTGTCGTGCATTTAAAGGTAATCTCAAGACCTCAAATTGCACAAATATCGCTTTTATAGCATGAGCAAAATCGACTAGGGCTTAGTCAGGGTAAACCAAAAAAGAACGCTTCGAAAGGGACCAAAGGCTTGTGGGATAGCTTCAATACAGCTTTTTGTTTCTCGATCGTATCAGTTCATAAGTGAAATTAGTTTAGAATGACTGTATCACTTTGAGGTTATAAAACTCTCCTAGCTACGCTAACTGAACACCTTTTCGCTGTCATCAACTGGCATCTTGATCGTCATTTTCTTTAATAAGATTCAGTTCCACAGCAGTCTCCAGTGCTCTTTCAGCGCACGCTTTAACCATTGACATGTCAGGATCATTGTCTTTAGAGAAAACCATCAGGATCTCGAGAATTTCACTTTCGATCAGCTGCGATAAACGACAAGAAAAGAAAGATATTAAAAAAAATGCACACGGATACATTAAATGACACTTAGGGTGTAATAAACTGAGTCAGTCGGTCAGTCAGCTGATCTGTCATCCTGTAACTTTGTCAATCTGCCAATCCGTCAATCTGTCCATCAGTCAAAAAGTCAGTCACTCTATCAACGAGTCAGCCGGTAAATTAGCCTGTCGGACAATTAGTGTGTCAGTCAGTCGGTCAGCCTGTCGATCAGAGTCAGTCCATCGGTCAGTGAGTCAGTCAGTCTCTCAGCCAGTGGGTGGGTAAATTGGTCTGTCGGTAAGCCAGTAATCATGTCAGTCAGTAACTTAGTCGATCAGAGTCAGTCAGTCAGTGAGCCTATCGATCTGTCAGTCGATCAGTCAGTCAGTCAGTCTCTCAGCCAGTCAGCAGGTCAGTTAGTCAGCAAGCCAATCAGCTAATCAGTCTGTCCGTCAGCCAGTCAATCTGTCAGTCAGTCAGTCAGTCTGTCAACTAGTCAATCTGTCATTCAGTCAGTCAGTCAGTCAGTCTGTCAACTAGTCAATCTGTCATTCAGTCAGTCAGTCAGTCAGTCAGACAGTCAGTCTGTCAACTAGTCAATCTGTCAGTCAGTCAGTCAGTCAGTCAGTCAGTCTGTCAGCTAGTCAATCTGCCGGTAAGTTAGTCGATCAGTAAGTCAGTTTGAGTCAGTGTGTCTGTTTATCAGTCAGTTCGTCCTTCCTCCCATCATTCGTCTGTCTGCAAGTTCGCCCGTAAGCAAGTGCATCAGTCACTTTAATTGCGGTTAAATGTGCCTTGATTCAGTTAATCTTTAAGTCGGTTTTGCTGTCCATTTCTCATACGAGAGATAACTTTTATTCGACTATCATTCAGCTAGCTGTAAGTCGGCCCAGCGAATGGTGATTGAATCAGCCTAAAAAATTCAGGCAATCGATCAAGCAAATCCTACCTTAGTAGCTATGTCCTTGTTCGCAGATATCATGTTGGCTGCAATATGAGCTCCTCTATAAAAGAGAATGGCGACACCATTTGCGTTAACTTCGTCAAAAGTCCGAAAAGAAATTATCATTCTCGGAGAGTCAGCGCTTGAAGAGAAAAGTCCAACGTTACCTGTGCCTGAGCTCTTTCTTCTCGGAAACCAACAGCTGCTTCTGGATATCCATGTAAGATGAGACCTGCAAAGTAACGTAAAATTATTGAGACCAAATTAAGGTATAAGGTTACAACAAGAGAGAAAACGTGTCAACACAAGATACACTAGCTGCCATACCTTTATAATCTGTTTGCATACTTTCTCGCTCGAGGAGAGGACTGCTAACGCACCAGAAGCCGCCCTACATAGAATTTAGAAACAAAGATGGCTTATAAAATTGGCTAAAATTATAGCCCTTGTTTGCTCGCACCTTGATGCCCTACGAAAATTACCATCCGTCATTAGTCTGCGTTTATTATTTGCTTTCTTCACTTTAATTTTTGGTATTTCCCCTACACCGCCATGAGGTTAGCAAAAAAAAGGCTATGCTCTCAGAGAACTTTCAGCAAAGTTAAGTAGAAAACGAAAAAGAACATAGCTGCGTTACATATCGTGGAATTTTTTTTCGACGAATCTGTTTGAAGTGGAAAGTAACAAAGGTCAATCATACCGATACAATAATCCAAGAAAAAAGCCAAATCTGCCACACAAGGAACTCCATGCCTTCCCTTTTGCAATAAGTTAATGAATTCGTTAAAATCTACGGGGAACTTTGGCAGAGACTCAGACTTAATTTGATGGCAGCATAACGTCCTCTGCTATCTTAGGATTCTGAAAGTTAGTCCGGTCTGCGGCTCCACTTACGCTCTCCCAATTGAACCCCTCCTGCAGCAGCTGCCCTTCGCTTACCGTCTAACATCACAGCGAGCAAATATCAGGGTAATTTTCAGAAACGCGCACCACTGAAATACAACGGGCAAATATGAATATCTCACCGTGACAGTTCAAAGTCTTCTTCGCCTGACAACAGAGTCAAAAGCTTCACTCTTTCTGTAGGGGCGTCTTCTTTTTCGTACATTTTGAATACCTGTAGCAAAGCAAAAAAAAGGAGGGAACAGCAAAACCAATATACCGTTGACGTAGTAAAGTTCTGGTCGAGGAGCTTATAACTGGGAGCTTATAGCTGAAGGGACTCCATAGATTTTTTTTTTTTTTTTTTTTTTTTTTTGGGGGGGGGGGGGGGGGGGGGGGAAGCGGGGGGGAAGCGGGGGGGTGAGGGGCTCATGAAATACTTTCGTAACCCTTCACACCTTTGGTATTCATATTCTCCACACTGTTCTCTTTATTCATCCTCCAATGCTGACAAGGAGAATTCGTTTAACAATCAAAAGCTTCCTAAATTGCGATTATTTTCTTTATTCTCATGACTTTAATGTGTGATTTAAGGATGATATTGTGAGGAGAAATTAGAAGCTAATGAATCTTAGGGGTTAAAGGATTGATCGTCACCCAGATTTGATGAATATCGCGTACAGTATACATTTCTTTGTTTGAAAATCTATGATATTTAAAACGAAACTAAATTTCTCCTCCTACCTCTTCACAAAGCACCATGTTACACATACACTCAGTTGCGGCTCTTTTAACCAGATCATGTTCATCAAACATCAGACTTTCGATCAATGAAAAGCCTTGCTCCTTCACAATATGCCGCCTACAATCACAAACAGAAAAATCTAATGGAAAAAACACCACAGCAGTAGCTCCTTTTGTAAGTGTTAAAGGACTAAGAAAAAGATACGGTACATAATGATAGCGTTACGATAAAGAGCCGGATAAAATCAGAAGTCTGGAATCTTTCCCTCTGAGCTAAAGTGGTCTTGCGAACTGTCTAGGTGTTGCAGTTGTTTCGAGAAAGATGAGTCTTGACAATTTGTTTTTCTCGATGGAAGTTCTTGCTGGTTTCTGGGGCGCAATATCTTCCAGAGAAGGTGCATTCATAGGTTCTCGCACCCGGTGGTTAGGATGGATTTTTCTTTGCTACTTTTACTAATTCTCACGAAATAATGTGAGAGAGCGGAAAAGAAGGCGTTTAACTCTCGTGGTTTTATTCCTTTCTTGTCTTACCTGACTTCGTCGTTCATTTGCGCCAGGTTTGTCAGAGCCATAAGTGATTCAAATTGTTGCAAGGCCTGCAAGGTTAATAAAAGTACAGTAGTCAGAAATCTTTAAAAATTTCCAAGAAAATACCACATTTCAAGCGAGGAAGAAAATGTCTCACCGTTTTAGAAGGATGCAGTAACTTCAGCAGAGGACGAACCAAGCCAAAAGACTGTCAAGAAACGAAACAAATCAGTAGATAATTGTATCAGCCCCGAGTTAGAAATAAATTTATTGACATAAAGCTTTCTTAATTAAAATAAGGGTAGGATAACTTTCACGAGAGTGAACGTGTAGTTAGGAAGGCAAGACTGCTAATTCTTCTACTTGCGAAAGGATCTTTTAACGCGATTCTCAACGAGTTCGCCTTCTAGAGAAAATTATATTGTTTTTTTAAACGTTTTGTCGAAGCTTGAAAGACAATTAGCCCTGCAAATACGAACGCAAGCGTGGTTGGGGACTCTTCTTCAAAGGGTCACACTGTTAAAAACTTGAATTTGCGACAAAACTTTCAGAGCAACGATCCCTTAGCCTAGACGAAGCACCACGTCACAACTATTTCCAAACGTAGACTACGAATTAACAAGCATATCCATTACTCTTTGTCCAGGAAATGCGACTTCCGGGTTCATAGTGATAGCAATTTTAGCCACAGATTGCGCAGAAAAGTCTGCTCCTTTCTCTGTGTTTTGAGCAGCAAGGGAGATCAACGCCTAGAAAAAAAGACGAAACAGTTAGCATCATGTGGCATATATAAGCATACTGAATGAGAGGATAATAAAACTTGCTTCATGCAAGACGAAAATCTTCATTTCTCGACAAGGTAACGATATTTTTATCCGTTTTTGGTGTCTTTGAAAATTGTCTGTCATGAGAAGATTAAACTTTGAGTCAGCAATTCACTGAGAAAGACAAAAATTTTCTGGATTCGAACAACAAAAGATAGAACACCCATGCTTAAGTTTAAGGCTGAAATAAGAGAACACCTTATTTAGAAGCACCCTCCCCTCCCTTCTCTTACCTTAACTCCGCCTTGCTGCACAGTAACACCTCTGTGTTCTTGCTCATTTGTTATCCCCATAAAAACTCTGAGGAAAAACAATAAAAAGTTATAGCAACTGATTCTGCTTACACTATCGTTAAGATCCTGGTCACAACTCACATCGGGTAATTATTTAATCATTTAACTTCCATGAGTGACGATAAAAACCTTAATCTAGAAAGGGAAGAAACGCACCTTGATATCATTTCTCTACTGGTATTACTCTCTGTATCAGACAGGTTAACAAGCGCTGATAATATACCTTCCTGTTGACAAGGAAAGTGCAATCACTGATGAATCTCATTATCATGGAAATAGAGATTATTCCATGGAAATGCAAATGATTTTTATTTATGAGTTGCGATGCATTAAAAAAAACGAACGAGTGAGTTTCTTTAATGCATCACGTGAATAAAAGTCGTTCAAGCACTTTCCATGGTATGATGTTTTTATTTGATACAAACTTAGATTTTTCACAATTAAATTCAAAGATTGGAGCGAACGAAAGTGAAACTACATCCTTCGTCCAATCAGAGACGAACGACGATACTTGACAGTATAAATCTCAGTATGTATGAAATAACATTTTCTTCATAAAATTGTATATAACTACACCTGCGTTAAACTAGAAATGAACAATTATTGAATTTGGTTTTCGAATAATAATACGTATGAGGAAAATTATCATCTCACCTCGACAAGTTTCTTGATTCTCTTTTTGACGTATTCCTCGCCATCCTACAAAAAAGTCAATCAACTGATCGCTTGATGAATTGAGATAAAAAGTCACTTTAAAGGTTGGCGTAATTTTTTGCAATTAAAAAAGAGTGCAACAGAGTAATCAGACTATCAAGCTTTTTTGAAGAAATTACACGCACAATAGAGCTACCATTCATTTTTCACGAGCTGGGGCCAAAGGAAACAAATCTGAGTTCTCAAGGCCCACACGTTCACTTCGGAATTCGCCGTTCAATTTGGCGAGTTAAGCCAAAGTAATCTCGAATGCTCGTTCAGATAAAAAGTTCATAGCACTACTGGAGGCAACAGCAACGTCTTCTTGCTGTCGTCGAGCTCACAGACTTCAAGGAATCAGATTATTAACGGGCACAGAAAATAACACCATAGGGTAAACCATAGAGTACAAAATGTAGAAAATCTTTACCTAAAACTCGATTGAATCGAACCTCTAACCAGCTCGTGTATTAACCAGTTTCCCTTAAAGAGAACTTTGTTGTTATTAAATGTCAGTTAGAGCTCGAATCTGTCATTCATTTTCCTGAAACTCGAGTTAGCGGGATTCTAATTTCCTCACGCTGCCTTCGAAACTCTCCAACAGGTTTTTATGCTCACCTTTTCGGAGAATTTTCATTCTGTCATTCATTTTCCTGAAACTCGAGTTAGCGGGATTCTAATTTCCTCACGCTGCCTTCGAAACTCTCCAACAGGATTTTATGCTCACCTTTTCGGAGAATTTCGGCAACTTGACTTTGGCAAATTCACCAAGCTGTTTCATTTCATCCGGAATTTCTGGTTTGTCAAACGTGTTTGTAAGGTTGACGAGCGTTTGACAAACTCCGTATAACAGTGAGCCATCTTTAGCCTGAGATAAAATATATGCGTAACACATTACTGTTTAGGTCACCACTCTGTCTCTCACGTACACAAAAGCGTCTGCCTCAACAAAATTTCCGATACCGGAAGAATATTTCCTTAAGTTTTCTTACAGGCCTCTTCCGTGCATCAAAACGCGCATTTTCAGTGTTTAGACATGTAAAGTATTTCAGTTTTATCTTTTACCTTTGCTAGTTCCATGAGTGACCTGAGGGCCTGCTGATCTTCAAGGAAAGTCTCCTGCAATTGAAAAGAAAGAAAAAATTATACGGTTTTTTAGGGGTTCAAAGAATATTTGTACACGAAATTTAAGAATATCGAGGTTTGATGGATAGTGATGGTCTGATCTTGGAGACTTGTGTCCGATTTTGGATATAAGTGTCCAATTTTAGACATAAGAGTCGATCTGAAACACCACTGTCTGATTTTGGACACTATTTTCCGATTTTAGACACTAAGTTCCGAATTCAAACATTAGTATCAGATTTTAGATATTAGAGTCGATCTTAGAAACTGGTGTTCGATTTTCAGTTATTGTCCGATTTTAAACATGTCCGGTTTTAGGCATTAGTGTCCGATTTTGAACACAAGTGTCCGATTTTAGACACAAGTGTCCGATTTTGGACGAAGACTCAACATTACCTTACCTTAACATCAGCGTCCATAGTAAGGAAGGACAATCCCTCAGCTGCCCATTTACGCAGCTCTAAATCTTTCTTAGATTTTGTCAGGAAACTGAAAAAGGAAACAAACCAGAAGACGTCGCCATACTCATTGTCACTTAACGATCCATTCATCTAGGTGTGTTCGGGCTGAACAACCTACTCACAGATCCGAACTGACTTTTTACTGCCCTTTCAGAGTCTTTAATGTGCCTTTCTCTACCCAGGAGTAAAAATGAATACCAGGTAATTGTCGAGGAAGCCTGATGAAATGCTAGGGGAAGGGAGGGGAGGGGTTACCCCCAGTCTCTTCATTCTAAGAAAACCGGTATAAGCTCCAACTGGGAGGGCCACTTGGCCCGAGCACAGATTTTGCCATATCTACCTTCCTGACCTGTGACAAGCCATAGAGTACTGATATATACGATACTTATTTACCACACTCACCTACGCACTGATTTGTACAACTTTAATGTGGCTCCCTCTACGAATGTCTGATCATTCACAGTCCCTCCTCCCGTGGTACCAAGTTTACAAAGACCCTAAAGAGAAACAAGACCTCGCACTCAAACAACAGTCGCCTTCAAGACTACACAGTGAAATAAATAAACTCACCACCAAGGCTCTGACTCTTATACTGTCATCCTTTAAATGATACAAGTCCTTCAAAACAGGTAACGCCTGTTAAGAAAAATCACAAGTCTGTTTAAACCTGAAACCACTTAGTTGAATATCAACTCCAAGTTGGCTTCTCGCAGGTGAATAACGCTTGCTAATCACTTCCGAACTAGTCAATCTTTTTGCGCGTTTCCTACTGCCCATACACGCTCTAATTTTTATCTGACGCCTGCTCCGTAGGCAAGCTAAGCTTTCCTACGAGGCTATGCACTAAAGAACTTCATAACCATTTACCTTTGTGTTCAGTACTGTGCTTAATTTCTTTTCAGATGCTCCTAACGCTAATGTTTCAGATGCAACAATCTGTCAAATAAACGAACAAATAAATAAACAAAAAATTACACGCATAAGTAAATGAAATCTTGATGCCGGAAATATAGCAGTAGAACTCGATAGCTCGAATTGTCAAGGGAAATGGTTCACTGTTTCAGATGGCAGGAAGTTCGAGCGAGATGATGAGCCTGAGAAAAAAGTCTTAAAATTCGAGTTTTAAATATTAAGTTTGCGTCAAAGACGTTCTATCATACAAAACAAAATATAAACCAAACTTTACGATAAAACAAAATATGTTACGAAAGAGGCTTTCTTCATCTTTTTCTTCGTCTCTATCTTTCCTCTAAATTGAGGCATGTAACACTCATTATCATTAGCCAACAACATTATTTTAAATCATAACACAATGTTTACCTAAAAAAACAAGAATTAAAGGAAAAGGTTCAAACCTGAGACACGCGGTCTTCCCTTTCCGCAAGTGCGACCATTTTACCCAAAAATTCTTCATTGCCAAGAACAGTGGCTGCCGCTTCCTGTACTCCCTAAAAAGATGGGATGATCATGCAAAGGAATGAATTTCCTCTAGAACTAGTTTATGGTTCGTTGACCAGCTCTACTAACCTCTTTGCTCTGAGGAAATCAATTTTAATTCATTGCGAAAAAAAATTGGGAAAACTTGGTGTTAAATCAATGTCACACATTCTTGCTTACGATTGCAAGTCTCGTCACTAGTACCTCTCCAAAATCAGGAGTATGGTACTGGTATCAGTAAACGTTCATGGAAACGCGACGAATTAGTGATGGAAGGGGAGAAGACCTACGGTGGACTAGTATTTCGTCCACTGGGTAGCAATACTCCTTGTCGCTTTCTGCTGATGAAACCGACATACGCTCCGCGCATAGAAAACATGCGTAGATAGCCAGTAAGATTCCAGACTTTCGGCCAACTAACGCACGAAGTCTGAAGGAAATATGGTTTACAATGACGCGCGTTGCCTCGATGAGATAAAATTCTGTTGATGTTGTTTGTCTCACTGCTGTAGACCAGCGCTTCTCAACCTTACTAGTGTCCTAGTTTAAGTTTTATTATATGAAGCTAACAAAGTATCTGCACGAGTATCAGACCTGGAAAAGACAACTTAACGCTGTTGCTCCTTTGATGTGCGCTTCCGGGCTGCTTTGATTGAGATACTGGCTGTAAAATAAAGTCACACTCAGTTAAAATGCACTGAACATCTCGTGTGAACAATAGAAGTGCATTTAAAAAACAAATAGGGAAAGTTTTATCGTCACATGCACCGTGCACTTTAATCTCACCACCTCCCTCTAACGCAACGCGTTCGATCTCTTAGAGAGAAAATTAAAAAGCGCTGCGTAAGGAGACCGAGCGATGGCTGCGACGAACAATGAAACAGTTTCCAGCTGAGCGTCGAAAAACCAAATCCCAATTTGAATTATTTCAAAAACCAATAAAAACAAAGGTTGACGTCATCATTAACCAATGAGAACTCAAAGTAAAAGCAGGCAACTTGCTTGAAGCGCGGGAAAGCGCGAGTGACTAAGTTGAGAGTGGTTTTACTGTCGTTTGTGAAGGCAATTAGTAACTGTACCTGATAGCTGCCGTTGCATCTTCCATAAGAGGTTCTTTTTCCTTTTCATGATAGCTGAAAGAATGGTTCAATAATTTAAGATTCTCATGAAGGAAGTGGAGGCAAAGAAAGTTGTGTTATCATCAAAATACAGTTCTGAGGAGAAGTTCATAGTGGCAAGCAGAAACACCCCTATTTGTAACATAGGAATGGGTAAAATGTATGCCTTGCTTTTCTCCTTCCTGAAGAGTTTTCAGCCGATTTAGATTTTACTACCAGACAGGTGTATTTTTAAAACCCCCAACTAAGTCCGTACATATCTGTACGAGAATAACAGATGTCTAAAAGATACATTACTGTATGTTGCTAGACAGAATAAGAGAAAAAAAAAGTTTTAAACTTACCCAAAAGAATCCACCATCTTTGCCAGAGCAACAGAAATGTGCATTCGAGTATTGTTAGACACTGCAAGGGCTTCTTTCCCTTGAGACTCCAAAGGAGCAGTACTGGCAGCGATAACCATCAGCTTACGAATACCTACAGAAAGAAAGGACAGTTCTATGAGTTATGTCATAAAAAATCGTTCCTCATAATATTGTCCAGAGATGGGCAGGGGAAAATCATTTGAACAAAAATTTCCCAGCACTTGTGAAAAGGTGGTAACTGACTGGAATGCTTCTGATGACGGTAAATGTGGATGACTGAAAAAAGTATTCAAGGGGAGACGGTTCTAAGGTCAAGTTAGTGTGAAGTTTAATTTGACAAAGTGTGAGTTAGCAGTGTTGTACAGTAATACATACATGATCAAAGCCAATGAAAAAATGAGTTAAACAAGCATGTACATGTCAAATTATTATCACTTGTATCACCACATTCAACACCTTACCTCCAATTTTCACAAGTAGTTCAACAGCCAGTTTGTTTTTTGGAACAACTTTGATAAAAACATCAATCACTGCATCACGACTCTCAGCACCAACTCTACCATATATCAAAAGTTAAAACAAAACACAAATTAAAACAAATTAAAATAAATTTTTTTCTGTATTCCTCTGTATTCTTGCAGGCATATATATATATATGTTCCCAGGGGGTGGGGGGGGGGGGAGGGGGGGAGGGAAGAGAGCCAACCTATGGTCCTGAGACACCTAGTATTTTTTTCCACCCACTTGACTCATAATATAATTCTTGCAAATTTTGACACAAAAATTTAACTTTCTTAAGGTACAGGCCTACAACAAGTCAAAAGCTGGCCACACCCCTGCACATTTCTATACCTTTACTCTCTTAAGTCAACTGAAGAGTCTATTTCCTCAACACCTGCTTAAAAAAAACCCTGGCAATGACGGACACAAATAGTTACATGATAACTTTACATGTATTTATGAAAATGTTCATGAATTTGTAACTAGATTAATCTTGAGTAGTCTCGCAAGTCAAATATTTGTACAATTTTCATAATTATTTACTATCAACATAATCATATCTTAAGTTGCCAGATATAAACTGTTGTGTCCCACTTACTTTTCACTCATAGCAGCATCCATGAGCAATGTTAGAAGACCTTGAATTTCTTCCTTATTTTCTAAAATATTTAAATATGAAAAAAAAGTTAATAATGACACAACACTATCATAACCATACCTCAATTTCTGCCTGATTGTAAATATATACATGTATATTGCATGTGAGGGTAAATTTTATCTGAATGGACCAATCAGAGCACTTTGTTCCCTTCCCATTGCATGTCATGTTACAAATCCAAAAAGAAGGTACACATGTATAGACTGACAGATACATTCATTCTAGTGTGTACAGGACAATGCCTACTTTACAATTGAGTAATTTGCTGTGTACCTAATTCCTGTGGTGGTTGTTGATCTTTCATTTTCTTTTTGTCTGGTGGCAATGGAACAAGTGACTCCAGGGCTTGTTGTGGGACTAAAACTGCTGTTGTTGAAACTTCAGTCACTGGCTGAAGATTAAAATACATATTGTTAGATCTTGTGTCAAGTTGTTATCAAAACAACTTGACATGAGATCTAACAAGTCAAAGTCTATATCTGCAAGCTCCATAGATATAACTATGACATTTGCTTTGATCATTGCATGTCCAAGAATTTACATTTAGGAAAATGATAATTCCTCCATAGAATATATCAACCTAATAAACAAATACTTACTGATTCAATCAGAGTTAACAGCCTTGACAAAGAAACTTCCTTTAAAACAGATAATGTCTAAAACAAAACAAGCAAGGGTGAATTGGGTCAGAATATTTAATAATACTTTCTGTGAGATAACTCACTGAAAAACTTGTGAATGAGTGGATAGCTAATTATTGAACATGCCAACTGAAACACAACACAAATGAAATACTATGTAGCTATAGATCAGCCTGAACCATAGAAAGACATCCTTGGATGTTTCTCTTATAGATGTATCCAATAAATGTAGTGACAAATCAATTTAATACATTATTTGGGAATGAAATGTTAGTGTTTAATATGTTGATTAAAAAGTATCTTGCCTATTGCAGTTGACATCCTCATGGTTCATAATTTTCTAATTCACATGTAGTTAAAAAACAATGCTTAACTTAATTTCAAGTTACCCTCAATTTAGAGTTGGTACATAATCCTTTAAGGACTTTCAGCATTGCCACAGTCTGTTCATCAGACCCACTGTTCAGCAAGGACATCACTCTTGGTAATTCACCTTTAAAAAAAAAATTATATTATGTCCTTATTAACCAGGTGGAAGGGCAGGGAATTTGACATGGTGGAAAAAAAAACATGGATTCATAGTTTAAGTAACAGACAAAGATTACAAAGTTGGTTAGGTAGTCAGCTTAATTGTGGCTGTGTGTTTTGCACCATTTCAATTCACATGGAAGGACTTTAGTGACTTAAATGCATATTAAAACCAGTCAGTTAAGATGTTTTTTCAGACAAAATTTGAACTTATCAATTGGCCAAATATGTTAAAAGCTTACATAAAAGCACACTGTTGGGAAACATGACCACTAATTAAAACTGATGTATTAGCTAAGAGCAAATTGTAATTGATAGATAAAATTATAAAAAAAACCAACCTCCTCTAAATATCCTTTGAGCTCCTGGTTCATCATTAGCTAAAATCACAAGATTCTTAATGGCCTAGGATCATAGAAAAAACCAAGCTGTGATATCATCATTCTGATCTATGAAAAGTATAAATAATTCTTGCAGTCACTGCTTCAAAAAAGAGGACTAGTCTCCAATCATTTAACAAATTTGGATGTCCATGCTAGAGAGACTTGGGCAACACAAAACTCTGTTAATGATTATTTTAAGATAACTGAAATAGTACAACCACCCTGGTTGGTCAAAATTCTAACATTTATTGCACCAATAAATTCATTGAAAATATTTGGTTCTCAGGAAATAATTATTTAGTCTATGACTTTTAAGAAAATAAACCATACTGAATTTTCATGACTTTCCGAGCCTGAGACACATTCAATGTTGTCAGTAACATTTAACCCTTTAACTCCCGAGATCTCATTAGTTATTCTCCTTACTGTCTGCCCTGACATAGTTGTTGTGATGTTAGTTTGGAGAATTTGGTATTGGATCAACAAATAATCACCTAGTCCATATTTTCCTTTACTCTCATCACTTGTCTGCTTGATATGGTATTGATATTGTAAGGAGAAATTCTGTATTGATCACTCATGGGAGTTAGGTTAAGACATTAGCCCTTACTTGCTTTCTTTTCTCTTCACTTTCTTCATTACTGAAAAGGGAAGTAAACATCTCCCCCACAAGACCATCAGTGGTGCGGCATCGATCAGTCTATAAATGAAGAATATCAAGGTCTAGAAGGCACATGGTCAATTTGAAAGTTTTTGAGTTAAGTGAATCAACAATCCATGAATCACGAGTCAAACAGTTACTGTTGGTACCTTTGCTTGTAACTGTGCTCCAAGTCTCTTAAGAGTCTCCTGAACAGTGGTATTCTGGAACATGAATTATTCAGTTAGTATTATTTAATGGAAGCAACTTTAAAATAAGTGAATAAAGGGGGGTAAGTTTCTTAAGAGACTGTGGTGCTGCATCCCTGGGAGAGTATAACAGGGTAATTTAGTATTATCAATTGAGTTGATAAAATAAATTGGTCACTGTTAAGGGTTTAAAAGCTAACATTTCAAGCAATAGCCCTTTGTCATTTGCTCTGACAAAGGACTAACACTCAAAACAACAGCTTTGAAACTTGTTACAGTGATAATTTACATTTTCCACTTCTCTTGATAATTCAAAATTACCAACTCTAAAACAGTTCTGGTATTAGTATAGTTTGTATGTAAGGAATCTGATATCATACACTGTACCTTTGGTTCAATATGGATGAGAGTCCTTGCATCTCGGAATGCAGCCTCAAGTCTTCCAAGTTTTTCTTGTCCCTGGCATCTCCTAAAGAGGGCTTTTGTATCATTTGGTAATGCCTCCAGTGCTACCAGAAAAAAACAAACAAACAAACAAATCTACAAGTCAATTAGTTTCAAACATTTCAATGTTAAAATTACAATTTCAGGTAGCACATCTTAAAAAATAGTTCTTTAATTGTCACCTTGATTAATTACAAGAACAAGATCAGAAAAGAAAAAGTGTAGAAGTCTTGTCCTAAAGAAATGACATAACATTATGAAATCAAATTATGTTATAACAATAAATTGCATATCAATTTTTGATGACAATCTTTCCTTAGACTTCAAATAATTAACCTACCCTCAGTTGCATCAGTTACAGCTTCTTCATACTTCTCCTGAAATTGAAAATAATTACTATATAATCAATACATGGAGAGGAGTGTTTTGCTCACTCCACCACAGTGTTGAGTTGAATTGTACATGTTTTGTCTTTACTTGGCCTCAATCATTTTAAGCTGTCGCAAGGGACTGAAAATCAATTTTCTGATCCAGTCAAACCCAGTAGAAAAGTGAAAGAAAAAAAAAGATGTGTTCTCGGTCAACTTTTTAAGTCATGGATCCATGTTTTGTTCCCTTTGATTTATGGCCAAGCTCATTGAGGTTCAGTGGGCCACAAATCAAAGAAAAAAAACTGGGTCTGCAATTTTACCAACTCTGATGTTGACCTTGGTTAGTAGAAATCTACATATGTGATAAAAACCAGACCCGTTAAAACAGCATGTATAATACTCACAAGTTTCAAATAACAAGCTGCCCTGTTCTTCAGAATCACTCCTCTATCTTTCAGTTTTCCTTTGTCCTTTTCTTCTGGTGTAAATAATTTGAGAGCTTGAGTGTAACAGGATGCTGCTAATTCATATTTCTCTTCCTTGAAATACTGATTTCCCTCTGTCTTGAGGTCAAGGGCACCTTGGTGTTCAGAATCCTTTGGATAAAAAGATTCTCAGGTAAGGATTCAGTCTGCATATGAGACTAATTAGCATGACTGGAAGAACTTGTCCTGTTTCTGTTGCTTAAAGCAACTGTAATAGTATTACTTATTACACTCCTGTTGTCTATAGAATACTACTGATAATAATTGTAGGTTATCCTAGAGTATTTTCAATAGATCTCCCTCACAGTTCTCAGTTACATATCCCCCTCTACACTCCTGGGTGAAATAGTGAGGATCTTCCTGTTTGAAAAATTTAGTCTCATGTATGGCCCTCAATCACAGCATGATGACCTTGCTATTCCTCAGACCTGGCCTTTTCTAACACCAGACCAGGTTCCAGTCTATTTTTAAGTCAGAGATTTATCTAGTGGATAGTATTGCCCACCCTTCAAACTAAAGTTGTCTTTTCAGATGTTCTCCCAACATCCAAATAACAAAATGGCATTTCACTGATAACCTACATGTAAATATTTCTATCAAACTAAATCTATAGAAGAGGGTAAGTTTTGAAAGAAACTGTAGTGCTGCATCAGTAGGGAAGTATAACAAGATAATTTTGGTTTTATCAATCATGATCATGATGTAAAATGGCAACTGTAAAGAGTTTCAAAGCTTATATTGCAAGCACTAACCCTTCATCAGAGCAAAACAAAGGGCTAATACTGGAAACATCAGCTTAGAAACTCTTTACAGTGGCCAATTTACATTTATCAACTCAGTTGATAAAACCAAAATTATCTTAATCTAAAGAAGGGTGATATTTTCAGGAGGTGTGGTACTGGGGTCCTTTAGGGTGTGTTGTATTCAAAAAATGAAACTTCTTCCCCATTACATGAACACAATGCCATTTTTGTTGGTCGAGATTCCAACACTACAACCCTGGAATCTCACTTAAGTGATATTCTCTCGTGTATTCACGTTCACTTCGTCTGCTCGACAGAAGAAATAGTTCCCTAAAACCGATATTCTTACTGAAAACGATCAGAGAACTTACAAATGGTGAGATTCTGACCTGTAACAAATGCTCTGGGAAGGGCTGCTGAAGCTGGTTTCCATTATGACATTGGTGTTATATTTGATCATCACAAACAGCATATCATGTATTTTTAATAATAGGACTAAACCTCAATTAACTTATGTAGTGTCGATCTCCATATTTGACTACACGTGAAACCGACCTCATATCTGTTTTATCTTCACACTCCATGTTTTCCAGCTAAAATATAAGATCACGCATATTACCTTCTCCATTACGATATTGTGTACTTGCTACGCTTCCTTGGCCACATTTTCAGACAAATCTGTTTTTAAATCAATTAATTTCGTTAACTTCCACGAAAAAGTTGTCAAGTTTCAGTATCGAATCGGCCACTGCAGAACCGACGACTAGAATACTTGTGTACAGCGGTATTCTTGATATAATTTATCCAAGGTGTTTGTTTACATCAAATCAAGATGGCTGATGAAGTGGTAACCGAAACAGAAACTCCCCTCTCTTCAAAACGCGCTGAACATCGAAGTTCGGCGTCGTTTCACAGTTCGCCAATAACTTCCTCGAATGAAATTACACGAGTCCCTCTTCATCGTATACGATGCGGGACACTTGACATAAAAAACGAGGAACGGTGGCTGGAGTACGAACCGCTCTCTAAACATTTAAGATTCCTCCACAAAGACCGGAAACACCTGGACCACGAGCACTGCACTCTCCTAGATTGTCGAAACATCTCCGCGGCTGATCTGCGAGTCAGTGCAAAGTTTGGTTACCTCGATGCAATGAAGGGAATTCTTACTGTTGAATGTCAAAAACTCATACAAGTCGACAGTCCTCACTGCGATGCGAGAATTGCGTCATGTAGTTACGTTGTGGAGGTGACCTTTCACGTCAACCACACGGGGCAAGTGAGGGATGTTCTTCGTTCATTGCGGAACGCAAAGCAACTGGATTCTTCTTTTGATGGTGAAACGCCGTCACGGGAAGGAGAAAGTGAAGGAGTGGCCATGGTTTGCCGCGAGAGGAAGTTGAGGGAAGGTCTTCCTGATTGGACACCATATATTCCTCATCGAATCTACTCACCAGCTGTGCGCGGGTTAATCGAATCAGTGATCACGCTTTATACAATTTTTTCCATCTTGTGGGCGTTGTGGCAACTTCACCGGCATGTCGACTTCATACGAGCTCATGTCCAGCCCATTATTGATGCGTTAAAGTATCATGTGCAACTCATGGACGAATGTATTCACTTTTTGAACGGTTTGTTTGAAGAGGTGACGGAACAGTGGCTGGCGTATGTCAAACCAGGATATGTCATACTCTCTTCCTTCGCGTCACCCCTGATTGCTGTTGGACACGAAATATGGTTTGCAGTTGTAAGCTTTTCAACTGCTCTTGCAGTGATCTTTCGACCCTTGTATCTCTTGTTTGAGCCGCTTTTCAAACTAATCAACATGGTGTTTATAAAGACTCCTTATGCTGTCTTCCAGCCATTTTTTTCTTTTACATCAAAATGCTGGTCATTGTTTTACAACACTGTGTTTTGTCGTCTAGTTTTAACACAGATATCTAACATTAAACAAGTGTTCAGTTGGTTGGTGGAAATCCTTGAAAAGAGCATGAAACTCGATCCTTTCAAAGCGCAGCTAGTATTAATGAGATCCACCGTCATAAACAGCGGTAAAGCTCTGAGCCTTGGTCTGGTGTATTTATTCAAAGGCATTGAACGCAGAGTTTGGTTGATGATTGCAAGGCCTGCTGAGGACAAGGATGAGTAATAAGGGGGTGGCAGTCTGTAGAACACCATTATTTACAGGTCTAACATTGAATTCCAATATATATGAAATTAAATTGATGATATATTTACCACTGATGCTGATATCAATTACTGAATTACTCAAAAAATTGTTGTGTTGCATCTCTCATCATTTGAGAATTGTTAATTGGTTTGAGAAAATCAATTTATCCAAATACAGTGGGAGTTGAAATTAATAGCTAGTATATGACAAATGTTAACATTTATCCTAGATGATCAAAGTTTATATATTGTTTACTCTAAAGAAAATCTTGAGAGAATTTCATAAGTATACCTAGATTTCAAGAAAAGTTCAGATGAAAATGAATCTCTTCTGTGATAGAACTTTTAGCAAATAGTAACTATCAGTTCAAACACAAACACTGTATAAATGTGATTTAAAGTGAAAAATTCCCTCGACATAGCACTAGTAGGGAGATCTCAGGCTAAATTTATAGATGTTAGATCAGAACTGACCTAAATATATATTATGATTATGAATGTCTGTACAAACATGTAAAAAAATAGTCACTTCCTCCAGTGGCACTAGTGTCTGCATTATCTACATGGTAAAAGTAGTTATGCTGAAAAGTCACAATACTATCTAAGACATTATTATAGATAATCTATATGTTATTGATAATTTATACTATGATACCCAATGGAATCCATTTCTGTTATATTTATATGGTTCTTTAAATGGTCTGAAATGACCCTCCATTAATTCAAAATGGCCCATCTAATGTCCTGCATGGTAACTGGAGAAAAAAAAACATTTGGATGTTGATATTTATTACACACATGCATGGTACTATTTATTTCATGAAATTGTCAGGAAACCATTTTAAAATTTATTAAACAAAATTTTAAAATGTTGTAGAGGTCTTATTACAATTCTCATAATATTTTCAAATTAAGCAATGATATTTGTTGGTGGAAGCTTGTGTTGAAAATGATTTCTAACTTCAAAGGAGAATAAAACTATGGTTGATACTTGCTGTGATTATAATGGGACTGGAAAAATCAGTGAAAATAAATATTGTGTAACCTGATTATTGTTTAGTAGAGTTTAAAGGTTTTTTCAAATGAACACCTACCAGTAGTGGACAACTACAGTTGAAGCTGTATTAAGCAGCCGGTATTAGGCATACACCCTGTATTAGGTGGTCAGTTGTCAAAGCTCTGAAATGATTTCTCCTTAAACACTATCATTTTGACCTCTATTCGGCCATTGTGGTTATGCTGAATCCCAAAGACCTGTTTGTATTGTCATCCACCAGAATTGACTGGTCACTTAAAGTGGAACCACTCAAAAAATTAAGAAAAGCTGTCAAGTAAATTTAACCCATGTTTATCTCCCAAAATCCATGCTTGTAGTGTCTGAGTGAGTTTTTTATATGAACAATCAATCAAGGCATAAAATGTCATTTTTATCGTTTTTTATAATTATCATTTACTGAGGAATCTGTTTTAAGCAGTCAACCTGTACTGAGTAGTCAGCTAACCATTACCCTTGGGTGACAACTAACAGGTTCAGCTGTACTCTTCATGGATCAATCATCCAGTAAACAGAAGGAATCTTTTGCTCTGTTTTATTCCTAACTCTGAGCTGAGGTTGCTGCCCTTCTACAAAATCTGTAGTCAGTTCCAGAGATGAAAAATACACAGCCTTAAATTTTCGTCGCATGGCCCTTCACCTCACCCCACCCCACCCTGCTGCATTCCCTGCTCCCACGGCTCCAGGATTCCAGTTCCTTTCAGGTCTCTCTCCCAAACTCCTCTCGTCCTAGATACCCAGTTATTGAATTCAGCGGTTTCTCAAAAAATCCAACATGGCGGCCAAATGCGTTTTCCGTCCTTCAATCGCTAGTTTTAGACTTTGTGGATCAGGTAAGGGAAGAATTTTATTTTGAACTGTATGTAGTTAACAACAGTACTCACCCTAGAAAAATTTTCCCAGAATAAATCATATTACGATTCTCTTTGTGACCGGCTCAACCGTCCGTCAAGAGTAGGGTTTACATAATTTCTTCATTTTATTTCCAAGGTGCTTTGAGGTGTCTTGAGAGAATACACAGCTGTCAAAGGTCTTTAACAAAGGAATCAAATTATTTTCATTCATCCGGTAAGTAATTTTTGTTTCGAAATCTGGAATAAATTTTGGATAAGCTTGATGGGGCCCTCAACCTTGAGAATGGCAGAAAAGCATAAAAAGACCTTCCTCACACATAAAAATCCTTTCAACCAGTCTAGCTAAGCGAGCTCATATGACCACTCCTAATGCCTCATCAAAATTTCAATATGTTCAAAAAGTCTTAAATGCAGAAAAATTCTACACCTGGCCTAAAAATTTCTCATAATTAGAACTTGAGCCCTCGTACAGTGACAAAACGTTAAAGATCGCACTTTATTCATCAATTTATTTTCACTGAGCCCATACATTTCACAGCCTTTTTGTCCAAAGCAAGAACAAGAAGTCAATGGAGGAAAGACAGAGCACCAGCACTTACCAAGGTAATAATTTATATATATTATACTAGTGTATGTGGTATAATATATATAAATAATTATATATATTATACTACATGTATGTATATTGAAAGCCTTTCTCCGAGATACTTGTAAACCTATATGTAGTTGGTTACATTATACTTAAAGGGTTAATTACAAATCACTTGACATTTTTTGTGTAGAGAATGTTTTTGCAACCTCATGGGTGGAACTCAATTACTCCAAGTAAATACAGTCAAACCTGTTTTTAGGGGTCACCCACAGGGAATGGCATGGTGGCTGCCTAACCCCTAAATCCCAAGATTTGATTTTTGATTCTCCCTTCTAGCTGCTACACAATTTCTTGTTAATAAGTTATGATAATTTGGTGTTAGATCAAGATGACAATTTCAACCTGATAGGTGTGAGTATTCTTATTACCTGTTTACTGAATATTGCTTGGATATATTAGGGAGAAGTTGCATGTTAATCAGGTCTGGGAGTTGAAGGGTTAATACAGGTTGAACACTAAATAAAGGTTCCATAGAATAGGAGTATTACAAAAAATGCCATTTTATGCCATAATTGATCACTTAATGTACAAAAAATAGCTCAAAAATACTTCAAAAATTGATTTTGGGAGAGAAATGTGGACCAAATTTTACTTGAAATATTATGTGTAGTTTTATTTGTGTAGCAAGTGACCATTTAATGCAGGTGGAAGATAATAGAAAAAGGCTGTTGGGACTCACTCTAAGGTGACCATGACAGCTTAATACAGGGTGACTGCTTAATGTGGTTCCACTTAATACAGGTTCAACTGTATGCTGAAGCAAATTTCGCCCTTAAAGTATTTTCTTTCCCTTCAGCTCAAGCCAAATGAACCTGAGGAAACTGAACAAAGAAAAGCCTATGGTGGCCACAAAAAGATCAAAGCTGTGCAAGTAAACCGTGGAATCTATGCATGGAATTCTCTAGGTATCCTGTTATAATAACACTATTGTTACAAGGGTAACTTAAATATAAATTGATTACGCTCATTCTAGGATATAAACAATTATTCTGTCTAGCTCAAATGTCTCGATAAGTTCATAAGACCAAACCAAGCCAAAAAAATTTCACAAAGAAGTTAGAGTGACTTTTGATGCATTTACTGTCAGTAGTTGTATTGTCCACTAAAATGAACATTACAAAGGGGTTCCTGCACCTAATTCATGTTTTGCTGTAAAACAACAATTGAAAACTCATTGTGTAGAGCCTCACATCTTCAAATTGTTCTAATTTACATTTAACCCTTTCACATTCAGGAATTTCTCCCCTCTCTCTGCCCCCTCCCCTCCTTCCCTTCCCCCCCCCCCACCCCCTTGCACTTTTTATTTTTTTGGCTGAATTGCTCAGCTCCTTAAAGTGCATTTTGTTTTGTTTATCTTTGTAGATGTAGAGTTTGAATGTCGTATCATAAGTGTGGTTCATAACACAGCTCATAAAGACTTCAACCAAGAAGGTGTGATGGTCAAAGGGACCATTGTTGAAGTGGACCCAAGTCCTTTTAAAACCTGGTAAACTGTTAATGTTGTGTTTTGATTAGTATTCATGTTCTCCACACTGCTCTCTTTACATTTCCTATGGTACTGACACAGAGAATTTATGTGGCAATCAAGAGCTTCTCTTGTCTGTGATCATTTCCTATATTCTCTTGCATTTTGTGAACATGCTAGCTTTTGGAAAATTGACTATTACTTTAAAGTGAAATTACATTTAAATCATTTGTGAGATTTTTTGTCTTTTTTAACAGCTTTTTTTCTACTGTTAATTCCAGGTACATAACCCATTACCAAAAAGAAGACTCTTCACAAGAGGTTGGTAGTGTTTAATTTGAATTGATGATAGTCAGTAGACTAACAGTATGTTGGTAAGATTCCTTTGTGGCTTTAGAATTTTTGTAATAAGCTCTGATAATTTGGTTTTTATTACCAGTAATCAATATCCTCTATTTTTTTAATATTTTTTGTTTCCTCATATCACCTTTCTGGAAGGGAAAAATGTCTCAGACATCTGGATTATTCTTGTTCTCATTCAGTTTCAAGTGTGATTTTCTTATTTCCACAGGCTAATTCTTCACTTGAACATCTCATGCCATACCCGAACAAGGGAAAACTTTATGGTGAGCCCACAAAAGATTTGGTTTCTGAGACTTGTTGGTCTTGAAAGAGTTTGTTTTTTTGTTCACCACCATGATCTTGGGTCAGGTTGGCCTGCATATAGCCACCGTCTCATTGGAGGAGAGGGGTGACTGTACATAGTCTCAAAGAGGGTGTGGTTATCAGGGGAACGACAAGAGCGTATCGACGTATCTCTCCGTGTGTACCTAGGTTTTCGGTTGAGGTTTTCAAATTTCTGACTTCAGTTATCATAAAAACTTATTTAGATTATGGATTACGTATTTTAGAGGCCAGCTGGCAGGTCTGAATACAGGTGTGGAAAAATAGTACGTTTTGGTCTGAAATTGGGCCAAGATTTAGAGCACCGGTGGACAAAACCGGCCATTTTCCCTCATCTTTTTTTCCCTTATTCACTGTAACTGGTTGGAAAGAGGCGTTATGACTCAGCTTTGCCTAAGAAAATATTTGAATAACCACAGAACATCCGCCCTGACTAGAAATCGACTAACAGCCCTTGGGTCTCCAAGGGTGCTCTATGTCAGGCACGACTTTTAACTGCCTGCCACTATCTTGAATCGATCTTATGTGAAAGTACTCTCCAGAGAGTAAAGCAGAAATACATTGGAAATGAACCCGAGAGAGTGTCTGATATTTTGTTTGTATTGCAGCTAAAATAACATCACGGCCAGGTCAAATTGGATTTTGTAATGGGTACATCCTTGAGGGAGATGAGTTGGAGACTTTGTTCAGCACGCGTGAAGACTTAAGGCCATCATCGGACAAAAGCGCGCAAGGACGATGATCATACCATGGATTATCCTGTCATCCATGGGAAAAACTTCTAAATTTTGTGCAATCCTTCCTCCCAATCTTTTGGTCCTTCAGCCTTCATTTGATAGCGGGTGCAGGGGAAGGAATTGTTGTCAACGCTTTATAGACTGTAAATAATTAATAAAGGTGGGAAACATAAACTCGGGCTTAGTCCCTCAATTTCTGCACGCGAGCAGCGCGAGTGCGTGAGAGGTCCGCGAGGGTTTTCGTTTTTGATGCCAGACCCCTCTCAGACCCTCAGTACGCTCCCCTCCCTTGCTAGCTGGATTCCTGCGCGCTTCGCCGCAATTTTGGTTGCGGGTGTGATCGGATGTGGTCCCATGGGTTTGATTTCCTCGGTATTTTTGGATCTCGATCTTCGGACCATTCCACGAACAACGGCTAGTGATCGGCCCCAATGGTCTCGGGGTTTTTTCTCAACCGATAAAACTTGATGTATTAACATCGTGATCAAGATTTCACAAAAACTCGTGCATCGTCGTACAAACCAGTAAATATTTTATTAACATTATTTCCGAAGTTTGCATCACTTCTTCACGGAAACAGCTGGAAAACCAAACCGTCTTTTTACAATTATAGTCGAACTGTACATTATTTAACTCAATTTAATTGTAATATAAAGTTGATCTGATTAACAACAACTGGAAGTTTACCAACATTATTCGTGCTGGAAAAATATAAATTTTCTATAGCATTAATATACAGCATAACCTTCATGATACCCTCAATTTAGCCAAAAATAGTTGATAAATTGTCAATCCTTTAGTAAGAGTACACTGCTCAAACCTTACTTTTTCAAAGAAGGCATTGCGCTCATACTCGTATTAAAATACATAAGCTTTGAACAACCATCGAGACACGTCTAAAATTTGTGACCTCGTATTCTTTCGATCTACTCATAATGCCCACTAGTACACAATGAGTATGAAAATTAAGAGAGGCCGTTGTTTCACACTGCGAAAACGACATAGATATCTAGAACGCAGTTATAGTCAATATATTGTAAAATCTGAAAATGTTAATAAAATATACTATTTGTATGTTTGTTTGCCTCCATTTGAAGTTTTCTCCTGTAGCTTTTCCTCTCCAAACAATTTTTTTATGAGCATTTGTAGGTTAAGTCAAGTAAAGTTGCAAAATTTTCTTTTTCTTACGGACACGAGGCGCTAGATTTAATTTAGCGGATGAGTCACGCTGGAAGACTGTCTGATCTCTCGTGCGTAGCAATATGAGTTTATTAGATTATGCTTCTTCTTTAAAAAGACATACTGAATCTCTGAAATAATTCCATAACTTACCAACATGGCGGTACACAAAGGAAACGCGGCACAAACCCTTGGGGACCGTATAACAGTTTACGAAGAAGTGCCATATTGAGCAAATAAAGCAAAAAAATAAAATTTCGCGAAATTGGCACGATCAAGGATAAAAGGCGCGAAATCCCGAGGAACGCCTGCGGAGAACAACACGAAATATCGAACAGGTTGTACACATGAAAAGTTTGAAATGGTGTGAGATCTAGAATAGTACGAAAATATAAGACGAAACCTACTGATAAGGCAAAACAACCAAATTATGTTTTTGGGTCGATTCATCGTAAAAGCAAACTCACCTGGCACTTCTCTTAAATTTACCACATATCAGAAATAGACATCTTATTCATAATGAAAAACATGAGTCCTAACGCTCGTGCGTTCAGTGGATACGAGCATGTCTTAAGCGCTGTCTTTTACCAACTGTGCAGAAAGAACGGTGGCTCAGTTGGTCAAAAACGCGTTCCGAGCTCAGTTGAACGTTTTTATAACAGACACAATGCAACGTCGGCAAATTGCGCAAACACGTTCGTCGGCACGCATCTGCAATGCGCACTGGTAGCAGAACCTATGACCGCAAATCAACGCGGCGTCTTTAGGCCTGTCCATGCAGATATCGCATGTGGTAGAGACTTCCACCTTTTCCGGCTCCTCACCGCGATCTGAAGTGCTCTCTTTAATAAACGGGCTAAAGTTGAAAGAGTTAAACCGTTCAACATGGACGGCTTTACCTCCCACTTCGCTAGTGTCAAACGAATTCTCGTCATCTTCAAGAGTGTCTTCAACTTGCTCGTTATAATAGTCCTCCTCGTTTAGTTCCTGATCTTGATTAGCTGGATACAAATAATCGTCATCGTTAAAATCGTTAAACTCAGCGTACTCGTCTACCTGTAACGTTTCAGCAATGAGCTGGTCACTGGCAATCTGTGCTTGACCACTCATGGACCCTTCAACAGCTGGTTCCGTGTGACACACATTCTTAAGCTCCTGCACTTTCAGTTCATTTTGAACGGTACTCTTGAACTTCCGTGATTTGGAAGCCTCCCCATTCCCTGGGGAACCGAGCGCCGGCCATTCGTCCTCGAAGTTTCCCTCGCTCGAACCTTCTTTAGAAAGAGCAATGTTGACGAAATCAGCGTTTGCGGGAGACTTAGTCTTCTCCAGGATGGCGGCGTAAGATCTGGAGTTTTGCGGCTTGGGTTCTTCCTGTACCGGCTCAGGTTTTGCAGCAGGACTCGGCGCCGCGCGCTCTAGATACCTGTAGGACGGATGGCGGAGCTCGCATCGTTCCCCGCGGTGGCATGTTCCCCAGATCATAAAAGTAGGACAGTCGCGGATGAAAACAACTGATTCATTCTCGAACTTGCGATCTTCTTCAGCGAACTCCTTTTCCTGTCTTCTATCCATCATTTCCTCCCATTTGCGACCGAATAATCCGTTTACTCGAGACACGTTCCGCCCTGGAGTGTAATTCAGATAATCTCGTCGGCTGGGATCGTTCAGGTCTAAGTTGTCCAGCGGTCTGTCTGGCACACGCACTGGATATTTTGGATGGGCAATTCTACCTCGTACCTCGGGATCGATCACGAAATGCCTCTCAGAGGTGATCTGCAGGTCTTGCCGACTCGATGAGGAACCAAATTGGACCCGTCTCATCGGCGATTCCACCTCTTTTTCTGTTTGCGAGAAGATTTTTATCTGCGTTTCCGGCTGAGTATCAGATTTGTCCCCAAAAACGGCGCCTTGTTCGAATTCTCTGTTATCCCCACTTGGATCCATCGCTTGAAGGCCGTGATCTTCTGCAAATGGAGAAGCGAACAAAATTTAGCAACGGCGATGCAAAATGCGGATGTTGATGTTTTAGGAACAATATCGCGTGATTATTTTGGGGGTAAAAGTTAAGGTTGGCAATTGAAGTGGTTAAACGCTTACTTTAAAAAAATTAAAACAATTTTCAAATCGAGTTTTTCCAGTCCAAGGAATTTGAACCCTGACAGTTTAGTCAATTAGAGAGACACCAGCACTCAAGGATAACCCGCATTTGCAGAAGTACACTATAATGTAAAATTGTGGAAGCAGGGCCTGCGTGCAGGCAGCCCGGAGCAGTAATCTCAATAACCCTTCGCGTTTCAACTCAAATGTTCGCCCCCTTCACAAATTCAGAATTTGTCACAACCAACTCTTCAGGATATTTATCTTTACTTTTTTCCGAATTTCAACCGAAAAAAAATATATAGGAAAGAAAGATCATAGATCTTCACCTGAGAAGCGTTCTTCTTTTCTGCCGAAAACGTGACCGCTATGTCGCCTTGCTGGGTAAACGTCCAAATTTCTTTCTGGATCATCTTTCAGAGTGTTTCCGGTTCCTCTTCTTCCTCCGTTGTATGGTCCATTATTTTCTTTTCCATTTGTCGTCCTATGCCGATCTGCAAATCATGAACAACGTTACAGAAGGCAGCGAAGATTATGTACTTACAAACCAAATTTTACAACCGATAGCCAAAGAAATTCAAGCAAGAGAAAATTGCGCATACAAAGAAAAAACATACGCGATAGTGGCCCTTTCCCCTCCTTCAAAGAAAAAAATGCAGGCAGTGGCTTTCTGAATATTTTACCTCGACTGAAAAAGGTTAAGAGAATGAGCCCAAAGGAAAAATTCCTGTGCTTAAGACGCTATTTCAGAATTCCCTTCCTTCCATTGGCTTTCGAATGAATCTTTGACCACACAACTCCAGGCATTCGTGCTATTTCCGATATATGGATCAACATCAGTATCTGGGCACCTACCCCTCCCCTAACCCAACATTAACCCTAAGTTGTTATCAATTGACTGTTGTTGAGTTAGGGGAGGGGTAGGTGGGCAGTTGCCCAAATACTGTTATCGATTCCGATATTTTTCCTTATGCAAATGTGCCTTATCGAGTTTATTCAGAGTTCTCCTTACCAGACCTCCATCGTCTCGCTCCAATAGATGAACCGCCACTGCCCAATCGACCGTCGTCTCGGCTTCTCTTTTCAAAATCCTCAGAATTCTCACCTCTGCATACATTCCCCGTCCACACCCTGTTTGCCTCGCTATCGAGTAATGTCTGCTTCTGCACCTCATCCAAGTGCTCAGTTTCTTTCGCAGCGTGTTTAATTAAGACTTTCTCAACGAAATCCTCTCTGTCGTGAGCCTGAAGTAGTCTATGCGTATTTCCCGGCAACTTCTTCCCTCTTCTGGTAGTTTTGTCATGGACTACGCAGACCGAACCAATGGCGTTTTCAAAAAGCTTCGACGAAAATAATTTCACCGAGCTCTTGACCTCACGAATTTCTTTCACAGCGTCTACGTTTTCTAGATTGTCAGAAGCCCTTTTTTGAGTAACAACACCGTTGTGCTTTTTAACATATTTCTCCTCTTCAACCTGGGTCGTATCACCATTTACTCCACGTTCCCTCTTATCCTTAGAAACAATTTTATCACTGGGATTATCAATATCTCTTACCCCATCGACCACCCCGGATTTTTCAGAATCCTTCCTGCTCTCATCAACATGTTTTGAGTTAAAATGTTTGTTACGCCTTTTGACGTCTTTATCTTGCTCCACGGCTTTCTTAGAAGCGGTATCTTCCTTCTTCTTTTCAGTGTGTTTCACGACACCACCATCTTGATCAGCACCATCACTTACGACAAACTTGTTACGTCTTTTAACATACTTCTTGTCACGCTCAGCAGGTCGAGAAACTTGGGGAATTTCAGAGTCATTAGCACCTCGCTTGCAAGCGCTCTCTAGCTCGGGACCTCCTCTTTGCGGGGTTTTCTTACGCCTTCTACCGCACTTTGCTTGTTCCACTGGAGTAGATAAGTCAGGAATTTCACAACCATGGTCACGTCCCGAAGGTCTCCTCTCCAAATCTTCCTTGTCTCTTCGGGGTGTTTTGTTTTGCCTTTTGACGAAAGGAGCTTCATCATCAACACAGTTCTCGGGGGTTCTCTCTCTTTCTTTACTTGTGTCTTTTAACACTTCACCATTTTCATGATTTTGTTTTCGCGGCTTCTTTTTACGAACCCGTCTCTTTTTTATCTCTTCTTCTTCTGCTGTATGCAAGGATTTTTCGGGCACATTTCCCTCTCTTGTCCTCGAATCTGTGTGTTCATTATAATTATTTCAGACAAAGATTGAATCAGACAGAACATATGGTCTCCTATATTAAGAACAATAATAATAACAATGTGACTGATTATGATAACAATATCAATAACACTGATAATATAAGGCTATTACCATGTTCTATTTTATTAATAATTCTTAAAATAATAATATTAATTATTAATGGCATTGGTACTAACAGCTATTTTTAATAAAAATTAAAATAATAATAAATATAGGATATTCTAAAACAGTGAATAGCAGTGAAGGTACACTCTGATTGGCTATTCATTTCCAAATATCCTTTGCTGTTTACCTCCAAACAACTCACACAGGAATTGCACCCAAAAATGTTCCCCTATTTGCAGAAAAAAATTAGTTTGAATCATCCCTTTGTTTTATACCAATTCAAATCTTCACCTCAATGTCAGTGTCTAGTGGGGAAGGAGGAGATGAGGGGTTAACCATTTAACTCCTAGAAATGATTAAAATGTAGCTTCTCCCTACAATATCTATATATAATCCAGCAAACAGGTAACAAGAATACTCAAACTTAACAGGAAGAAGTTATTTCCTTGATCTAATACCAAATTCTTGTAACTTGTTTTAAAGGAAATGTATATCAGCTAGAGGGGAGAATTAACAAGCAGATCTTGGAAGTTAAAGAGTTAAACAAGATTCCTCACCATTAGTTTTGTTAAAATGTCTCTGTTCATGGTGGATTTTTCTGCGCATCTGTTGACAAGTATACATCACCAACAATAAAACACAGGTGACAAAAATTAGCTTTAAAGAGGAAGGAGGGTCTTGAATGTCATACTCACTGTAAAAACAAAAAAAAAAAAAGAATGTAACGAGGTGTTGAAAATAAATGAATTATAATGTCCAAGAATGTAAATATCAGGGATTTGCTAGAGAAGGCGGACAAGACGCTCTACAAAAAAAGGATCGAATGACCCTGAATGCCCATTCTTCCAGTTTTTTACCTAAGGAAAAGAACATGAGGTACAATCTTAGAAATACGTCAGTCTCTGTCCCTAGAATCTACACTAACAGGTTTAAGAACGTTTTTAGTAACAGAATAATTTTTAGATACGATATGTAAATAGTTTTTTTTTTTTTAGTTTATATTGTAACTTAGGATATGTGATTTCATCTTAAGAAATAAAGATTATTATTATTATTATTATTATTAATAAACAAGATGATCATATTAAATTCTTGTGACATAGGACTTTCTTCAAAATTTATTTTAAATGTCTTATTTCTAAATCTGGACTGAAAGGCTAAAGTTGTTCTCAATCACATTTAACTGTCACCCCAACGAAAGAGACTCTTGATTGTTAAACAAATTCTCCTCACCAGCACCTTAGGAAATGTGTAGAGCACAGTATGAAGAATTTGCATGTTGATGCAAAGGTATCAAGGCTGAAGTGTTTATTATTTATCAAAAAAAAAACCCTTCATTTTTTAAGTTAATTTAAGTGCACTATGGTACCCTGAATGCCTTTGATGGTGCCTCACAAAAAAAAAAAAAAAGAGATGTCACTGTCTACATTCATGTACGACAGAGAGTGGCACACCCAGAGTGACCTTTGTAAGGGGAGGTAACCAATAATTCTTTATAATCAGAGCAGTGTATGTCAGCAGCATGGATTTCAAGAAAATTAATTATGTGGACATCACTGTACTCAGATCTAATAATATGCTTTGCAATTCTGTATTTCAGAGTTCTTTCAAAAAGCCACACTACTCCAGCAAATACAAGCAAAATCCTTGACCATGCTTTGAAATTCTATGGCCCCAGCCAACTTCTCCAAAGAGCAAGGAATGTAACTTATAAAAGACAGTGCAGAAATACAGAGTCTGTCAAAAAAACCAAAGTGGGTATCCACATTCCATGGTATTAAAATCTTCCACTATCAAGCTTCTTGAACAAATTCTCTTTGAACCAGACAGCTTGGAGCCCACAAGAGCGACAAGTTTGAACTTAAACTGAGAAAGGTTTGCTTCTGCAGTTAAAAAAATATAAAGAGGACCCATATTTCTGATTATAGTATTTTTTATATGCTTGTGAGAAAGGTGATATGTTATGGAACAGCCTTTCCCATGCACTCTGATCAAAAGTTTCTTTGAGCAAATATAAACGTAAACTGCATCATTACAGCCTTCAATGAGATATGGCATCATTGAAAAGCAGCTTTGGTGATAAACGCGTTTCACCTTCTTGTTTATCATATCCCCTTCCCTTCCCTCCCCTCCCCCCTCTTTTTATCATATTTCCTCCCACTCAGTGCAAAATGCAGACGGCAGATTGCAGACTGCAAACAAGGTACAAAATGCAGACTGCAGACTGGGTACAAAATGCAGACTGAGAATCTAAACTGTTTTTTCATCGGATACATAATAACAAGTAATCTTACAATTTACCGAGCGTCACTCAATCGCTTTTCTGCGGTCATCGTTCACGATGATTTGCACTATTGTGGAATATTCCTTGCCTGTTTCTTGATCACAATCGTTCTTGATATAATGTCAAGCCTTCATATAGTCTTCTAACTTTGCGCGCGAGTTGGTTGGTGTGATCTCTGTACAGATTTTACCAACTTAATAAAAGTAGATGTAGATATAGATGTAAATGAGATTCCAGTATTGAATATTTAACGCCCGCAATATTCGAGAAAAAATTGAGAGCTTTGCACGTGGTCCGTACTTTTTAATTTTTTTAACCGATATGTGTTCATTCTGTCGACAAAAATGCTGACCGAGACCAACTGTTTACTTTTTTGGTAGTTGTATCTCTTATCTGTTTGGTGACTACGCAAAGATTGATGGTTCTGACTGAATGCCCGGCCGTCAAAAATTTTCACGCAACTTCTACCGCAAGGTTCTTTCAAACTTCTTAAAATATCAGATGTTTTTAAGAACTGTTATGAGATTCACCTTTCTTGAAAAAGATTTTCACGTAATTCAGAGAATACTTCCGACTGCCGGTTATTAAGGACCTTAAGCAGTTAGGACGGCTACGCCAAGGAAGACTTCGATTAAAAAATGAATTTCTGCCTTTAATTAGAATTTCAAAAATGGCTGCATTTGTTTACCGTCTCATACGGTGCCACACCTCAACTTCAGCATATAAACGTATGAAAGAAGCGTTGAATTCCAAATGGAAATTAAAATAATTTGCCGTCGCGGGTACTGTTCGCAGACGACGCAAATTGTGATTTCACGTTGTTGTTTTGAATGGGACGGTTAAGAAATGTACAAAGTTTTATAACGCACGTGCTGAGCTACTGTTCTGCCAATTAGATCTTTTGTTTTTCCATGTCCTCGTTGCCGTCGCCACGTGATTTGCTCAAGGTCCCTATTTAGTCTATTTGAGACCGTGCCCGGCAGTCTGTTCAAGAGTCGACAAATCGAGCGATTTTGTAATTCGATCAGCTCGGAAAATTTGTCCATTAAATAATTTTAGGATCACAAGGAAAATCTAAACAAACATCGAATACTGTATTACCAATAGGTTTATTTGAGGTCTTTTGTACTGTTTCTCGCCAATTTTTACAGAACCTGAAGGTGTTCTGGTGTACCGACCCTAGGTGTCACGCCAGAGTTGTCACGAAAACAAACCATGATTGTGTGGTTCAAGCTTGATCACTGAAAAATCAACGCAATTTTTAGTATCGCTTGACATTTCTGAGCAAATATCTGATACTCGGAGAATTTTTCCACTAAAACTAAATAAATTTTTGGAACCGCTTGACATTCCTTAACAAACATTTGATACTCTTAAGAAGTTTGAAAGAACCTTTCAGCGCAAATTGCGTGAAAATTTTTTGATTGCCGGGCATTTAGTCTACTTGAGACGGTGCCCGGCTGCCGGGCATTCAGCCATTGCGAATATCAATATGTGAAAATCAGACCATATGAAGGCTTGAAATTCTATTAAGAACGATTTTGGCCGCTTTGTTAAAAACCAAATGCAATAGCTGCTTTGTCAGAGATAAAGGTAAAATTTCCGCACAGCCCCATACTATTGTAAAGCAAATCTGTTTTCCCAATGGCAATGTATTGTTTTTTTTATTGTCTTCTCTATCCAAGAACTAAATACATAATGAAGTATGGGGCTGTGCGGAAATTTTACCGAGATAAAAGATATCAAGAAATGGGCAAGGAATATTTCACAATAGTGCAAATGATCGTGAAAGATGATCGCGAAAAAGCGATTGCGTGACGCTCGGTAAGTTGTAAGACGACTTTTTATCACGTATCCGACGAAAAAACAGTTTAGATTCTCAGTCTGCATTTTGTACCCAGTCTGCAGTTTACGGTCTTCAGTCTGCAGTCTACATTCTGTTGCTAGTCAGCATTTTGTACCCGGTCTGCAGTCTGCATTTTGTATTAACTGTATCCCCTCCCCTCCCCCTCACCGACTGCAAAAGTAAGCTCTTGGAGTTGTGAGTAATGTCTTCGGCGGCAAAAATAAACTCGAAGCAAAAAAATGGATGTGAGGGTGGAGGATTCAATATTGGAGAAAACCTTTCCACAGGAGTTTAAACAATAAAGAGCTGCGCGAATTTGTTAAATAAATTACACTTACAACAAACATCAATGCGGCCACCCGTCGATGATCGCAGCTTTGCAGCTAAGAATCGAAAACAATATCCACGTTTACCTCTAGTTCAAAACACAAATAAAACTTTTCATGCAATAGCGTCAAAATTCTTAAACTTGTCTGACCTCAAAGCCTCAAAACATTTCGAAAAAATAGCCTTGAACAGCACTTCAGCGAAAATGAACAACGGCAAAGTTCTTTACAACAGACATTGTATTCTGTCGATAGCCCGGAAAGGTTTTGAGTAACTGTAATAAAAACATGTGCTCAAATCGAAATTTTCTTACCTGTTTATAATCAGCGATGGCAAATTTATGATATGAGCAACCTCTAAGACTTGCAAGTAAATTACTTTGCGAACGTAGACCACTACAGCCGTCACTTCGGAATCTGCCAAACAACGGTTCCCCAGAAGTTCCCAGTCCCTCGCAACGCGCTATTTTTATTAGTACAATGCTTCCTCGCTTCCTGTGCTTTGAAGTTCTTTTCGTTTTAGTTTCGTTATTTGGGTTTTTCTTTTTCCAAATGCTTTTTCTCAAACGTCACCAACTGTATCCGGTTAAAAACTCTCTAAAAAATCTTAGGGTAGTAAATATTTTAAAGGGGCTATCTTCGGGATACGGGATAATCGAGGAAAAAATTCTAGGATAAGGGATACTCAAAAAGGAACAGCTCGTAAACGCGATCCCACAAATGTTCGCACATCTAAGGGGTGATCGAAAACTTTTGTGTTCCACAACTAATCGCCTACATCACAATCAGCAAATGAATGTATTCTGTTCAAAGACAGCGAAACTCGATACCACTGGTTCCACTTCTGTTCGAGAAGAAAATGCCAGACACCCTTCCTGTTATGATCCTCATTTTGAGATCTGATCATTTAGAAAAACTATCAACTTACTGCCCTTGTAATGATGTGTGAAGATCACGTTACCGGAATCTATCTGATAGGACGTTCTATTTGATGTTAAAATTCTATCGAAGTCACGGATCATCGCTTCAACATCCGATCCACGATGAAAGGCGTTGAGCAGCTTTAACTTTCCAGTGTTTACTACTAAAACTTTTCACTATTCGCATATAAGATTTTACCATTCATAATGGACTATTTAATGCGATCTACAAACGTTCATACCTTCCATTGGTCCCAATAAAAAATAGTGTGGACATTGTTCCTCTGCGAAGTTAAATAGATTTGCATAGATCACACATTAAAACGTGTCAGTTATCATATCTTGATTGTTACTCAGTCTTGCGTTACTGACCGAAGACAAAAGAATACATAATCCCGTCACGCTTTATGCATAGTACACGCTGTGTGCATTGCACATGACTAGTTTTTGCCATTATTTTGCCATTATACGCTTGTTGGTTGCTAATAAAATCAATTTACCTTTGCTATATATTTTGTGTTATTGCTTTATTATTCTTTGCTGGCCACACCTGTAATTTAGTTCTTTACACTGCAAGAGGTCTACATAAACAAAACACAACCATCATGACCTGCCGAAGATGAAGACTTGAGTAAAATGTCACATACATGCAATCTAAACAGATACATATCTACAAAGTTCATTCAAGATGCAGTAAACTCAAACTATGCAGGTAAAAACTAAGTTTAAACAATCGGACATCTTGGAAAGGATGTTAGCTTTACGTAAAAACTCACCTTCCCCCCCACCCCAAGAAAAAAATATAAAAATATATACATACATATATACGAACATAGTAAATATTAAAGTCTGTCTTATTGATTTGTCTAACTTTCAGATATACATACATATATATATGGAATATGCCTTAAAAAATAAGTTAACTAAAAACATCACTGGTAAAATTCCTAATTCTATGTATTTAAGTAATTAAGATGTAAAAATGTGACACTGAAGTTTGGATTTAAAAGCTAAAGAACATCGACTTGTATTAGTAAATTAATCGGTAAGTCATTCCAAACTCTGATTATGCGGATAACAAAGGGTGTAGTAGTAACAATTTTCTCTTGCTAGATTGACATAAAGTTGTTTGTAGGAATGATTGGCTTTTGTGCACTTAACTGACGCAAATTTAAAAAAGTCTTCAAATTTCAAGTGATATGAGTCAAACAAGCAATATTCAATTTGATATTTAATGGATTTTATGTGATACGGTTTCAAGTCACGCCAAGGTGTCTTCGCAGTTATAATATAAAACAAGGAAGTTTACATTGAAATTCATTTGTGAGGGAAACGTACTGATCTATATATAGTTATCAAAAAATCAGAAAAGTCGAGTCATCAAGGAGACTATTAAAAAAAAATTGCAAGATAAAGGAAGATTTTCACCCATCAAGTGCTTACAGAGGAATTTCTTTTGAAGCAATTGCAGATTTCTTTTCAAACTCCGATATAAGTCAACCCAGAATTCATTTCTCCTTTGTTTCGTTTCTAATATCAGGTTTTTGCATTTCACTGAACGCGACAAGATGCATTAGTATCCGCCAACTATGTTGAAATTTTGTTTTGATGCCATTTTACCCTGGTACAGGTTGGCTGAATCCCAGCGTCCATTCTGACTCCAGTATTGGCAAAGTCGGTTTTTTTATAGAAATATCATTGACTTTTTGTGTTGTTTACGTCACCTGCAAGCGTCATTTACTGATAGACAGAGAATCATGGGTAAGTTTTAACATTCTTACCAGAAATGGAGAAGCCAAAACATCAAATTTATTTTAGTGGGAATAACAAATCCCTTATTCGATGGTTTCACAAATGATACGAGCGAACATTTTGCACATTACCTTCGGGGCTCGGAAAAATACTACGCAACTTGCAAAATATCCGCACGGCGTGCGTATGATATGTTATACCATCGAATAAGATATATGTATTCCCCTTAAGTCAATAAATACCTCGTGTGCGTTACTGACCACCTGCAAAATACCTGTAAAATCTTTCAAAAGATGAATTTTAAAAATTTCTGAATTAAATATGCAGTTTTCTGATAGCACAAACGCGCAACGTTCTATGTTGGAGGGGATATTTAACTGTCTCCATTATGGAGTACTCCTAAAAGATGTTTTGTAAAGACAATCCCTGATTCATGAAAAATGTCGTTACTCACTTGTCTGATTATCTTATTTTCCGGATTTTGTGGGCAAGGTAAGATTAACTAACTCTTAACAGCTTACAGCCAACAACTTAAAAACTTCCCTGCATGCTGCTTTTACACTCTCTTAGTTTTCCTTTCGTGAGCTCTAAGATTATTAAAGAAACAGACAAGCCTTTATATCCGAAAAAATTTGTTTTCCCTCTGTGTTAGATCTGAGATAAAACAAAATTTTGATGATTTCCAACAGGCCGATTATGCTGGCTAATAAACAAAAAAACCGCCACCATGGAGTTAAGAGAATTTTTAATAAGTGATGCCTATGTCGTGACTACACAGATTCTGAGTTTTATTAGTTTTGGCGAGGCGCATTTTTGTTTATTTGTGTTTCGAATTTGTATTTGTTTCTTTCGTTTTTTCGTTTCTTGCGAAAATGAATCACCAGTTTGCCATTTTCATATCCAGTTTATCTGTGATAAATAAATGGAAGATTAAACAATTTAAAGACAATTTTTTTTATCACCTTAGTGCACTGCGATTTGATTCAACACACGCGAGGGTGATCAAAAACTCTATTCGAATACAGATGTAAATAAAATGTCAAATAAACAAGATTTCCTCAACGATTCTCTTGCAAACTGATTTAAAATGAACTCAGCGAGAATTTTACCAGATAGGATACTGTGGTCCTCCGTAAATGACAATTTGAAAATTTGCCCATGACCCCCCTTGTAATTGACAAAGTTACGATATTTTTAAAAGAAGGAAATTCTTGATGTGATTAGCTGCAAGCACAATTAACAATAAAAGTTTTCATTTAAGTTTTCTAGTTAAAGTGATTTCATATTTTATTTAACAGCATTGGCACTTCACGAGAGAGATCTTGTCGAGAAGTTACTAGAGCATTATCATACGGGATTACGGCCAGTGGTCAAAAATAGTTCCCAACCGACACCTGTCAACATAAGTTTGAGACTGGTGCAGATTTTTGAGATGGTAGGAGAAAGCATGAAAATATATGTAGGCACGTTTAGCGTGCAGGCGTTTAGCTACGATTCAATTCATATGCATGTAATTGAACAATATGAGTGCCGCTATCACGTCTAAAACAAGAAAAAACACAGCTTTATCTTCAGTCTTCTCATTTGAATCATCTAGGATGTCAAGAAACAAGTTATTATCACAAGTGTCTGGCTTAAACAGGTTAGTTTGAGCGCCCGTCAACACTTTGGGCTTATTGAAATTCTTTCTCTATTCTGTGCTCGGTAATAACATAGCGCGGTGCTACCATCTTAAAGAAGGTAATCCCGAAAATAATTAATGTCGATGAAATTGATTGACGTTTTCTTAACCTTTCATGGATTCCTAATCAGAGTTTAGTTACGTGTAGTTTGACAATGGGATTTTAACACCCCGGTCAGTGAAAACCAAGATAACTTAATATTCTCTTGTAGAAAGTGATTGGCGACGGTCTTTGCGTGATGTTACCAAAGTTGCTTACGGAGTCATCAAGCCAGTAACACAGCATGCAAATACATAACAACCAATCATTTTATCTCAAAGAAAATTTTTTTTAAAAAACCCCATTCCCCGTTTCAATTTGTAAAATTAAAAAAAATGTAATCCTTCGTTACATGAACTATGTGTCAGCAGTGCACGGTGCGGAAAGAGAATTTGAAATGTACAGCGGGAAAACTTTATCCATCCTTGTGATCAAGGCTTTGGATTTTAACTTCACATGCCACTGAGTGCTTTATACTCTACAGGCTTGGTTTGATCCCGAGTTAAGATGGAACAAATCTCATTACGGTTGGATCGATGAGATCAGTTTGTTTCCTAATGATGTTTGGGTACCGGATACCGTCCTATTAAACAAGTAAGCTCATGCATATCAAACGATTATCCTTTATAATTATCCAACTGCACTTAGTACAAATATAGCACGAATAGAGTACAAATATCGTGCGATATTTTACGATTATTTTACGATTATTTGCGTTACGCTTCTCTATCCGCTTTCCTGTTCCCGCCTTATGAGAAATGAACAGAAAGACTTAGCAGGAAAAAATGCAGTTGGATAATAAATAACTTATTAGACGTTTTGATGTGTTATATCGCCCAGCATTTTTACTCCTTTGTATTTCGGACTCGCACAACGGCACAACTCGTAAAAATACTCAACGATACTGCACACCAAGACGTTTTATAAGAAATATATTTTTTAACCAACTGCACTTGGCAGGGTACAAATAACGCGCGAACTGAACAAAAATATCACGCGATATTGGAAGGTTGATTGTTTTGTCTTGCAAAAAAATTTGTTTATCCGGTCGGCTGCGCGTGCTACGCTTCTCTTTCTGCTTCACTTTTCCCGTCTTACAAGATATGCGCTTAAAATAAAGCAATTGGATAATAAATAACTTCTTAAACGTTTTGGTGTGTAGTATCGCTAAGAATCTCCACTCTTTGTTTGCGTTTTGACTCGCCTCACGGGCAAGTCAAAATACAGTACAACTAGCTCGTAAAAATACTCAGCGATACTTCACACTGAAACGTCTTATTAAATATATATTCATATTTTAGCTCAAATATCAGAAATTCACAATTTACGTTATTCGTGTGTGTTCAAAACTTGGTGGAAAACTGGTCGATAGGTTCTGTAAATGTCAGGGAAGAAGCAATATCTGCTAAAAGGATATGTAAAACACTTGACAAGAAAAAACAAGAGAAAGTCAACTTAAAAATACCTTAGTGGCCCTATGACCTTTTATAAAAATATCACCTCTTTCAGTGCTGATACCTACAAAGTGGGCAAACCATTAGGTACGCACAATCCCTTGCTGGTAACCTCTCAGGGTACAGTCCGCTGGCTTGCGCCGGTCATCCTCAAGAGCACGTGCAAGTTAAGAGTGAGGTATTTCCCATTTGACGAACAGTTCTGCAAGCTCAAGTTTGTTTCCTGGACGTATAGTAAAAGCGCATTAGTTCTGGAACCCGAGGACACAGAGATATTACAAAACTATACAGGTAATTTTATTTATCTTTCATTGCGTTTTTTCACCTCTCATATTGGGTCTTTTTTTTCTTCGCCCACTATGTAGGATGCAAATAACCGTGGACAGACGCAGCGGCAAAATGAGTGCGCATGCGCCATCACTTTTGCCGCTCTTTCCCGCCGACAAACAATATACGCACTAACTGTGTTTCAGGCCGCCGAAAAAGCTTTTTTTGCTTTGATAATGATTTGTACTCTTCTTTGGACGTTTTGCTATCTTCAGCTGAAAAGCTCGTTGACTTAAAATAAAAAATGCGTGCTTAGTGCCTGAAGGGGGTGAAAGGTTAATCTCGTACGTAGATCCTGCCGTATAACAGAAATGCTTGGCCGTGGATGGTCCAGGTACGAGACTGGGTGAAGGGACGCCTACATTGCGGGAACAGTCTCTCTTATTCCGTGGATTTTTCGTAAATGGAGGCTACGTAGAGTCGATCCACAAAGGCTTAATCCTGCCGGATAGATAGATAAATTAATAAATGCATATGTTCAGGGGAATATAATTATTTCATGAATGCCATTCTTTTATATTGAAGTTAATTTCCGTTTATCTCATTTGATTTGTTTTGTCCTCTTTCTACCAAACAGTGCTATTATGAAAGCATTTTATCTTGTTTTACTTGTAGAAAGTGAAGAATGGTCCTTAAAGCGTGTGTACGCCCTGAGATCATCAAGCAAGCCTACTCATACCAACCCAGAGAACAAATCAGCAGTGACGTACATTATTCACATTAGACGCAAGTCCTTTTACTACTTCGTGTACCTCATCGCACCTTGCATGATGATGTCATTCATGACGTTGATCTTATTCACCCTCCCCCCTGAGAGTGGCGAAAGAATGGTAGTGGGCGTGACCATTCTGTTGTCACTCATTGTGTTCTATTTGTTGGCTTCTACCCATATCCCTGAGACATCAGAAGTGGTACCACTGATTCTAAGGTAAGTTGAGAATGATTTCCGCTAATCACTTAGTTGATTAATTCATTTATAGTTTAAAAGATAAGAAGAAGAAGCGCTTCTTAAGACACGAACAAAATCGCGCAAGTACTTCGCCGTACGTATCCACGAGTCTAAAAAAATTTACTTTCTCACAAAGACGTAGTTCAGTTCTATCACGATTCACAAAACTCTTTTTTCAATAATCTCGATGCGTGGACCTAAAATGGCGCATCGCAAAATCATAGTCTCCAATAGTCTCCCCCCCCCCCCTTACATACACACACACACGCACTCCGCCATTTTGAGCGGATAATCGCTATGCATGCATTGCACATGATAGTGTGAGGGCGGTTTTTTATTTTTTTTTTTTGCAGATACTACGTGTTGACTATCATTGAGATTTCAAGCGCTTTGGCTTTAACCTGCTGGGTTTTAAGGTTCCATCATTACAACACATCTATTGGAAGGATCCCAAACTGGGTCAGGGTATGACTTCTCCCTATTCAGTAGATACAGTATATTCCTTTGCTTGCTCATCAGGAATATGTGGTTCTCCTTAGTTCGATGCATTGAGCCTGTCTCTGTTGTTTTAAGGTATGCATACTCGGTTACGTTGCCAAAGCAGTGCTATACAAAGTTCCAGAAGGAATCTCCATGGCAACCGAATCAGTGGAAGAACAAGGTGGGATTCGAAACTAAAGATTATAAAAAAAAGGACTAACTTAACTTGTAACAAGAGGTATTATAATTTATGGCTTGTTTCTCTTCCGAAGAAGCACTTGAGTCAGCGGCAGCTGCTACACTTTTGCGCTCACCAGAAACAAAAGAGAGATTAAAAATTTATTTATTTCAGGATCTACAGGGGGAGGGGGGGGGAGTTTTGAGAGGATCACATAGTTTTCAGGAGAAACGGAGGGGAAGTAAATAATAACCTGTCTTTGAGGAAATTGCCTGAATTAAATGTTTGACAAATGAAGAACCCTTTGATTTCAAAATCATAAAAAGCCAGCAAGTCGAAATCTCAACCCAGCCCTTTCCTCCACTCTCTTGATGATTTGTCGCTGATTTATCACCAAACCGTTTGTAAGCATAACTTTTTTTTCCAGAAAACAGAGACAACATTGACAGAGAAATCAACGGTAGCTCCTTGGCTCGTCGACGTCTTCCCAAGGAGCCTAGCGGTATTACGATGATGGCCGAACGGGAGCTGAAGAAACAAGAAGAAGGGAACATACAGGAAGAATGGCAGCTTGCCGCGCGCATCATCAATCGGCTTTTCCTTGTTGGCTATTTGATTGCCGTTATCTTATCCATATTTGGTATTTTCTTACAAGTTCCGGGAGTTTTCGTCTCTAGGCCCTCGCCGCCAACTTCTGACGATGAGTAGCTGTGGTTGAATTTCTTCGTGTAAGTCAAACAGTGAACAAACACAACATTTAGTAAGTAGATCAACTGAGCCGTTCAGTATTTCAGCCAGTCGGTACGCTGGTCAACAAATCTGCATTTCAGTAAGCGATTAATTTAGTCAAAACTTGGTTTGTCAGTCAGTCACAGCCGTTTCGTTTTCAGTAATTAGGGAACCGTTTACGATACTATTACGGCGACGTGTGGTAGAACGTTGCCGAAAAACGCAGTATATTTCCCTCCGAGACTTTTTCTGCCAATTAATAGCTCGATACGTTTAACGTTTCCGAAGGTACGACATCTTCACTTCAGCACAACATGTAAATGTAGTATTGAGTTTAAAATAATAAAGTGTCTAAATAGCTGTCGAGGTTTCCTCGCTAAGAGGAGGTAAAAGTTGGCGATTTCACGTTTTAGTTCTGTGTGGGACGGCTAAGAAATGTGCAAAGTTTTAAAACGCACGTGTTTTTGGCAGTCGTTTTTCTCGTTAGGTCTTTTGTTTCACTAAGATTTAGTTGCCGTCGCCGTCGTGGTTCTCGTTAAGTCCCGGACTTAGTCAGTAAGTCAGTCATTACGTTTGTCATACCGAAAGATAGCTCTTAGTAAGTCACTTAGGCAGTGAGCCTGGCAAACCTTCAAGTAAATGGGCTTCTTGCCATTTCTCCTCTTTACTTAAACATGAATAGAACATCCCGAAGGAGATAAGGATCTAATCGTAAAGTAGAGATCAGGGGTGAAAATAAATGGATTTCTTGCTAAGACATATAATTGAAATAAAAAGATCAGATAGTCTCGAAAAGCCGATTTATTATCTTGTGAAAGCTGCTATTCAGAGACAAGGGTCACGAAATCTGACGGTCTGGGGTTCGACTTCTCGTGGAAATTACACATTTTTTGTGCCTCGCTTGCAATAAAAATACTTTTTAATCATATCTTGACTATTTAATAGATCTGATCTCGATGCGCTTGCACCTTAAGTTAAACTGTGAAGTCCAATTCCCATTGGTGCATAAACATACGAAAAAAAGGTTCCTTATGATGAAGCTTGGTTCTCACGATCGAATCATTTTTGACTAAAATCACATCGAGCTCAAATCAGCTGAAGATTTCCCCAGGATCTTATATGAAAAAGTCTTGGAAGTTCTAAAGGGGAAATTATCACAGAATTTTCTCGTTATTAACCCCTTATTTCACCAAGAGAACTTTGACTTCGATTCATGTTCTCAGTCTTGAGCAGTCTACAAAATAGAACTTTGAGGGTGTTTTTAAATACTGCCGCGCAGAAATAAGAACGTTGGAAAATTTTACCAATTGGGAAATAGCTAAAAATGACCGTGGCTTTCAACGGATCGCAAACAAAAACTGACTAACGATTACCTTAGCCTGAAGGAAACGTGCACGAAAACAAGAAACAAAAGCGGCTAAACCACCTCGCACATCGGACAAATAGGAACTCGGCTACATTCAAAAACGTTCCAGGGGGGCCTGGTTTACGTAAGTCCACATTTGGTTAAGTAACAACCCACGCTTTCCGTGCATTCTTTCTTTTTTGAAAGAATTTCAGGAACATTCAGATCGTGGTATCCATGGAGGCAAATGAACGTAATAAATTTGACTGACAGATTCACCTTATTACCCTTGAAAAATTATCATACTGACCACTTCACTTTTAGTTACAGTATTTCAACTGCAGAAGTGATATTCATTTAAATCCGGCCAAACTCACAATTTGCATTTCAATCCATTAAATAAATATAAATATTGATATGCACTTTTTCGCACTTTGAATCTCGTATTCCGATGTAGACTGATAGCCTTCCCGGATTTAAGTGATCTGCATTCATTCAGTCAAAAATCTAGATAAGTAAACGTTCTTTCAGTCACTATGTTTTATTATTATACCTTTTAAACGTTGGATGCGGTATGACGTTATTGAAAAGCGTAAAGAAATTCATTAAGTGTAACATAAACTGTGGTGTCTGTGCAATTGTTAAGCGATACGCCAATAGGATTCAAAGTGATTCGATACGTAGCTAAGGAATCTTTGAACACTCCGGCCTCCGGATGAGAGTGCAGAGGGTCAAGACATCGAAACACGTTGATATGCAAGAGTTGTGCTTATTTGACGTTACGCTTCAGAGGTAGCGCGCTCCAGCTGGTTTACCTGTACGCACAAGAAACTAATCGACACTATAATTTTCTTGTGGGCAAACTCGTGATTGACGTGTTTTTTCGCAGATCAACATATTTGCCTTCCTGAAGTTGGAAAATTCATCGTTGGCGCTGAACCGTCGATTAAATTTAAACCAGCAAAGAGTCAAGGAATATGATTACACCTTCGCACTTTGCAACAGCGGGTTACTGAATGCCTGTTAAGACGTGGACGTTCACAATTTATGTTTCCGCTCAAGAAGACTGCGTTTAAAAACCGTAAAGAGGCGTCAAGCTTCGAAACAGACGATTGCATCTTCATTGTTGTTTCTCGAATTATTGTGATTAGAACGTCACTTGGTCCAATATATGCACTGACAAAAAAAAACAACAACTGACCTATATCTGTCTCAGAAGCAAACGACCTGCTGAAAACAACAACAATTCTGTTATGACGGTACGAAGGTAAATTTGATCAGACGCAAACTCGTTGTTTACATCAGCAAGATCTCAGGAGAGAAATAACAATGGAAAGACCTCGTCACAGATCATTGCAAAAGGAAATTTTGATTCAAGTTTCAGAGTTTCCTTCGAGATCGAATGCCCCTTTACTCAGACAGCGGTCACGATCGTTAGGAGAAGGGGAAAGCTTGAATCCTATCATTAATAAGAAAGGTAAGTCGAATATTATCACTCAATGAAAACTTTCAAAATTTAACGGGGCTAGAGTAGAATTCGGACATCTGAGGGGGCAGAATAAATAGATTTGCTCGCGATTGCGAACATGAATAATTTTTTTTCGCCGCTTTGTCTGACATACATAGCTGTTTTATTGTTTGTCTGGTCACATCAATCCATTGGTATATTTGCATCTGTTTGACATGCACTCATCTTGAAATTAAATGTGCAAGATGTTTACAATATTAACATTCAACTGCAATGCTTAACATGAGCTTGTAACAGGAGGCGTTTTTTAAATAGTTAGCACTAGGATTCTGGTGCACGCAGCGCCTAAATCGCTTTACAAACTTAAAATTATGAACCGCAAATATTTGTCTGCGTATTACTCGCCGTAAGAGACTTTTCTGGCTTTAATTGCAGAGGAACCCAATATTTGTTTTCACGCGGCAGTAACCCTTCAAATTACGTTTGATTCAAATGCACAATCGACAGACATAAAAATAACCTTTTCTTCTATTATTCCGATGATTCAAACCTTTTTTATTTTTTCTCTTCAAGGTTCAGGCTATAATTAGTCGACAAGAAAGGAATTTTTTTATGTTGAGGCATAAATTTAAGCTAGGGCCCGTTTCGCTCACAAGCTCATGTAACTTTACGATCGCGAATTTTTAGGATTAGTTTTGCGAGTCCAGTCTATTTTATTCAGTTTTACACTTTTTCACTCTTCTTTTTCTATATTTTTTCTTTAAAATCAATTCGATTTTCAATGTTAACCTCGCAAACAAGTTTTTCGGGCACAGATTCCTTACATCACGATCCCATGTCTTGATTACTGTTTCTCAGTGATCCATCCGGTTAGACCCACCCCTGTACTGCCCTCTCCCTGGAAAGTAGGAGCAAAGGAAATGGAGCTAATACATACGTGCGTTTTGTATCCGCATAAGGGAATCGTAAATATTATTTCTTCCGGTGATTCAGGGAAGGCCAGGGTCATGGTTAGTTTTTGCCAACATTGTTTACCTTTTTTCTGATGTAAATTGACATGGCAAAAGCGTGCTAGCGCCCAAATCGTGTCGACAGAACTAACCAGGATATTGGTGCAACCAAAGCGACGAGTTTTTTAAGGCTTAATTCCACAAATCCAACTTCCACATAGTCTCGAAGGAAAATGCGCCTAGCTCATATGGTAAGAGCGCACGAGGAGCGCGCAAGATTTAATAATGTCTGAAACACTGAACGAGGAACAATCAGAATAAACAAGAAAGAAACATGGATGGTTACAAAATGGGAAGATTGACACGGATTGAAAATGACGAAGCAACCTCGTTCTCACGGTTCTTTCATATCGTATTCGTCTCCCTTTAAGGGACCTTTAGGAAAGAACCCTGGGAACAAAGTTGTAACGAAACGTGAGAAATGAACGTGCAATGACACATTCCTTTAAAATGTACATGATGTTTTGTTTTATGCTCCACGTGACACTGTCAGGTGAGATGTTCTCATAATAAATTGTCCGTTACTTTCGGCGGCTTGCGTGTCTAATGCTTTTCTCTCAGATGTTGGCATAAATTTTAATGGCGAAGCGATCAGAAGATCTTCGTTAATTCAAGTATCGCAGCTCAACATTTTGGTCCACTGGTTGAACTAAAAGGTCAGTAGCATGTCATGATGTGGGACTGACGAGTATATATTTCATTTGCGTCACAGGTCGTCTAAATTTTAGTTCAATTCTGGTAGAAGTTTGAAAAAACATGTCTAAGTTTTTCCTCTAAAGCTGTTAAAGTTTTGTACATCTATCCTTGCTTTGATGTACGTCCTCCAAGTGCAGCTTTGCCCGGCAATAACCAATCAGATCGAACCTTGTGCAAGATAGTGATGACTGAGGCATTTATGCTCGACACGAGATGTCTACTGGAGGACAAACTGCGGCCCAAAAACCATATAAATACATAAAATATTTCCATGTGTAGAAACAAATTGATATTTTAGGGATTATTTTTTTTTTTGAATGATTGGGAACTTACTTTTGCTACCAGGATTCACTTTGATGCGCACCTAAAATTAGAATTATTTTCCTTTTCTCCGGAGAGGGAGATTCCTCTGGAGTTAAGACAGTTGAAGTACTGCGCTGCAACCTAATAAGGATTTGCTTTTTTTATTTCAATGAGTTTTTAATTTATTTATTTATTTTTCGCGGGTTTGTATCAATCAAGAGATCAAAAGCGACCAACATTCTCTGATAAATGATTTTAAAGTCAACTAGCATTTATACGAAATATAGTCCGTGTTGGTAAAAAAATGTTTCCAGAAAGGTATATTGACATTTCCTTTCTTCTCGGGCAGAAGATGGCGTGAATGAAGAGGGGGTGTGTTAAGATTTGGTAAGTTCTCTTTTTCCAATCTGGCCTCGGTAAAATGCTGTTACTTCATTATTCCATTGAAAAACTATCCGTTATTTTATACCTCTTCGGCCCATCACCATTCTTCTGGACTGAGATCGAAAAGAATAGGTGCATGGGCAGTTTTGTCGGGGAGGAGGGGATAAGGGAAGGGCTGAGGAGACAGCTTTAACCGTTTTCTACGGATGTTTATTACGTTTTAGGCTCATATTTCTTACCGTACATTGTTTAAGGACCAGTTGTTATTAATCATCTGAGGGGGGAGGGGTAGAGAATTGGAGGAGTTCTGGGGGATCATATGGTTCTCAGGGGTGAACGGAGGGGGTAAGTCGTCACCAATAAAGTATGGAATAGACAATTGACAATTGACTACCTATTAATTACAGAACCTTATCGCCTATGGGGGGGGGTAGGGGGAATCGATACATTTCGTCTTGACACAGCCAATATATTCCGATCCTCCCCCCCTCCCCCGAAGGGATAATTAATGACCAGGTTCCGCTCGTCCGAAGGGTGGATAACACTATCTTCTAGATAAATCTCTACACGGTGGATAGCGCAGTAAGTCTTGTTCACTCTTATCTGCTGTATAGCAACCTTTCATTGGATAGGGTTATCCGCTCTTTAAACAACTGGGTCCAGACTCACCCTTTTACAACATAGAAATGTGGAATTTTTGTGATTCGCAAATAAACGCTTCCTTAAAATCTCGCTCAATCAATAGTTCTTGAACTCAGAAACTCAATTAAACAAAAGAATCAAATCGATGCTACGTCAGTTTATTTACTTTCATCAGGTCACCAAGGTTTGCAATGTAAACATGTTGGCTTTCCGCTTCGCGAACTTTGACCGGGTATACGTCATGGTAACTTACGTTTACGTCACAGTGGTCAAAGCTTGTTTAGCAACAGGAACCGCATTACAATTTAGACATGCTCCGATTGTTTTTGAACACTTCTTTTAAAGGAATTGAACGCGTTCAGGTTATTGCATATTTTTTTGCGTGTTTTTTTTTCCACATTTTTCAACGGTCGAGACTTTTTCCTCATTTACCGCGCCACTTCCGCTCGATTTGAAAACCCTAATTGCATCATGGGAAGATAAATAAAATTATTTTTGGGACCTTTGCTCAATGTTGGTCTGGGAGAGACAGTTTACGAGAATAATGTGACCAGGTTGTCATGTAATCGGTGACTTCGATGGCTGTAAAACTTTCAGAAGAGAGAAGAACTAAAAAGACGCTGCTTACGGTGGCGAAAATTTTTCGCAATCGTTCGCTGTGAGCTCGAAAGCTGATGTCGAAACCTCCTGCATCTCCTCGATATCACGTCCGAGGTAAAATTCTCTCATTATACTACTTACAGCTGGAAAAAAGACTTTTATTCACACCTAACCATTTAGTGCATGTGTTTCTTGAAGGACTGATGACCTCAAAATATGACACTTTTTTTGTATGTGTTGCTGCACTTATGTAATTGTTTCGAGTATAAACTCACAGGTTGACCGCGATCCTTACTTAGTTGTTGGCCTTGCTTTCTGTGGCATGGTACAGTTAGGTAACTGACACTTTTTAACTTTGGCTGAGCGCTCGACATTTTTCTTTTGGGTGGGAAGCGGTCATGTTGTCAGCTCTTTATTTTGTTAGTGCTGAGAAGCGAATAACTGCTGGGAGGGCTAATCATCGTTCCATGTTATCGTTGACCTTACCTCTCAAGGTCATACCTAAACGTGTCAATATAAGCTTGAAGAAGTAAGCAGTTTATCGATGCACATCGATTGTCTTTCTGAAGATCATTTCGTCACAAGTTATCATTTATTCATGACCTCAGTTGCTTGGTGGTTCGGCTTTATTTCTACCAATTACATCGTTGTTTACTTTGGAGCGAAGTCCATCGAAATCGTTTTGATAAAGCAATGAACGCCTGTGCTGCCTCCGTTCGTCCGTGAACATCATTCATTGTTTCCTTCGGGGCTCTTGATTTGAGGTAGAACATTTGAATTTTTGTTTCCCTCTTTCCAAAGCTTTCTTTTGGCTCTACAATCAATATAAGATATAACAGTAATGGCCTGCACCTTTATGCTTTCATGCGCGGCCATATTCGTTACGTATTGTATACTTCGATGTTTATTCCATAGTTTGAATTGTGTAAATAGAAAAATACTTTACAATAGCTGTAACTTGTTCGTTATTTTTGATCGCGGGACTGTATCGTTTGAACCCGAAATACAAGTTGATCCATCTGATATTGTATCTCTGTATCTCACGAACTACAAGAAGCGTCGAATTCTATAATCGTAATTTTTATTATTTTGCTTAAGTGTGTTGTGATTTCTCGTCAATGGAGTTTACATGATGTGTTTATTGCAGTTAATATTAAAAAAAAATGATATTGATTAATTTCAGCGTTCGCTGAAATAAAAGTTTTCGATTGCATGGCAAGGAAATTTTAGGATTCTTACAGAGTTTGCACGAAAGCCAATAGTCAGATACATGTGCTAACAGCTGAACGGTGTCGCAATTTTATTAAATTATGCAGCTGGTTTTAGTTAATGTTATCTTTTAAATGTAGGAACGTGATTGCATTGCAGCTTATCTGAGTTGAGTATTAAACTGGTTGTTTCCCACCTTGTTTTAAAGAAAATCTTGCATATGGTGCATCCACTATTTAGGGTTTCTTGCTGAATTTGAATTAAGTTTGTCTCAAGAGAATTTTGTAAGGGAAAGATATGTTTAACTTGGCCCACATGTGGACTTTAAATTTCATGGTTTGACAGTTTCAATTTTAATAACTACTTGTCATTTGCTTTTTGTGATTGCTTGCATTTTCATCACTGGATGTTGGAAATTTCTGTGTAACCCCCTAAGAAGTCTTCAAATGATATGTGCCAGAGTTGGGGGAAGAAATTTCTGTAAAGCTGTGAAGGTAGTCAGTCTTTTTTATTGAAGTTGTTTCCAAAGTACATTGTAGGTGTCACACTGGTTTATGATTGAATGGAAATCTTCAGTAAACAATGATGTTCATATGGCTAAACAATTAGTCTTACACCATGTGAGTTTTGGCCATCTCAGATAATTTAGTCTACTGTACATGTTTCAAGTTTGTCCCTAGTAAACCCCCTCAAAAAAAAATCTCAATCAGTCATTCTATCTTTGTTTGATTCCCTCTTTTTTTTGTCCTAAGTTGACAACTTACAGGTTTTTTTAAGGGAAAGATTATGCTTTTGTGTATATAGTAATGGTTGATGTATACACAAAAAATGACACAGATATAGGAAGACGTTCCAATTGCTAATAACTTCTCGGAGTTAAAAGGTTAAGCCAAAGGTGAGTGGTGTAGAAACTTTTGAAGAGATAGATTTTTGACAAAATATCAGAGTAAATACAACATCTTGATTATTATTTGGAGTCCAATCAAATCCTTCAGTCTTTATTTCAAGATCTTTGTAACTATCTAGTTGGGTATATTTTGAAAATTAAAAGTTTTACCTTTTAGACATTTTCTTCAAGCTTGTTAAAGTGTTTCTTCCATATTGTTGTATATGTGTAGTATACTAACTTCTTACTAACAAGTGTGAGAGTTGTACGGTGGAATATTGGCCTGTTAGGTCTGCACAAAAATGACAGCTCCCGTAAAGCTCAAGTAAGCGAGATTAGTGAGTAGTTTATTGAATGGCACTCAGATCAATCTTGATATGAATTTTCTGGCTTTTGCAAACCAAAAAAAGGCTCATGATGGTGATATGGCAAAATCCAGACCACGTAAGAACCAATCAGACAGCAAAGATCTTCCTCGCATTTATTGTACCTTGCCTTATGATAACTGATTGTATTTACTGCGCATTGTGGCACTGTGTCAATGAACTAGTGTTTTTATTATGATCATTATTTTCATTATTATTACAGTGTGATAAACTATGGGGTTATATATTCATTAAGAATTAAAAATTTTTCTCTTAAAAGTTACGTGTTCTGTAAATAAACTGTAAAGAAGATATTATGGCAATAAATTGTGGTAATATTGCAAAAGCAAAAGATACTTATTTAATACTAACATCTGTTCTTCTGCCCAGGATGAAGTGTCTTTATTATTCATCAATTGTGCTAGATAAGTTTGATTGTTCTAATTTCTGAATGTTGAAGTCTTGTGTATTACTTAAATTTATTATTCTTGTATGGGATTGTAGTCTGGGGTGCAGCTTATCAGCAAAAATATCCAGACATAATTGACAGGGCCCACAGGTTTGGCCTCACCACAAAGAAAACAATTATAAATGACTTAACTAAAGATGGGGACTCCTTGGAAGCTTTTTAAGAACATAATCAGTGATGATCATGAACTCCATGATTGGCTACCTCCAAAGAGGAGACTTGTGCTCCGTGGGTGCCAGCATGAATTTAATAAGTTAGAACCAAATGCTTCAAGCATCATTTCCTGAATAGATGCCTCTTGCATTAAACTCACAGCATATAAGGAACTTCATAATGTTACATAATGTTATCAATGTTGCAATTTTTATATTCTTAATTACACTTATAATTTTCTTATTAACACACTGTAAAGTTACACAATTTATAAAAGACAGGGTATAATTTTATTATTATTACCATTAAATTATTTGATTATGAAATTGATACAATTTAGGTTTGCAGGTATTTAATCCTTCTGGATTTAAGCAGAACTCAGTAATTTATGCTGTCTTAAAAAAAGCAAATAGATATTTACTGATAAGAAGGAAGGTGACGCAGGGCTGAAGAGGCATTTTTAGAGTGCCACTTACTTGTGCTAAATGATATGTGTTAATTATTATTTTGATTGAATTGGGACATATGGCAGTTTTTCAAAGTACTTTTCCAGATTTTTAGACAAGAAGCCTCTGGTTTGGAGGCATGAGCCCCTTGCCTACAAGAAACCAGTGCATTAAATTCTATAATTGTTTTTTACAAGCATTTTTTTAATATATATATATATATATATATATATATGTTCATACATGTTTCTAAGGTACTGGTGTTCTGACTTACAGATGAGATTTTTAAGCTTCAAACATTTATATCTAGTATATAGTACAACTTTGCTGACCAAGTGTAATTGATTACAGAAAACAATTTTTAAGTACAAGGAAAAAGTTTACATTATTTTTTTATATCAAGCTGTGTTTACTGGCCAATCACATCGTGTGATTCTCTGGTTGATGATCCATGCTTGTATTTCCAGTTTGGATTTGTCTATAGACAGTAGCTTTACATTATTTAAATATGTTATCCTAAATATGAAATTAGCACCTGCACAAATTAAATCTCTATTTTATGGCAAGTGGGTTGCATTTGTTAGAGTAGAAGACTATTTGAAAATTCACATGTAGGAATTCTTTAAGTTGATGCATTCATACACAATAGACAGGGTATTATTGAGAAGTGGAAACTAAAAGGATTCTTAGTCATCCTGACAGGTAGAGGTTTAATGTCAATGTTTTTTTTATACCCTGTTCTGTACCTGCAACATAATGTTTCCAAGGCAGTGCCGATCAGATATTTATCCACCCAATCATTGTATAAGTCTCAGATTAAATTTCGTTGCTTTTGGTGTGAAGAATATTCACCTGTGACTAAACAATGATATTAGTCTTCTGTTGTTACATTAGTATATCTTCTTCCTGAATTTGAATATTAAAATTCAGCCCACAATTAGTTTGCTTTAATAGCCCTAACAGTAAAGTAAAAAATTTAATTCAGGTATGTTTAATGTCTTGCTTGGGTGCAAATGAGAGACTTGACCGTACATTTTGTGCATTAAATACACATATGTACTCATACTATGAATTGAACCAAATCTTCTTGTTTAATACTTTGAACTTATTACAGATAACTTGAATGTTAACTGAAGTAATTTGTCATACTTTCCTGTAAATTGGAACGGTCACTCTAAACAGGCACTTTGATTATTTGGTTGTGGACAAAAGTACTGTAGATCTGAAAGCCTTAACACTTGCCAGCTATTTTTAAAGCTAGCTTTACCTGTTTGAAAAACAGGTTTTAGATGATAAAATTTAGGATTGTTTTTCAAATGAATCTTAAAAGAGTATATATCTTTCAGAATACATAACATGTATTCCGTGTTTGATTAAGTTTTATTATTGAGTTAGTAATCACAACAAGTTTGGGTTTTGGTGATTGTGTTTTTCTGTTCATCAAAATATGCACCAGCTTGATTAGTTTAAATTTGTAAATGAGCATTGTACACTTTACTGAAGATAGTGACCTCTCTTCTGTATAGACATCAATATCTTTTCATATCTATGATCTCACATAATGTTTTAAGTCCACAGGAAATAACTCCCATGTGTGAGATATTGATTCAGAGTTCCGTCAACACAACATGTACTGAATTTGTTCATTCATTAATTTAATTTGTTTTTCTTTGTATTCAAACTTTTTTGAAATGCAGTGATTCAAATAAAGCTTCCAAAGCAGAGTCCCAGATCACTGAACAACAGTGCAACTTCATTGTCATCACTTGATGCCTCAGCTGGCTCTCACTCTCCCTCGTCTCCTCGAAGCAACAAGACACTAGGTACAGCATCTCATTTCTCCTTACTGCATCACTGCTTATTTAAACAGTAAGGTTTTGAGAATAAAGGAAAGGTTCACTAGCTTTTGATTTTCAAATCAGTTCTCCATGTCAGCGACATAGTTTAGGAAGTGTATTGAAGGCTGGTATAGTATATGGTGATGGTGCGTAGTAATGTAAAAGTTTTGAGGGGTAACAATTCAACTGATGAGATTTTGACAAGGTTAAAAAAATTGTAATGTTATGGAGGTTGGAGGTTGGAGGTTAAATTCATTTTGAATTTATCAGCCATGAAATCCCAGATGGTTGGACATGTCACCTTCGTGAGTTCCTACATTGTAACTGATACATTTCAAAATATATACAAATTTTTAAGAGAAAATGAGGTGCAAGTATGTAGTTTAAGTGTATTTTGAATAACTACAAGTCAGCATCTTAGGGAGTTGTGAAATATTTGCCTATTACAGGTTAAGAGAAGGTCAAAATTAGAAACATGTTGGTTGTCTGGGTAAATGGCAATGACAATCCTACCATTTTTTTCTTGTCTGATTCTTGTCTCCACCGATCAAGTGCTTAGCACACATCAGTCTGCGGAACTTGCATTAGACACACATGTACAGGTGCGAGTTAATTTAAATCTTTTTTTGCCAAAAACAGCAATTCAGAGACTGTTTGGAAGGAGCAAAGAGAATCATGGTGCACATAGTGGAAGGGAAGATTCAGAGGTAATTTTTCAGATACTGTAGAAAATTTAAAAACAACCTCTTCTGGTGGAACAATGTATTGTTAGATTGTCAAAAATGATCTTTAAGTCAACATTTGTTTGCCTAAATCTTGCTTCTGCGGACAGAAGTCTCCAGCCAAAATTAACAATCGTGGTGTTTGGCAATTATATCAATATATCAATGAAGTGTTGTAATCTGTATCTTTCACAGAACGAGGATGGCGGCTTCAAGTTAAAGTTGAATGTACCTACAACAAGGCACAAACAGTTCTCTAAAGTCCTGGCTGAAATCAAAGATAGAACGATGCCCTCCTCGTAAGTAGCACAATTTTTAGTCAACAGTTAATAATCAGGGTAAGAGCCTTCAGCAAAAATTTTTATAAAATTGTTTTTTTTTTCGTCATCAAGATGGTCAAAGGGAAATTCTTGGAAATAGAAGAAAATTATGATTTTTAACCGTTATTTTGTCACTACCGTTACGGTAGTAAACTTTCAAACTCTGCGGAGAGACAACTACTTTTTGTACTTGTGCATGTATTTATAGAAACATCTTTTTTCTTTTTAGCAGCACGAAATGAATAAACGAAATTAAATCAAAATGACAAAACTTTCTATTACTCTTAGGCTGGGTAGGCGCCGCAGCAAAACTCAAGAGTCTTCGACAACAGACTCTCGTAACAGCGCTGATAGTGATGGTGGACCAGGTCGGCCTCGGGGGGCTACTTCAGTTGTGAGCTCTTCCAGCGGTGCTGGGTCAGAGATTCAAACGAGGGCAAGAAGTGGCACAGGATTGTCCTTTAATGAAGATGACTCTGGCGAAGTAGATTCGGTTCGTACAATGGCTCTCTTTATTTCTCTCTTTAACCCTTTCACTCCCAAGATCTAATTAGTAATTCTCCTTACTGTCTGCCATACAATTCTTATGACATTAGTTCAGAGAATTTGATATTGGATCAATTAATAATCCCATGATTGGTTTTTTTTTCTATTCCCATCACCTGTCTGCTTGATATTGTATTGATATTGTAAGGAGAAATTCTGTCTTGGTCACTTGTGGGAGTGAAAGGGTTAATGTAATCTGTTTAGAGGAAGAAGTGACTTAAAAGTTATAATAGCAGTTGTGTGCATGTACAGTGTGTATGTACACGTTATGTTTCTCTTATGTGCTGTAGATGCTGAAATTTTGGTGCTCTCATTTCGAAACTATCTTTACCTCTGCTCCTGTCTCAGCGCTAATGAGAGCCTTCCCACAAGCAATTGTGTGAAATGCTTATTTTTTTTATTGTTGACCTCTGATGAATCCGGCTACCAGGTTCCTATTACGGTTGTCAATAATACCTAATAGTTTCTACTCTTGGTGAGACAGAGGTACTGTTGCAATCCAGAACCTTGCTCCAACTAGGGCTAGAACCTAGGCCTTCTAATCCGCTGTATGTCACACTAGGAAAGTTGTATCCTATTAATTTTACTAACAATATTAATCCGTTGATTTTGCAGCTTGATGGAACGTTTAGTTCTCAAGATAAGGAATATGATGAAGTTGATGGACAGATAATCGACTCAGAGGTGGCCTGGATTTGTTCTTCATGCTAAACAAACACTGCTAATTTTGTCAGCGTATGAAAACCTACAAATTTCTTTGACATGAGACAGGCTACAAAATATTATTTCAGCTAGATCGAAAAACACAAAAGAGGCAACAGTGAACTAAGAAGGAGCAAGGATGGCTAAGGATGAAAACGATTTACAAGTATTGTGAATGACCATACGTAAAAAAACCAAGAATGACCATACGTAAAAAAACCAAGAATGACCATACGTAAAAAACCCAAGAAAGGTAATGATGGTCAAGGAGGAATAAGAGGCAGCGGCTGAAAGAAGATTGAAACAGAATATTTATTAATGACTGTGAATATATGAAAATCATGTATATGTGAACTGCGGTTTAAAAAATGAGCATGGAAGCAATCGTCGCTGTAATAAACACTACTTGAGCAGTAGTGAAAATAAGGCAAAATGGCCCAACCCAAATGGGTTCAAATCAGTTGATAGAGCACTGCACCGGTATCGTAGAGGTCATAGGTTCAAATCCTATACAGGCCTGAATTTTTTTCAGGCCTTATTTTCACTACTACTTAATCAGTGTTCATTACTGCAAAGATCACTTCCATGTTCAGAAAGCAGATTATTAAAATCTAAAGTCTACAATAGTAACGTTTACACTGCCCTTACGTGACTGAAAAGATTAAGGAAAAACGTAATTTGTTCTTCTGAGTGTCCCACATCGTATTTATTGTTTTTGTTGTTTATTTATTGTTGTTGTTTGTTTTAGAAACGAAGACAGCGCGTGGAGCACTTGAATTTCAAGATAAGAAGAACCAAGGAACAGATTCGACAGCTACAAGATGAGAGAGATGGTGAGTGATATTTTTTAACATATGTACTCCTCCTTACTCTCGATTGCGAAGACGTTGACACCTGAAAAGCATGAATCCTTGTACGATGGGACACAAAAGCTTTATGGGTATAGATATGTGATTATCACATTAAGTTGGGCGTGGTGAATGATGGAAGCTATCCAAACTGAATCACTGGGAAAAACTGAAAAAAGTTTGCCATGAACAACGGAAGCAGCAGGTCATTGATCATGCGATTGTTCACATACTGCCAATAAAACTGTTAGGTGTCGCCGTTTTTGGATAATTTTTTCAAATGTCTACCATGATTTCAGTCGAGTGCATACAACAGAGTAACGTGCACTATCACAACGGCAATTAGCAGGATTTTTGAGAAATTAGCGCGTTAGCTCGATCCTCAGGTAATTTCCCTTTTTTTTTTCGGGCTTCATTTTCAAATGATTATTTTATGCGATAAGTTGTGTATTGAGAGCTCTATCGATACCTCTGTTCTTTAACTTTTTGTGTGCCGGTCTTTCCTCTGGTACGAGTTAATTATTGATTTGATGGTGTGATCTTGAAACACTGTTTCCCTAATATGCTCGAAGAAAGAAAACCACGCGTAGCAAATCATCGCCAAGTGCAGATGGGCCTTTCCATAAGAAATTTGTGTAATTATACAGTGGGTCTTATTTCTCTCTACAGAATATGTGAAAGAGTACCTGGAATCGACAGAGGGCGGCTCGCAAAAATCTAAGTAAGTGCTAACCAGGGTCCTTCCCTGAACCAGTCTCTCGTAATTTTTGCCCCTTGCTCGTGGACGTGACGTTTCCGAAAAGAACCCGATCATTATCGAGAAACGTCAAGGCTCTCAGAAGACTCTGCCTTAAAGTAATCAGCCAAACACAAGTGAGTTAAGAAAGAAACAAGCACGAATCTGCTAAAATATCTTGAAAACATCGAGAGCACTGAGGGCCTTTGCGTGCAGATTCATGCCTCGACAATTGATTCAAGATGCCGAAGAGATGAGGCTGTTGGGTCGCTTCGGATAGCTCACGATAGCTCACGATAACTCACAATTGTCGATGTTAAACAGCTTTGCACAAAGTGTTATGTGCAGCGTAAATTTTTAGGAAAATTTGAAATCGCGAAAGTCGAAACAGTGAAAATAGCATTCCTGGTTGGTGGTAAGTCATCTTTTCCGTACAAGCTTGTTAATTTTAGGTCATTCAAGAATTCCGCTCAATTTTTGCTAAGAAAATTTCGTGAAGAGAAAAGACAAACCGAACAAGTTAAGCCGCCAAAAGTAACTTCTTTTGCTCGTATTTATTTGATAATTTTCCCCAAAAATTTTGCCGACTTGATGCACTCGAACCAGTATTTTTTGGCTCACATCCAAAGATTTCGAACAAGTGCAATTCATGTGAGGTATGTTACCCTGACGCGTGACGCGTTGCGCTAGCGACCTATTTAATATTCACTGCTGGGACGGTATCACTCTTTGCGATTAAGTGTTCGATACGATGTACTTTGCGGAACTTAATTAACGTCCTTGCCCTTTCAGGGCTGTCTTCGAGAAGAAAAACCAGAAGACAAATTCGGCAGTGGCTCAACAGCAGAAAAAGCTGGAGAAATATCATAATGAACTAATGGTGAGTATTTATTACTTACACATGGGGAATCATGTTATGTTTACGTCGTATGACCTGATCACAAGTCTTTCCTTTGAAACACTCAGAATCTTAGAATTTGTTGCATTGCATTTAGGATTTCGTGGTGAAAAGCGCAGTTTTGTAGGGTTATGATAGGGGTTGATTACGAGCACAAAACATGGATCAATCTTTTTTGAGATAGTTTCCCTCGAGTGCTTGTGTCTTCAAAATATTCGACATATTTTTTCCTAATGCGGTTTCAACAAGGTTTGTGATTATCTGTATTTTGTCATTAATTTAATTATAATTATCATGCGCGTGGCTGTTCAACTTTGGTCAACACTCAGACAAAACTGACGTGCGGGCATTTTTGCCGTCTTGTTTATAAGGTTGTTCATGAAACACTGTATGTTTTCAATAAAGATGGTCAAAAAAGTGCCCCCAATATGGGCAAAACAAATATCTGCGCCCTGTATGACGATTAAAGCTTCATCGTCTTCACTTTTCGCGGTCGAATTCACTATTGTGTGAGCTGTAGAGAACTGAATGACGCGGTAAACTATATGTTAGGTTCATGAGTGTCAAACGTCCTCTATACTCTAAGGATCGGCAATGTAGACCCTTCACTTTTTAATGTGATTACTGATTTAACTTCATTACAGGGACTGGAAATGAATGGTGCAGCCCCAAGTGGACACATTGCTAAAGAAGTTTTCAAGTAGGTCAAAAATTTACCATTTTTTTCGGTTAAATCTCTGCTAGTCTAGAACTAAGTTGTTATCGTCGCTACCAGTTTGACTTTTAAGCGTCCCTTTTTTTTTTTAACAAACTGCATTCCTTAGGTTTGTTTAATTTTAAGAGGCACTCGAGTGTCAGCTTGTGGATTTTGCCTCACAAGCTTATATCTTTCAGACTGTGAAAAGCGCTGATCGATTTTCATGTCTTCGTATGTGAATTCCAGCAATTTCCTGTCGATGAGAACACACACACAAAATCGATAGGGATCATTTGTATGGGAGTTACGATCTTCAGTGAGAAAGAACTTTTTTCCTAGTTATCCTTTTCCATCTCTCTTCTTTTTTATTTTCTTCGCGTTTGTCGAGACATCCTAGATAGTGTTGTTAAGACGACAGATTACATACCAGCAAGGACGGTGTCAATAACCGTAAATATTTTAGCATGCCATCGATGCCATTTTCGTGAAAAGAGGTTACAGTTCGTATTGACTACATAAGAATTTCGACTAGCGTTTTATTTTAAGAGATTAATTGGTCAACAAATTTTTTCCTCAAGGGTAACGCTTCCTTCCCCAACATTCCAAAGTTCTACTCCCCTTCCCTATCCTCCCCCTTCTCTTTCCCCTCCCCCCCTCCCCTCTCCCTATCGGCAATCCTCATTTAAATCCCGCGGGGAAAAATAACCACGGTTTGTTTTCGTGGAGGTCTGCTATCTATTGATAATCAAATCTGACATGTCAGCCCTCTATTTTTAAAAATTCTTCAAGTAATAAAATATTCCAAGGGTTTCTAAGGGGATTTTCTCCCCTCTCTTAAATTTCTTCGACTTTCCTTACAAAGTAGCATTGAAATGTTGGGAAAGCATCTAAGATCAAAACTGTTGTGGTAGTATCAGTGCAAAGACATTCTAAAAAAAAACATGAAACTTTGCCCAAATGATATTTTCGAAGGAAAATTAAAAACTTCTTTTGAATATAGGTATAGCAAATTTCAACAAAATATCACTGTTGCGAGAATGCATTCTGTACAAGGTGCTGCTTGATAGATGCTACAAAACGGCTGTCATTTTGGAAAATTGACTTATCGCGTCCTTCGTCTACAAGTATCGCCCGAGGAATGAATAATGTTTTACTTCTTTAGCGTCTTTTGTTTTCGTGTCACTCTCGCACGCCAAAACTGTTGACACTTATTTAATAAAGGCTTTCGAGCTAACGCTCAAAAAAAAATTATTAGTTGCCAAAACACCTGTAAGGTTTTTTGGGCACTTTGTTAATGTGGAAATTTAGTTTTTCCTTTTGTCCCTTCGGGGGTCGCTTTTACCGTGAAAATTTCAAAACAAAAACATCATGGAATGAGCTGTTTTTAGCCTAAGAGCTTTTCGTTTTCTCTTGTGCGAAAATATTCTCTTCCCTTGATAATTTATAATTTCTTATGATAAGTTACTGTTTGTTTACTGCTCAAGCTATCCAAACCGAGTTAATCTTTATTAGACAAAAGTATGAAAGGATGGTTGTTTTACGCAACGGCGGCCCGCAGTATGCAAATTCACCACCGTGAAAACGTGATGAATATTGAATATATTATCAGAATTAGTAATTTCTTGTATTTTGAAGTTCGGAAAGTGAGAGGAGGAATTCGGAATTTTACACCTTTTTTCGGCTTCACTTTTTAAAGTGGGCGGAGTGCTTTTGTCATCGTCTTTCATTTCATGGCAACTGTGAAGCCTTCGCGGTCTCTCCCGAAAATCGCTGTGAATGAATCTTCCGGCCGCGAGATTGTTCAGCCGGTGTTTCTTTCGCCTAAGTGCGGTAGAAATCTGCGGACAACCCTTCATAAACACAGGTCGTGTCTTTGGCCGTAAGTCATTCACAACTGTGCAGAATTATGTGTTGCCTCGCACAAAGCTGTACAATTTTCTAGCCAAAGTATTGTATTTATTGATTTACATGTGTATGGTTTATTCATTTACGACAAACGTGTAGCAGTCCCCTTAAACGATCTTTTCACAAAGGAAAGGGATGAAAATTACTCTAATTACAATGTAAGCTAGGCTTTCTAAAACGCAGATTATGTTTCAGATATGTCATTTAAGTGATAATTATCATGTTTTCGTGAGCATGTAGTTTAAATGCAAAATCTTTTAGTTTCAGACGTCCTGACCTCTTTGAATATCGATTCTGCTCCCCCCACGACAGTAGTTTTGTGGCTGCCTGTGTTTATTTCATCCAAACCTGTTTTTAAAACCAAACATTAGTATTTAGAAGTGTAGAATTTTTTGTGATAATTTAAAATAACGAGAGTTTTCTTTAGAATTTCGTGTTTGCTCGGTTTACTGATTTTATTTCCACTTATTATTCCTTCAACACCTTCGCATTTTGTTTACACGAAATGACTTATCAGTGTTTACAAATACGTCCTGTGGTAATACAACTTGGCTTAAAAAGACTGAAGCAGCTTTTCTTTACTCCAAACTTCATAACCAAACAGAAAAATTATCATCATTCACGGTACTGTGTTACATCAAACATTTTCAGCTTTCATATTTGTGGGTTTTTTAGCCACGATCAAAGTTCCCGAAGTGGGAAAAATATTCTGCAAAATAAAACGCCGAGAAACATTCCCTTCACTTATTCAACAGTCTTTGTATTGGGATTCATTCGAAAAATCCATATATGAATCAGCTTCCATGTAGACCTAAACAACAGAACAGAAAATCGTACGATCCTCCACAAAACGAGACCTTTGCGTTATGTATATTTTATTGACGAGACACGGTTCTAGAACTGTTTTTGAACTTTCTATTCAGTACACAGTTGGGGCGACACTTTTGCGGCGTTTTTAGACTGTGGTGCGACAGGGTCTCCATATTGTTTTAATAAATCATGGGTCTTACTTATTTTTTTATATTTTTGTTTCAGGGGGGTCAGAGACGGAGTGAAGGGGTAAGAGAACGTCTTTTATAGCCATGTTCTTACGGTACTCTGTAGTAAGGAAAAACAATTAAAATCGAACCTCATTCTATGTGAAAAAGTAATAATCTGGGATTAAGGGTTCCTCTTAAATAGAACTGCAGGCTTAGAGGATTATATGGTCTCAAAGAATTCATGTCATTTTCTTCTTATAATTTTTAAACAAAGTATTTCATTTAAAATTTGTGTTTTTGTAGGGCGGTTACCAGGCCTCTTGAGATTATCAAGCATCGGAGGTTTGGCAGCGCGGAGAATGTGAGCACAACAACGTCAAGTCCCGGATCAAGTATGTGTTATGTCTGGTTTGTCTTTTATTTCTTTTTGTTTTGTTAGTTTTGTTTTCAACCATGTTGTTTGTTTGCTGTTTGGCTGACTGACGGACCCATGGACAATCCAACTTTTAGCCACTGACCCACTAACCAACAGACCGTCTAAATGACTGACTGACTGATTGACCGACCGATTGACTGGCTGTCTTACTGACTGGCTGTGACAGACCGACTGTTTGACTCACTGAGTGAGTGAGTGACTGACTGACTGACAGGCCTCACTGAGTGAGTGACTGACTGACTGACTGACTGACAGGCTGGTTGTCTGACTGACCTACTATGCCAATTCCCGTCAATCTTATCAACGCTGATAGAGAAACTAAAGAAGAAACATTGTTTAGTGTGAACTACTTTACCAACCATTTTTTAAGAGTTGTTTAGACAATGAATCGGTGTTTGTCCTTATTTTAGAGATCGATGGCCTTGAAGAGGAACCGAACAGCCCTCTTGGTGAAGAGGGTTATGTGGCAGATTCCAACCTAAGGTAAGCGTCAGCGCCGTCGTTCGCTTACGTTTTGGCTCGTCATGCAATACTTTCTGTGATTGCGTGACAGTGACGTACGTCTCTACTGATATCCACCATTTATTCGGAAGAACACGATCTGGAAACTCGCAATTGAGGTTCACGGCCATTACTGTGTAGTACCGTTGATTGACATTGCGTTTTAGTGTCAACAGAAGTATGTGTCGCCTACTCATGGCGGTTAAGTCCATGGTGATCTCTGAGCATGTTTTGTATTGAAATATTAAATAATTGTAATTCAAACTATTATATTTTTGTTTCAGTGCGGCGAGATACAACAGCGACGATGATTCGTCGAGTGTAGCGTCAGCTACACATATTGGGTAAGTCCGGCAAACTTGAATAGTGATGGTGTAAAACTTAGTTTCCCTCACCCCACCCCTCAAGGTTGCTTTTCTTCAAGTGACTCTATCATTTACGGTACCTAATATGTGAGAAATACGTCACGATGTTTCCGAACGTAAATTCGTTTTATAACTGGCTTACTCGCCGTGAAGGGTCCTTATCATCTCTAATGGTTGTTTGTTAGCGTCCTTCTCAGTAGCAGTTCGTGATTTTACGTGTCAAATGAAACCAACCTTTAAAAAAAATCAGTTGCAACAAATTCATTTCAAGCATATCTATGTCGTTGTTAGGGTCCCAACCCACAGTAACAGCCCACGTCACAGCCTCCCTCCCAGTCCTCCCACGTCTTACGATCAGGATATAGGCGAACTTCGGGAGGTCAATGCCAGGCTGCACGAACAAATAGAGAGCTTAAAGGTGAGTTTCTTGCTTCCTTACAGTACTGTCGGTGATTAGGAAATTATTCCTTCAGGCAAAGTGGGGAGATTTCTTTGAACGTACTTTTGAAAATTACCTTCAGTTCATAAAGAAAAAATATTACAACAGTGGAGACCAAGGACCTCAGCTATTAAAATTCAACGTGGATTCAGCTGGACGGGCGTTTGAGCAATTTAAGTGAAGGATTTAAGCATAATTTAGCTAATTTAAGCCAAGCGCTATTTAAGAAGTAGAGAAGACAAAAATGATGCTTTTTAACAGCGCCATCTTAAAGAATCGAGTAGCTATTCAATAATGGTTGGTTATTAACTATTTAGCAAATAGCTGCCGGATGTCTGTTCTATGATTGATCACGCATGTCGTCAAAACCGTCAAACCACTTATTTTTTAGTCTGATTCTGTGTGAAAAATCCTGCGTAGATGGTTTTGAAAAATTCTGAAGCAAGCTTCTAGAATGTTTGCCGTGAAAATGCCTTTATTTTTCAGCGTCAGTTAAATATTATGGCCGAATCACTTCACGAAGAGAGATGCAATTCCGAGGTTTGTTTGTGTTCTTCACATTTCAGCTGTTGAAGGATTTCTTATTATTGCCTTTTTCTAACTTAGTGACTAATATCTGTTATCATTATTAAGGTTGATTGACTTTTACGTGGTAAATGCCATACCTTTCCTATCGAAATTCCGCACTTACAGATTTTCCTGAGCCCGCAGTTTCATCAATTAGTCCTTGTTCCTAAGCAACGTGTTGTATTCTGTTGATGCATTTGCATTATGAAGGCGAACCCCAAGTCCTCGTGTTTATTACGCTGTGCGCTCTTGTGCTAAACACTCAACAATCCAATTTCGAACAGAAAAATAAATTAATTTTAAAAAAGAATGGACAAAGTAAACGGGTCCCTTTAAACCATACGTGCGCGTGTTCTGTTGGCTCAAATTTCCAAATACTTGTTTTACAATAATGCAATGGAGTTTATGTTCGCGAACATAAATATGTTTTGGGATCGACGGAGAGTCATTTTAACCCGAGCCGTTAGGTGCAGGTGAAAATGACCCTTAAAAAAAAATGACAACAAAACAGTCGGAACAATCACGTGAGCGTGCCAGCAATTTAGTCTGCCGAAATCTCCATTTTATCTCACAAAATGCGCCACAATCTCTGACAAGTGATTATAGTTGTTGTTATACTCAAGTTATTATTAGTAATAGCCATCTTCACTTGTTCCGAAATAATAAAACTTACTTCCATCTACTTCAGCAATTGCGAGACTCCCTGAATAACATAACAACGGAGTGGAATGACGTGTCAGAACTACGTCAGAACGAGGTTAGTTGGGTATTACAGTAATTTCGAGGGAGGTGGGGAGAGTAAGGGATGACACTTACTGGCTTGACTGCGGGTAAAAAAGTCACGGAGACTTTCAAACAGCAAGATGATTGATTTCCTCAGGCGTCTAAACCTGCAATTGTATTGGCCTGAGCTCAAGATGCCACGTTTCTTCAAGAGTTCGGGAATTGATCTGCCGTGTTTCTGAGCAGCCAGTGATTCTTTCTTTTCTCCTTTCTTTAAACTTCGAAAAATAAGATAGAAGCGTACTACATTTAAAGAGCGTTAATAGACCGACGCAACAAGAAAGATACTTAACATGAATATATCCAAGCAGTGTTGACGGTTGCCTCGTATGGAGGTTCAATCCCGATTGGCGGTTTGTGGACGCTGGCTAGACTCATGGAAGTCTTTGGCTACGCAGTCATCCACTTTCTGTTTAAGCGAGGAAGTGGTTTGATGTCAATTTCTCCTTTTCTCAACAGATGATAACCGTAAAACAAGAGCTTGAAAGAGCCGAGGAGCGCATTGAACGAATTGAATACCGGTCTGCAGAACGAGCCAACGAGATCGAGGAAGCGCTGGAGTCTTACGTCACAAGGGTAACCGCGCGTTTTTTAAGTTACTATCGGGTGAAGGGTAGCTTGGGAACGAGGTTGCCTCTGGTCTTTCTAAAACTTCACGCGTTGGGATATAGAATTTTGGGAGAAACTGTTATTTGGGGATAATGGAACGTAAAGCGGAGACTAGGAATTGGAATTCGCATTTGTAGAAGTGAGGGCTTTTTGGTCAGTCTACTGCTATAAATCTTTTCTGTGAAAATTAAATTATTGAAGTCAGTTCTGCTGAGGTGTTGAAGGCGTTTAAGGTTTAGTATTCAGGACGCATGCCACATATGAACCTAGTAATGGCGCCGACGTTACTACAGAATTTTCTTTTGCTTAGTGGAAGAGTGTTGGAGCGCGAAATCCGGAGGTCTGGTACTCAGGTTTTTTTCTATGTCCTACGCGCATGACAAACAACAAAACATCTTCCTTTAACTCGTCTCTTAACTCTGTGATGAAACCGAGACAAACCACGGCAATTGCAATGGTTCTTCTGGCTTGTAGGCTGAATTAACCATGTTGTTGTTGTAGTTGTTTTTTTGTTTTTGTTTTGTTTTTTTTGCAGGTTTTAAAAATTGAAGCATTTCAACAGCAGAGCCAACAGATGATGGGGCTGGATGATTACTTTGATCAGAGCGCGCAGGCCAAAGCGCTTTTATCAAAATTTCTAACAGTGGTGCTCGCCATTTTACAAATTTTACTTATTATATGCACGACGTTAGCCAGAATAGTTATTCCCTTCACAAGAACAAGGTAAGATGGTTGCTTGTTGATCAATTAATCTATTTTGTTTCTAGTGTTCTTCGCAGCCGTTGTTTGGGATGTCAGGAGACGCCCCCCCTTACGAGAATCTTTCTACTCTACCTTGCTCTTTGTTTTGTAGAAAAATTTTTTCTTGCAGTAAGATAAATGCCAGGTTTCTTTGTTATTGATACTTTTTGATAACTTGTGTATTAATGCTCTACGAGGAGGATTTTGGTTGTGTCAATTCAGGCGATAGATGACAACTGGTCCCTAATATCCGTTGCTTCGTTTTTCAGGGTTCGTATTGCAATAACAAGTGTCGTTATTTTAACCGTGGCCATATTATGGAGATATCAAGAGAGCGACAATGTGCGGTTCGTTATGGATAGCGTCACAGGACAGTTCACAATGATTAGAGAAAGACTCGCATCTCTCGTATGTCCACTTGTAAACTTCGTGAGAGAGATATATCAGAGAGACTAGTCATGACAAAGATTTGTTTGACGTTACCGGTAGAAGTAATAGATGACTGGAACTTAATACTTAGACAGGATGAATGCACAATTTATTCAACTTTAATTGATAGTTTTTGTGGAGCCTTTTTATCTGTTGGAAGAAAATCAAGAAGGATTTGATAAACAGTTTAACCTTCACGGTCAGTGGCACTTCTGTGGCAGAGTAAAACAGGCCGCTTACCATTTTTAGTGTGTAAAGGATTTTGGCAGTTTCTTTGTTTTATACTGTATTTCATATTTTACACTCACTCACGCTGCGCTCAAAGAAATTCCCAGTAACTTGGTTAGACTGATCAACAGTTACGGGTTTCAGAACTATTTTCTTGGCTATTTAGTGGCTGTCTGTCGGGTCACTCCTCATCGAAAACGTGCACACACAAAAAAGCAATAATTGTAATTAATCTAATTTATTTTTCTCGCTGGTCCGAAGAACAAAATCATGACTTGATTTTTACTATGAGAGGGTGAATCTATTTATTTATATGAACGAGAAATTTAATTGCTTCGCTATTAAGCATTATATGGAGCCGGAATCGACAATTGAATTAAATCTAAACCGCAAAGGAAATTTCAATGACGTTTAAGACCATAAGCACTCAGTTTATTGTCTCTCCTAAGGCTTGACACGTAGGTAGCGCGAGAAATCTTCACCTGGAAAAATTTTACCGCGTGCGGACACATGGACGCCCAAAAGGTAACTAAACTTAGGAGAGACACTGTTCTTTAGAGCGAACTTGAAGTTCCAAACAGCTCTTGGTGACCACCAGTGCTTTGAACACAACACAACTGAATAAACTATATGTACCCTTCAGGAAGGGGGATTATCGAATGTCTTGTGTTGATGGTTTCTTAGTTTTCTTGTTTATTCATCTACTATCACAGTGTTTAACCCAGGCCCCGTAACGAGAACACCAGTTCGGACGCTCCCCCTCCTCACCCCCTATACCCTCGCAAACTTTGAAAGGTGCTAGTACACGGTTCACATGACTGGTACCGACAATCTTTTGCAGATGTAACTTTATCAAGGGCTCATCGTGGTCGATATGCCACAACTGACAGATTATTGTTGGATCTCTCACAGAGTTACAATGCCGTAAACTCTTGTCGTTTTTCATTTTGTTTATTTATCGATCTATTGTTTTGGTTCCCATATCAAACCCATCTACCTCACTTACCCCACTTTGCATTTCTGGCCAGCGGATTGGTAATGAAATCTGCGCCATCATGTACCTCGCTACCATGTGTCTCCTTTGGCGCGTTAAACTTGAAAGATGGCAGACTACCCGTCAGACACGAAGAAAGATCTTTCTCAAATTGTGAGAGGCTCTTCAGAAGCAGTAGAACATTCTCAACCTCGTGTTAGAAGAAAATCTAAATACGCTGGACCAAACGAAGAGTTTCTAAAGGCTTTGATGAACTTAGGGATCTCGCGAAATGCAGCTGAGAAGGTGAGTCGACTTGACTGTGCACGTGTCAGTCGGCTGAGTGTCCCTTCTGCGAATTAGAGAAACTTCTACGATTGAAAACAAGACTCCAATTTTTATATTTAGCTTATTCCTTCTGAAAAGTGTCAATGATCAAGTCCAACTTAAATAAACCAATGCGTTAATCAGAAATTCTAGCTTGTGCAAACTATTTTTTTTTGTACAATCTTCCATTCAAGTCTAAAGTACACATATCCGAAATCGGCCCGGCAAGGACTGCCGTGTAATGAAGCAAATAAAATTTGCAGATATTTAGTGCTGATCGTCCATTCATATTGTCATCGTGTCTATGCAATTATTTATTTATATGAGCTTAATTCGACGGATGGAGAATTTCGTTAAACAAATGATTCACTTCCTCTGTAAAGTTATTAGAGACTTGGATATTGTGTTGAAGGTTATGCAGGGTTTGTTAGTGTCGTTAAATGACGAAGATAATTGTCAAAATTAATGAAAATGTCAAAAATTTATGATTAACCCTTTGACACCTTAGAGTGACCAGCATCTAATTTCTCCTTACAATATCAATCCTGAATCACACAGGGATGATGATGTTGATGATATTCTAAGGAGAAATTAGAAACTGGTCACTCCAAGGCTGAATAGGAATTTCAATGGAGTAAATGAGGGAAACATTGGCCAAACTTGACTAGGTCAGGTTCATTTTAAATTAAATGAAAGTGTCATATTAAATATTAGAAGGAAATTTTTCTGTGATTGTTTAGCTGGCCGTGGTCTTTCTGACAAGGGACTAATACCTGCAATCTTGCCAATTAGAGGTTGCAGAAATTACCTGAATTATTTATAGTATTTGTGAAGTATCGTCACTTACTGTGACCCTTGTTTTCTGTGACTTACTGATAAATAACTCATTTATTCCAGGGTCTTTACATGACTGATAATAGTACCGTTGATGCAGCTGCCAGTTGGGTCCTGGACAATCAAGATATGCCAAATCTAGATGAGCCATTTAAGGTACAGTGGATCACATTGTCTTTTGAACCTTAACATCAGTATGCATATTCTCCATACTGTTCTTTATACATTTCCAAAGGAGATGACAAGGAGAGTTTGTTTAACAATCAAGAACTTCTTTAGTTGGTGATCATTTCCCTTATTCTCATGACCTTTATGTTAGATTCAAGGGTGGTATTGTTGGGAGAATTTGGATGCAAGTTACTCTTAGGAGTTAAAGGGTTAATAGGTGCTATTCTTGAATGTACATTGGACATTGAAGAAATGTAAAATGGTTTCCATGTTTACATAGCCTGATGTGAACACGCGGGAGGTTGGGAGAACATGAGATAAGCGTAGGAAACCACGACGCGAAGTGGAGTGGTTTCCAGCTTATCGAGTGTTCTCCCAACCTCCCAAGTGTTCACATCAGGCTACATAAACATGGAAACCATTTTACATTTCTTTTATAAAATGACTAATGAAAGAGGAACAAAAACCGTGTTTACATACGCTCATGTAAAATGTTTTTATGGCCAATCAGAGCGCACATACTATTTGAATTATTTTATAAAACTATTTGTGCAAATGATTTACATAATTACTGATTAATACCTACATGATTTACACACACTGTCAGTATTGCTGATCTTGTTTGCTCTGTTTATTGAAGTTGCCACATTTACTTGTCATCACTATCATCACTATGCGTATTAGAAAGTGTCCTTCTCTAATATTTCATGCCAATGGTTATCTCACCTTAAACCAGCAAAAAGGCTGCCCAATTTTTTTTACCAATCACTATGGCAACTAGCTTGTTTACTCCCCTCCTCCACTTACTTACTTACAAACTGCCCATCTTCCCGCTGGGTGCATGGGCAGCAACAATTTCACTCCATTCTTTTCTTTTGTGGGCCCACTTCTGGATTGTCCCCTACGTCTGGTGTATGGCTTTTATTTCCGCCTTGTCCTGTCTGCCGCCAAGTTTTAGGTCAGCCTCTCTTTCTCTTTCTTTCTGGTGTCCAATGGGGGGCCACAATCCTTTATAAAATTGGGAAAGGGGCAAACTCTAAGCACTGGCCATGTGGTAACTAAAATGGTTGTAACTTGGAGTGCTGCACTTACTAGGAGATGGCTGACTGGGCCAGCTATGGCCTTTTCTGACTTAGTATCAGTTGAAACAGAAAGTTTGTTTTATGTAATGAATAATTTTTTTTATGTATGAAATAGAATTGAGTGCTGATTTTCCTACTCCACAGGACTTTGCACCAGCCCTTGAGGCTCTCCCTTTTGAAAAAGAATATCCTCTAGATGAAAAAACATTGAGCAGTCCATACAAAATGGTCTTTGTGGTAAACACAGAACTCAACATGGGTGTTGGTAAGATTGCAGCTCAAGTTGGCCATGCAGCTATTGGTCTCTATAAGATAATGGCATCCCAGCCCCAAAAATATGACCACATGTTATCACAGTGGGATGATTTTGGGTGAGTAGAATTTAACCTATACTTAAGTTAATAAATAAATTGTTCAGTCATACCATTACATCCAAACTGATTGAAATCACTTATGAGCTCATCTTATCGGTGAATAAATATCAGGTAGGTGATATCAGAAATGACAAAACAGAACACACAAAAAAACAGGTGATAGTATATCTGATTGATTTAGTTTGCAAGTTGTAATCTGTGTCAACCTCCCCTGCAGACAGTTACACATTTCCTTGTTAGTTAGGAAGCAGAGTTTTGTTACATCAAGACAACACCCACAAGTGTGTTCTCATATTCGAACTTAATATTATCAAAAAAATTTTTGGATTATAAGCTAAATTTTATTAATTATAAACTGTTTTGGTCTACCTTTAGGGCAACAAAGATAGTGTTGCAAGGTGAAAGTACAGCCCACCTGTTTGATATAGAGGAGCTGGCTAAAAAGGCTCATATTCCACATTACCTTGTCCATGATGCTGGAAAAACACAGGTATGCAACCTATTTTGTTCCATTCCACCAACAGAATGCCTGAAACATGTTACTTCCCTGATAAGTGTTTGGTGAAGGCAAAGTTTGCATTACTTACTTATGGCTGTGGAACTCTTTTCCTTTACAGGTGTCATCTGGTGCATTGACTGTGATTGGTTTGTTTGGTTCATCGTCAGAAGTGGGAACGCTCACAGGGTCATTATTACTGTTATAGAGTATATGACTGTCTGTATTTTGTACTTCAGGATAGGACTGACTGAGGTCAAGCTATAAAAGTGTTCGATATTATTAATTATCACTAATTATAAATTAATACTGCTCTTTGGTGTTATGAGTAGGGATTATTAAAATGCAAATCATTAATTTCAAGATTGAGCTTGATTGTGTCAACCCAGCAACCCAAATGTTTTTTTGTGCCAATGCATAAGTTAAGAGATATAACTTCTATGGCATTACCTCTTGTGATTACACTCATTTTGTTGGTGGTTACTTTTAACTGACCAACCTTTACCACATTTACCAAATCAGTCATATCATTGATAAAGACATTCTGTTTTGTCAACCATAAGAAACATTTAGAGAGGGGTGTAATATTTAAAATATACACTAAATGTTTTTGAGAGAGACCATAAAGGAGATTGTATAGAGGGAGGCTAACTGATTTCAGTGGTCAAATATAGAAGAGTTTTTAAACTATGACCTCTGAGGAGAATATTAATTAAAGAATATATCAAAAGTTGGAACAGTTGCCTTTTCTTTCATCTCATTCCATAATTGTATGCCAACTATATCCTACCAACACAAATGATAAGGGCAATGTTTCTTGTAGATGTACCTTGATGCATATGAAGGTATTGGATTACAGCCTTCTGAGTTCATAACACAGGAGGGAGATATCCAAGGTCTAGATAAAATAGTACATTAAAGATCAAAGGGCTCTTGGTGCCAGCTCATTTATGTTATGGCTTAAGTTTGTATTGATTTCTTGGACTTGTTGAATATAGGTACAGTTGAATTCCGTTTATGTGAACTTTCAAGACTTATGGGATAAAATTTTCTCTTATTTTCAAGAAGTTGCGTGATAAGAAAACTTGTGCGTACGTCATGATGAGAATTGGAAAAAGGTTGTGTGGGGCTGGAGGTAGGATGGGCAGAAGTCATTAGGCAGACAGTGTCCTTTTTGTTGGTGTGTGTGTGTGTGTGTTTGTGGGGCGGAGAGTGGAGCGGAGGGTGGGCAGTCGTCCCTAGAACAATTTCAAGCCTTCATATGGTCTGATTTCCACATATTAATATTTGCGTAGTCACCCAACAGGCGAGAGATGAACCACCAGAAAAGTAAACAAATGGCCAGTCACGAAAGCAACTCTACGCTTTTCCCGGTAAAAATTCGCTGGTTCCTCACGTACTAAGCCAATAACAATATAAGGCACATGTGAAAAAATCAGTATGTGTACACTCCTGAACGTTGAAAATATATTAAGTCGAAGGAACAGTTTTGGTCTCGGTCCACATTTTTGTCGACAAAATGAACACATGTCGGTTAACACGATGAAACGTACGGATCACGTGCAAAGCTGTCAATTGTTTCTCGAATATGGCGCGTGTTAAATATTCATTAGTGACATCTCAGTTACATCTACATCAGCATCTACTTTTATTAAGTGGGTAAACTCTGTACCGACATCGCACCAACCAACTCGCGCGCAAAACGAGAAGACTATATGAAGGCTTGAAATTATATTAAGAACGACTGTGATCAGGAAACGGGCAAGGAATATTCCACAATATTGCAAATAATCGTGAAAGATGATCGCTGAAAAGCGATTGCGTGACGCTTGGTAAGTTGTAAGATGACATGTTATCACGTATCGGACGAAAAAACAGTATAAATTCTTAGTTTGCATTTTTTACACAGTCTGCATTTTGTACCCGGTCTGCATTTTGTACCCGGTCTGCATTTTGTACCCGGTCTGCATTTTGTACCCGGTCTGCAGTCTGCATTTTGCACTGACCGGACTGGTATTGCTGTTTTTGTTCGAGTGAGCCTGAAGTCCGAACAGAAATATTGGAGCTCTAAAAAAAATTCTCATGAGACTATCTTGGCTGCTATGATTGATGTGTGGACTGAATATTAAAAAGCTCACGAGGAAAAGTACAATGATAGAGCAATGATTACTTTATACCAACTGAAGACGGACGCAAACGCGCGGCTTGCCAGTATGGCTACCTCTAATGCTCTTTCGCGTGGTCACAACGTGTGTTGAAATGAACCCGCTACGGGTCCCCTAGGTGTGAACATTTCGGCTTCTCGATTCAAGCTGCATTTTCAGAAGTTCGAAAATGTGATTTGAGGTTATTATTTTTATTGAACCTTATAAACATTTTATTTCTTTCCACGTGAGTTTCTGAGCTTCATCGACATTAATTTTGACTTTCACTAAGTGGAGAGGGGTAGCATGCGAGACTACTTCCGTTTACGGTCCACAATGCAACTTCCGTCCACAGAATACAACTTCCGTCAACATCTGCTCCACCACGATACGTCATTCATTGCTCTCAGCATGAATGAGCTAAAAATGATACAGAGAGTCCATGGGGGTCTAGAACGTTTCTCCCTTAGGTGGTAGAAAGGGAGGTGATTACTACGATAGCCCCCCTTTACATAGTACGCCATTTCAGCGTCTGTTGTGTAAATGAAGGAGTCTACACGACAGGAAGTTGTCGACTCACTAGCTGAATTTCTTTGTCTTATCTTCTATTAGTCTACTTTTGAGCCATACAAGCAACAAGTCATGACAGTCAAGCCAGAGAGGCAAACTCACTTGCACTGAAATAACTACCAGAGCCCCTGCTTCCAGGCTTATTTTAAGATGATATGTGCGGGTACATTACAAATTAAGTTTAGTAAAAGTGTCCTTCCCACACCCCTCTGAATGTTGCCTCTGGTTATCATAGTTGACATGGCCATAATTGGAGTTCTCAGAAAATTTAAAAAAAGGTGGCACCTGCTGATGTTGATCTGTGCTATACAAGGCCTACATTAACTGTCCTACCTGGAATACTGCAGCCCACTTTTATAGGGGAAAGATAAAATATGGAACAGTAAACTAAAATCTGCTGACTTTTTCTGAAGTGAATATACTGTACATGTAAAAGCCTGCACCTATAGGCTTGTGTTAAATCAATTACAAACACCTCAATGAAGTTGAGTAAAAGTGTCATGGACACTGCTCAATATCATTGTGGTAAAGCTAGAATGCAAAGCCTCCCAATTCTTAAGAAAAAATAAGAGCCCCCTTAAAGGCTTGTTTTGAACAACTAACACACACTTTTATGAAGTTGTATAAAAGTGCTATTTGTACATCTCTCTGGGGGTTTGCAATGGACACGGCTTAATATCATTGTAGTAAAGCCATAAAGCAAAGCTTACTCATTCTTACAAAAAAATAACAGCCTGCTTCAAGGCTTGTGTTTAATAACTAGCACACACCTTATGAAGTTATATTAAAAGGCCATTTATACACCTCTCTGGGTGTGCCCGCACTGGGTGTGCCCTCACTGGGTGTGCCCTTTTTACACCTCACTGGGTGTGCTTAGAGCTTCCTATAGTACTCAGTTATTAAGCAGAGGTACTACATCTATGTCCTTAAATTTCATGCATATACTCTACAATTAAACAAAGGAATACATAATTGTTCATTTCACACCTTCTCATGCTGGTTAAGTGTGTTTGATCTTGTTTGGCTGCAGAGAAATAAAAAAACAGAACTAGAATTAATTAATTAATTAACTAATTAGACAATTGGAATTACAGTGAAGTCTCAGAAAGTATAATTTACCAGCACTCCACTGAAGTCACCCCAAGGAGTGACCGAAAGGAATTTCTCCTGACAAAATCACAACATTTTAAGGCAGAGACATGTCGAGGGAGAGCCAAATGGAAGGAATCATTTATTAGTGGTTAACCATTTTATTGCTTGGTTAACCTATCAATACATTTTAGTAATATCAAAAGAAATGATTTACTTCCTAAGTGATGCATTCACTCAAATTCCAAGTTACTGAGTCTTGTCTTGTTGAGCTGCAAAGAAACAAAAAAAGACAAAAGGACACAGAGGAGTGGGAATTTGAGATGAATATGGGCTACCATATCTGTATGAAATTTTACTCTACTTCAGAGTTATTTGTCATGCATTATCAGGCCATAACAGTATTCACGTCAACTGCAGTGACCATGTACATTGCTTTACTTTGACAACTGCTATAATATGACTTTGTATAATCAACACATGCAAGTCGCATAAAAGAAATTCATACCAGAAGCCATCTTCAGCATCTCCTTGACAAGATCTCCACACTCTTTCTTCCAACTGTACATCTCATTATAATGTTACTGCAATAAATCAGCCTCTTCAAGCCATACTTTCCTACCCTTGTCCCTGACCTTCCTAATTGCCTTGGACCACTCACTGACATCCTCTGATACCACAATGGATGATGAACCACTCATGACATGTGTCACAGCTTCACCGAGTCCAGATGCACCCTGTACCAGGATAGGAAGGCCAGATGACAAGGCTGCAAGACCAAACATTCCAAATTCTCGGCATTCGCTTCGCTGAACGGCAGACCAATCATCAAGTTTCGAATGTTGATGAAATCGCTTTCAGAAATACAGTCGGAGAGCAGCTTTGATAAGATTAAAACTCGTGTTAATGGACCCGAAGACATATTAATAGGTTATCAAAGGGCGTTAAATCGTAAGTGATTTCATGCTTTAAGAACAACAAATCAAATCAGTTATGTTAATTAAAGGTGCTCATGTAAGTGGTGATTGACTTAACTATTGTCCGACATAATCGTTCATAAAAGTTTATAAAAACGGCTTCTCAACTAAACTGCTTTGTATGATAAAAGCTGAGATCGGTTACTAAAGGTCAATTCCTGGGTGGCGTAATTAAAATTGCTTTTGTCAGTTACGAATCATACCAGTCTCCTGCATAAATTTGAAGACATTACGCCGGCCACATGTCACGCGATATTGCCTCAACCGACGCCAAACGAAGATGGCGTCCGTCGAGACGATCTCGGCTTCTAGAGAAATTTCTCCTCGTTTCCAAAAGCTTCTTCGAGGAGTGTCCGATGAACTCAGCCCCGAAGAACTAAGGCATGCCGTATCGTCCATAAAAACTAATTTTAGGGGCAAGTTTGCGGATCAAGGAGAACAAGATTTGTACTCATGCCTCCAATTATTCGCTATCCAGGGTCTTGTATCGGAGGACAATCTGACTTTGTTGGAGGGGTTTTTGAGCCCGAAAGCGTCCAAGAAAAATTCGCTAAAGGAAAAAATTCAACAATTTAAGGAAAACCGCCAACAAGAGGTCAGTCCTGGAAAGGAAGAACCAGGTTTGACCGGCAGGGAACGTGACCTAGAGAAAGTTATGGCAATGTTGATAAAGGGAAGTTCGCGTGTTGTCAATTTACATGGAATTAGTGGAGTAGGCAAGACGAAATTGGCAATGGAAATTGTTTCAAAGTGGCCAGGAAGGAAATTCAAGGCTGATTTTAGAGAAATCACAGAAATGAAAGACGTTCATTTTCATGTTTTAAACGCTTTAGCACCAGACAAAACGATCATAAGCTTCGAAGCAAATCCAGTAGTTGAATTAATGAGACAGTTAAGGCAAGCAGAGCAACAAGTTGACATATTACTGCTCCTTGATAACGTCGATAAATTTGCGGGAGGAGATGACGAAGCTTCCACCTCCCTTAATGCCAATTTTGTGATGTTTCTGCAAGGACTTCTAGGTCCAAAGGATTATCCGGGGAAATCGAAATTGAAGATTTTGTTGACATCAAGATCGACACTTCGTCACGCAAAGTTGACCAACGTCGATAATTACGAAGTTATGGCCTTAGAGAAAGCTTCATCTAGTGCTCTATTCCAAAATCAGAGAATTGGCAGTGTTCAAGAGGGTCAAATGGAGAAACTGTTGCAGATGTGCCAAGGGAATCCCCTTATCATTAAGGGAATGGCAGCTATCTTGAGACAACAAATAGCCGATGACACCACGATTCTGGAAACTATTGAGCAGCCACTAGCGGCCGAGCCACCAGAATCGGGAATACCAGCAGCAGAGGAGAGTCGAGAGAGAGACGTATTTGACTCTGAAAAGGAAGGCATTGATAAAGAGCAAGAAAGCTGTTTAAGAAAAATGTTTTTCTTCTTGCCGAGTAAACAGTTAAAAGATTCTGCCATTTCGATGTCACTGTTCTGTCGCTCTTTCTCTGTCGAAGCAGCAGCCGAAGTCCTTGAAGTGGACTCGTCAGAAGCTGTCATACAACTAGAAGGTCTCAGGAATAGTGAAGTGCTAACGATAGACCCTGACGTGAAAGAACTCACCTATGACATTCACCCTCTGGTGCGAACATTTCTGAGAAGCATTGGTAGTAACCAAAACATGTTCGTCAAAGTTTACGAGAAGGCAAAAGGCAGGTTTCATACATATTTCATGTCCAAAATGGTAGACATTTCCAGGCTTTTGGACAAAGACTACATGAATGCCTTCGATAATTTTGATCTTGACAAACCGAACTTTGAACTTGCTTTGGATATTTCTTTCAAGTCAGACCATCTTCTTATCCCAAAAGAGCATCGTGGAAGTGTTATGATCTTCTATCTCTTCGAGGCCATGCTTGACGAAAAAGCAAGAAAGAACATTTTTAATTGCTGGGCCGAAAAGGTCGAAGAAGATGGAAAGGAAGGTAAACTTGTATCATTTACTAGAAAAAAGTCTTAGTTTACGTGGGGGGTTTCTCTAGAGACTTTGGTAGTGTAAGTTAGCCGTCGACCTGATGGAAAAACTAACAGATAAAACTGACTAAACTCGACTGAGAAAAACAATTTAATTGACTCTAGCTGACTTTAGCTCAGATTGTCGAAACTTCAGTCACCACTGCCGACAACAGTCCTTCTCAGGACTTCACTCACCCAGACGTTTAGACTACACGATTAAAGGTACTTAGTGAAATCTGATCCTTTCGGTAAGGAGCTTATAACCCTCTCATTTTGTCCGAATCTGTTTAAACTCCCAAAGAATCTTCCATGATCACGTTATACAGGGTATAAGAACTGAGATTCGGTATGTTTTTTCTCAGTTTTGTTAACGAAGCTAGACAAGGTTGTTTGTCGTAATATACCCATCTTTTATCTTGCTAAAGGTAACTTAAGGTTAGAAGATGCAGATGCATCCCTACCCATTAAACATTGCTTAACTTTACCATCACTGACATTCTAATGAGAAATAAAAATGCTCTCTGGTTAAAAATGTGCACAAAACTTATAGAGGGAGAGAAAAGCCTATTTCCCTTGTTGTCTTTCTAGGTTCCTTGCTTCGAGCAGAACTAAAATGCCGCGAAACTTTGACGGTTCTTAACCTTGAAGGATGGCAGAGAGCATTGACAGTCGCGAGGAGAGCAAAAGAGTCGCTAAGCAAAGTGCAGAGGGAAAGTAAGAGCACAGATTCATTTAAGTTGACCAAGAGTTCCTACCTGTACGCTAAGGGTGAAGTGTATCACAGAGCAGGAAATATGGCAAAGTCACTGAGGATTTTGCACAAGGCGCTGAAGATAATGGAAAATGAACTTCAACGCCACACAAGCACTTCAAGGTGCTTAAACGCCATTGGAAACTGTCACAACAAGCTAGGAGAACATGACGAAGCCATAAGTTACTACACGAGAGCATACGATATGAGACAGCAGCTCTCTGGCTCAATGAAACATTTTGACATGCCCTTCTTCAAAGGACAGATCGGAACGGTTTATGAAGGAAAGAAACAATTTGAAAAGGCAATCGAATACTACAAAGAGGCCTTAGAGCTCGCTAAGGAACTAAAAATCCCAGGCATGGTGAACACCGCGCTGTACAATCGAAACATTGCTAACGCGTACTGTTGGTTGAGAAACTTTGACGACGCCTACCAACCCGCAAAGAACGGTTACGAGATCCGGAAGGTCGTTTTGGGAAGGCACCCTTGGACTGCACGAAGTGCTTTCCAAATGGCGGAGATTTGTCGAAGCTTGGAGGACTTTGACGAAGCGGAAGAGTTTTATGAGCAAGCATGGGAGATTGAGAAGTCTCTGGGCCAAGGAAACCACAGCGAGGTCATGGTCAGAATCATTGAGAGCTACGAAGCGATGCTTCTCAAAGGGAAGAGGAAAGATCAGTTTCGACAAGAAGCATTCGACTTTTATCTGCGCTACTGGAACGAAGAAAGGGCCTTCGAAGGTTTTGAGTTTTCTCCCGCCAACAAGCGAGTTATTGATTCAATAAATGAAAGGCTTGATGAATTTGGCGACCTGCAAACAAAGAAGAGATACCAGAAAGAAGCTCTATGGTTTTATGAAGGCGCGTGGAATTCACCCGACACGAGAAGGTTACCAGACACCGCTAGAGAGGAAGTTCTGCAAACTCTCTGCGGTCTCTGTAAACAGCTTCGCGAGAAAAATATGGCCGAAAAGTACAATAACGAAGCCTTTCGATTTTATGAAAAGAAGTGGAAAAGGGACAAGGAAGGGATGTCAGAGCGCGACAGAATCGACATTCTTACCACTCTTGTAGACATGGCTACATCACAGATGAAAGAGAAGAAGAAACAGAAGTATGAGAGTTTGTTAAAGGTATGACAAAGTTCTTTAACCGATCAATGCATTACATTAAATTGAACGGGTTTTAGTTTAGAGATATATGTTTTTCATCTTGTCACGAGCGTGGGACAAAGGAGGGACATGAGGAATCGAACCTCAAACCTTCAGATTCCGCGCTCCGATGCTCTACCATTAAGCCATAGAGACTGTACGGTGAGCGAGATCTATTACGAAGTTCTTGTGAGTTTGGTTTGGTAAGTATGATAGTACGATCATTAACTTTCATTTGTATTTCGCTCTATTATTGGTTGAACCGAGCAACCTCGCGAAATCTACCCAGCCAGTCTCCTTGTGGAACAGATGCATCCCTGACTTGCCAAAGGCGTTGTCCTTATATTGCCCACGCATGCTAGATTATCCTTGGTGGCTCAACATACTTTGCTTTTTAGTAGCTCTTTTACGTTACTTAGATTTGGACTAATGGCGATTCTCTGAACTTTTTCCCGTTTTAATGCTCACTCAGGAAGCCAAACAGAGAGGAACTTTGATGGGAACTGTGAAAGGATTCCTTTCTTTAGGAGCAAAAGGTATTTGACGAGGGAATACTTTGACCATAAGTCGCGCCTGTATTAAATAACGAAAGACACGCGTTCTATCGGAAACATTAGTTAAAAACGCTTGCAATTACGCTTATAAAAAACGTGGTTAACCAGGTTTTTTTTAATAAGCGTACTTGCTGGCGTTTTTAACCAATATGTTTTAGAGAACATGAGTCTCTTTCGTTATTTATGAGCATGGTTGATGTTATGTAAGGTTCGTCATTCCACGGGGCGTGGGCGAACAAAGCTTTATTGTTATTGTTTTTCAAATGCAGGATTTGCTTTCCATTGGTGAAATCTTTTTCAAACAAAAAAACTATACTATTTTAGAAGCTGAACAGGTGTCTAGTGAGGACGATGACGATGACGATGATAATGAAGTTGACATTCCTTACGATGATGATGATGATGATGATGATCTCGATAGTAGCAGTGGTAGCGAAGAGATTCCAGAGGCTAGTGGGCAAGTGCAACAACTAACAATTCAGGAAGAAGATGGCGAAGAGTTAGAAAGTGAGCAGGAACAAGAACCAGATAGGATAAAGATACACGAGTAAGTGAAAATGAATGAGTTGCCAGTAATCGGATCCTTGCGTTTGTGCAAAGATTAAGGATCGCCACGGGGCAAACATAACAAGTTGATGTAAGGAAATATGTGGCCGAAGGTTTTTTCGACATCCAAAAAAAAACCATTTTGGAGAGAGATCGATGATTTTTCGCCGCATTTTTATTAAAAATAGTTACACAATGTTAATAAGAGGGAACTGTAAGATTTTGTCATAGTTACCACGAAATCATCTGTTATAAAATATACCGAAGAACTTCTCTCCTTGCCTAAGGTCTATTAAAAAAAGAAACATACAAAAATGATTGCATGAGGGCCGTAAGCAATTCCAGGTGCAGGGCCTGAGAAGGCTTCACGTCCGCTTGAGATGTGGGCTGAAAGAGGAAAATAAGAGAAGGAAAGATTGGCAGTTACGTGTGCTGGTATAGGTTGCGCCGGACGGCAAAATCGTTGGCTTTTGGGAAAGAAACAAGTTTGGAACCGTAACAAATTGATTTTATTTTCCTTATTGTATTTAGGTGAAACAGTTACTTTCTTAACCCTTTAATTCCAAGATCTCATCAGTAATTCTCCTAACTTTTTGCTACATAGTTCTTGTGATGTTAGTTCGGAGAATTTGGTATTGGATCAACTAATAATCCCCTAATTAATATTTTTCTTTATTCTCATCACTTGTCTGCTTGATATTGTATTGATATTGTAAAGAGAAATCCTGTCTTGTTGACTCATGGAAGTTAAAGGGTTAAGGAGCGTAGCGAAGGGAAATTTTCCAAATTTTGCTGGTTTAGATATACTGGACCTGAGCCTGGCAGTCAACTTGCAATCCAGGAATTTTGACGGAAAAACTGAACCAAAGAGAAGGCGGTATTGATGACATTACGGATTACAATTCCAGAGAAAAATTCTCTTTTCTGTATAGTTGATTTCATTTTCATTCATGGTATTGTGATTACTTTCAGAGGAACACTCACTAGCGAGGACGTGCATTGGAACATCAAGCTAGGGGCTGTACATCTAGCCTTCCCTCGTGATGCTGTATCTGAGCTCACCCTGATAACGGTCCATCGATGGAAACCCACGGTCCTGTCCCCGCCTTTGCAGGAGCACGAGGCTCTCGTCAGCAACGTTATTGAAATTTCTTCGAACAGTCACGAAGCTTTCAAATTTGAAGCTGAGGTTAAGATGTCATTCACTCACAGTTCTCCCGGCCTACACGGCTACGAGTTGGTGTTGTACAAACGGATTGACAACGAGACCGGTACATGGGAAGAAGTGACCGATGTGGAAGACTTCAAAACTATCTCAGGTAGGAGGGAAAGCCTTTAAATTTGTTCATGTTAAATTACAGATAAACAAACTTGATGCATCGTTGAGTGTGTTGGTCGAACATGAATGGATCTGCGAGAAAATCTGCCTCTAGGAATGTCTTAACAGAGGGTAGCAAAGGGGTGGGGTAAAGGGGGGGGTCTGATCCCATTTCACGCGTCACGCATAATAAGGGAAAACTTCAAATCTCTCTTCTTGTCTACCAAGTTTCAGGGAAATCTTGAGGTTTTCACGAAATGAAAGAAAAACAAAAAAACGGAATACGCGTATTTTAAGAGACAAATCACGCCTCACGTTGGTTCATAATTTCGCGAATCACGCTCGCCTTTTTCTGTGAAATTCAAGTGTTGCATATCGATTTTGTCCCTAAGCACAAGTCACGTTTAAATCCTTTGCCTCCCTCTGAACGTAGCTCATGAGTATGCTAGATGATTTTAAAAAGGTTGCTGGCTGCCACTAGTGAAGCCAAATATTGTTTGACTGGTAACAGTCAAAGTTGGTGTAGTTAGCCCTAAGGTGAACACGGAATAAATATTTACGCTCTAAAATATTGTGAAGACACTTTTCAGAGCGACTCTTAATAATGGTGAGCCATTAAGAAAGAATTCGATGGGTAGTTTTCCTTGTATTGCTTGGTCAGGACTCTTCTGGATCGTTCAGCCAGGTTTACACTAAAATTAGCTCTCTCTTAACCTTGTCTTAAGACTAAGGACCGCTTATTTACACCAGGTCTAGCCCAAATCATGGTATTACACAATCAGTGGGCCTCAGGTTTTGTCTATAAGAGGGTTGACTTGGTTAGATAAATGTCCTTCCACTGTTGGCTTCCGGCCCTCTTGACACTTTTCACAAAAATGAATGCCCAGATAAAAGGTTTAGCTGAGTTAAAATTGCTTAGGACGCGGTTTTGTTGAACTACGGCTAAACTTTGTTTAAATAATAAGACCTTATTGTACGCACTTGTAAGCCTCTGAGAATTCTTATTAACTCGCCCTCATTTATTCTTTCACTAGATGCCTAAAAATTAACTTAATCTATAATATATTTGTTCTTTGTTTTATTGATATAGATTTTGAAGAAGAATATCAATCTAGCCAAGATATTCCCAATTTACACTTTCCTATTGTGCAAGCGGATATAACAGAATGTGCCACATATGCTGTTGTGAGTCGTCTCCATCTTTCCCCTGAATTCACGATCACATCAAATGGTGGTTCCTTTTTCATGCCTGAATATCCAAGTATAGGTATTACTATCCCGAAAAAGGCTGTTACTTCGAAAACAAGGATTCCTCTTCGAATGAAGGTACAGAATTTTCCTGAAATATAACAGATGCGAGGGAAATCTAGTGTCATTACAGTAAATGTTCGTGATTGTTTATCCTAAAGAACCAGTGGTGGAAGCGTCGAGTCGTTTGACAAGCGAAGTCCCAATCGACAAGATTTGGTAAACCTTGGGATTTTAACGTTTTGTTCCCTGAAAATGTACTTTTACCTTCTGTTTGTTGCTTGAGTCTGTCTTCTACCGTTGGAGATCCATGCAACACTTAAATACTACATTTGAAAATGAAGGCGGAGAAAATTCTCCCCTTTTCTATTTCACTTTACCGCAACGTAACTTGTTCTTAACCTAATGAATCCTTGGGTTTTCTCTTTTCGACATAATTTTCCTATTAGGTGCAAGAAGTACCAGGTGAAGAGTTTAAGGCTAACGATATACTTATTGGACCTATACTGCGAATAGTTTGCGACGAAACGGTTGAGTTCTTGAAGCCTGTTACCATAACGCTGCCAGTTTCGTTGGGAGACACGCACCATGACTTTCCTGATCCAACGGCATGCCGGGTAAGAATATTGTTTCTGAGTTCTGATGGTGAACAGAAGGAATGGAAGGAAATCACCGACGATTTGAAAAATCCAGTGACGTTTGACGGGATGACAGTTAATTTTCAAGTGGAACGCTTCTCTGGGTATGTATGTTTATTAATTGCACCAAATGTGGATCGCTGGTTTGCAAATCGTCGTTTGCATACCCCCTAATGGGAGTATTTCTGGACGTGGTAATCAAGGAGAAAAACCGCTATTTTCTTATATATTAAAGTTCACACGGCAACCAGGTGGACAATCAAACATTGATGCTTTACAGATTTAATGAATACAACAGAAGAAGTTAAATTCACAGACCCAACGTTTCGACACTCCTGTTTAGTGCCTTCATCAATCTTTTAAAATTATCACCACTAAGCGTTACCACCAGCGCCTTTGTTTGGATCATTTTTCCGCCCACGTCCTAAATCGTGACGATGGCGGCTTAGAAAATATCACCTCGTCATTAAAAAAGGTAGCTAATTAGTGATCATAGAAAGATTTGTTGCAGCGTTTAGATCACTCGTGATGACATAAGTGTCGAAACGTTGATAGAGGATGGGAGTTTTAACCTCAGAACTTATTCAGTAACTTTTAGTCTAGGTAGAAAGTATCGAAAAGAGTTTATTAAGCGAGCACTCGGCTGCGGACATGAATAAGTTTTCAGCATGTATTTGAAAGAGTTCTTCCTATACTGAGCTTCAACTGAGGATCTGCATTTTTCCCCCTCGAATGTAAAGACTGGTAAACGATAGACAAAGCTGGACAAAACTCTTAGCATCAGATCTTCTTTATGAAAGGAAACCCCATCTCGAGTATTACCATCGTGATACTGTCTTTTGCACCTATCATATCATTCTCCAAACAAAAAAAAAGGCACTCTCGTCTTAACTCAAATTTCTTATCTTCTGTTTCTTGGGGAGACGTTGCTGAAATCCCAAACAACGGCTGCCAAGGAGAGGAATGTACTTGCAGATCCGATCTGGCGCTAAGATTGCAGTTTACATACAGTTCTTTGACTTTTATTAGGTATTCGTGTCTTATTGACTGGTGTGCAGATAGCTTCAGTTATCAAAGCGTTATCGGATATCTATCGAGCCTTATTCGGATCCAACCTCAGCTGGCAGTGTTCTTCGCCTACTTCCCTCTGGAAGACCGCCCTGATTCTCAAGACATCTTGTACCTAATTTGCTGCCCATCTCAACTTAAAGAAAAGGTGCGGGCTGAAATTACGAATCAAGCTAATGCGCCTACTCCGAGCGATTCAAGCTCCCGCATCAATATGATTCCTGGGCGTGATAGGGCTTACGTCTCCCTCATAGGAGGGATCAGAGCGATTGAGGAAGAAGACATGGACGAATTTTATCTCCAGTAAGTTTTTAGAAACGCTTCACTGAGAAAACCCTCAGTATGCTATTAACCTGAAGTTTTATTCAAGTAGGTTTCTTTTAAATAATGCCAAGAGGGCCGGAAACATAGGGGATTTTGTTTAATCAAATTCAAAATAGCAATCAGCAGAGAGTTAAGTTGAGTTGTTATTGATAGAATTTAACTCAAACTTTGACTTCACAACTTCACTTTTTTTTTCTGATATAAATTGCAGGCGCTACAGAGCCCAGAAAATGATTAAATTCTAATTCAGATTATCGCTGTACACTCACTCCCCACTCCCCGTTTCCAGTTCCTCGTTCAACGTTTGGGTAACATCCGTCCTATTTTCTCAGTAGAAAAATAGCAAAGATTCTTGTTGATAAATACATCCTTTTACGTGCTGATAAGAATTATTTTTAACAGGTTTATGAGTGATGACCTCCATAAAGCTCAAGTTCCAATCCGTGTCATTGATGACAAAGGACTTTCAGGGGTGAAGTTTTTCAAAACACCCAAGTTTGAAAAAGACACTCTGCTATGTCGATTAAATTTTCGAGTATCGCCTCTCAAGAGAAAGCTGAAGGTAAGGGGTTTATTTTGTAACTTCCTTAGTACAATTTGTCACTGCCTTTTCGATTGCTGTTCAGTTTTTGAACGTGTTTTTCATATAATTCCTTTTTGTTCAACGATATTGAGAATGACATTAGCAAAATTCCGATCAACAGTACGGTCGAGTGTATATTCAAAGCTGACGTTTTTCAGAGGACAGTTTTGCGTGTTGAGAAACAGAGAAGAAAAATGAAAAAAACAGAGAAGGAAAGGAAATGCAACACGATCACGTAACATATCAAATGGATTTTATCATACATGCATGTAGAATACATGGTGGAATTCGTAGAAAATAAACATATGCGTCCTGATAATTAAACAGGTACATTCTTCTAAAACTAAATAGGAACATATTACTTTTTATGTAATTTTAGAAAACCCCAGTGGAGTTTTTTGGCATTCCTGTGAATGATGAAATCTTGTCAAATCCGCGTCCTGAGAATGTTCTGGGGATTGGAAAACAATTTGTTGGTTCAGAGGTGTATGACGATCTCCTTTCCCGCTTCAGCAAAGGCAATATGAATCAGAGGCAGACAATACAAAGCTTCTATGAGGCTCTTGCAAGATTGAAAATCGAGACCCAAGATGAGTGCTTTGAGGCCCTTGTCAAGGAAATGAGCCGCTATGAAGCATTTGAGTTTGTGGGGCATCGACTTCAGGAAGGTAACGACATTAAAAGGTCAAACAGTTTTCATTTGAGTGTGAAAAGTAATCCAAGATTAGTGTGGTTTTGTTTTACTTTTCGTTTTAATTGTTTCAGAAAACTAGTACCACTCTAATTCAAAAGACCATATTCAAAGTAAGACCAATCGCGACTTTGTCGCTCGCGTTTCTCCGGGTTAAGAGCAGTTTGCTTGTTTTAACTTTAATAAGCTCCTAGTAATATTTTCCTCTGATAGGCGGTTGTGATATAAATTTCGTTTAGGTTTCACGACACTCAATTGAATTGAGCATGACACTCAGTTGAGTTGAGCTCTGATGGATAATGGTTCACTTGTCCACAACGCTTGACACATAACCTTTACTCTTAGAAGTTATTAACGCCTGTATTTTCCTCACTGTGGTCATATTTTGTCTGGAATACAAGTGAAGAGAATTGACGAGCTCATCGCAAATAATTTTGTTTCATATGTTTCTGGAAGTAGATATCACGGGAGAAATTTTAACAGTAAGGATGCATGATATAGAGAATTACCCTGATATCCCAAATTCTAAACAGGTTTGACTTAGTATCAATGTCGTTGCAATTTTTGATGTCACGTACCCCGCGGAGCCCCCCTGCAAAATGTTAGTCATTCTTGTAAATGGGGGCACAAGGTTCTACGTTCAAAGAAATGTCTTGCGCATTTGTCCTTTTCTGACCACAGGGATGAGCCCCGACCTAGTCCCAGGGAAATTAATCTTGCCAAGGTCTGGGCTCAGCCTGGGAACTAGAGGGGAGTTTACGGTGAGTCTCCCTTGATACTTTGCAATCATGTCCAGGTTTAACAGAGTCGAGATCGCAGAGGGGCTAAGCTTGGTGATTTGCTCTCGGAGTGGGGTGTGTGATACAAGAAGTTAATCAGTTAGTGGCAGGTTTCCTATCTGATAATAAAGGCAGAATGCACGCAGTCCATTTGGAATTTTTTATCATATTCCTTTGCGCCCTTCTAGGTAAAGATGCTGTTTGCAAATCATTGAAGACAAATTCGGACGTGAAGAAAATTGTATTAGAAAAAGCGGAGTATCATTGGAAAAACCTGGCAAGAGAGCTGGGGCTTGAAGATAGAATAATTGATGCGATATCTGTGGAAGAGAAAGATAAATGTGGAGAATGCTGTTATCAAGTTCTAAAAAGATGGTACGAAGAGAATGGCGAATCAGCTACTATCAGAAGAGCCATGGTGGCACTGACTAGAATAGGATTAGCGGACATCAACAACGACATTGTAGATTGTCTTAATTTGAGACGTCAGGATCAAATGGAGTTAGACTCATAGAACTGATAAAATTGGAAGAATTTAGCATTCAATTTGTATCTTCAACGACGTGTCTTTGGACTTCATTCAATGCACAATGTCCCTTGTACACGAAACGAAACGAGCAATCACGTGATGCCAAACATGTTATGGTCAGAATAACATCATGCGAACACTCTTACGGACAATAGAAAATTTGCATGATTTGACCATGTAACTTTGTTATGCACACACATTAGGTAAAAAACGTATTATACATGAATTCGAAAGAATCCTTCATTCTGCTACTTATATTAACGTTGCTTTAAATATTGTGCTGCTATAGTATAGCCTTTTCTTTTCAATCCTTACTTTCAGTTTTTATAAATTCTCATTTTTTATCTCTATTGTTGTCAATATAAATAAATATTTTCGGCTTTGATCGATTATTTGAATTATTTATTTCATTTTATAGTTGAAAATGTACCGAGGAATACTTTATTTTTAAATGAAAAAAAAGTTCAAATGAACCTGTGTAAATAGTAGTTTTTAAATTATTTTACATAGAAGAAACAGAAGAACAAAGACAATTTTCACGATGAAAAGACATCATTGAACAATGATGATCGAAGTGTATACACGTTAGCACAGTGAGTCAGTAAAACAATATGTCAGAATCGTGTGGGCTCCTCTTATATCTTCTCTTGAAGTTTCCAGGTATGACTACTTGCCCCACCGTTTTTCCGTAACGTGAGTTAAGGACTTTTTCAGACTTCTATTAATTCACAAAGCACACCTGTAAAGTAACTTGTTTTCTTTCTTTTCTGTATTTTTCTCTTGCAAGCGATTTTGGCCTTTTTTTTGGATTTCCTTCATAATTTAGGGGCAACTTCTGTCAAATATTGATCCACACTTTCCTTAGTTTACTGCAGCTCAAAATTGAAGATTAGGTTTGATTTCCCATTTTTTCACCCAACATCAAAAAGGGGTCGTTATTTCATTGGGAAATGGGTTAGTCTAATATTTCCTTTGTAAAAAATAATCTCGGTTGTTGGACATGTGTTACAAGTAGGAGACGGATGATAAGACTTACCGGCTCCTAATAAAACAAAAGTTAACACAATTATCCAAAAGTTCATCGTGTCAGAGAAGAAACTTCTCCCTTATGAAAACGTGCTTCTGACGCTGATGTGATCAAGGGAACAATTTAATAATGAACAATAATCGAATGGTTCTTACCTGTATATGAACGTTTAAAGAGATGAAGTTTAAGGTGACATAATTGTTACTAAATTTCCCAGCCCATGGCTCCCTAAAGAGACATCTGTTCCCGTTATTGTTTGTTTGATAAATTATTGCTTAAAAGTTTCATAACTTGCAAAAAAATTTTTTTTATTCTCTTTGGGAGTAAAAACAAATTTCAAAGTAAAACCACTTCGGGAATTAATTTATTTTTTCCTTTACAATTTTAAACCTGGCGCCGAAAGTGAACCACCACACAAAAAACATTCTTTCATTGAGTGAACAATATTCTAAGTTCTATACCAAAGATGAAAGTGCTTTTGTCACAAAATAAAACAATTAAATGCCAAAAATCTTAAGCTTGCCTCAACATCGTTGGTATGCTGAGTAAAGCTGGTCTATCGGCATGAAAATGGCGTTCGGTCCAAATACAGTTCGACATTCTTCTTTTATCGGAGCGTCATCACTGATCAATGAATCATTATATTTAGATCGCTTTAGCCTAACTCCTGTTTTATGAAATTTTGTCATCTTAATTTAGGGATCCAAAAAATTGCTACTGATACTACACAAGGAATTGTAGTCCACCTGGTGAGAGTATACAGTTTGGTTGTTAATTAAGGAAGAATGGTACCTTGTACTGTTTCCGCCAATGTATCCATAAGGTGTTTTCAGACGTTTATGTTCTCTATCTATAAAGAGTCGAGCAAAAGGGATCGTTTTCTACCAGAATCGAAGCATTTGGCTCTGTTATTTTCATGACCTTACCCACTGAGTGCCAATTTTCTACAGTCCCTACTTTATACTCTGCTAGTGATCGCCCTTCCCCTCTCCATCACCCTCTGGAAACCTTGTGATCCTCCTAATAATCCTCGGATCCTCCCCTCCCAGGCGATAAAAAATAACTGGTCCCTCTCCTCCCTGAATAATCGTACTTAGACCCCCTCATACTATCCCAACTCCTCTCCCTTCTCTCTTTACCAGGTCCCAACCATTCAGTAGGAGTTCCCACTAGATGGTTGTTCACAAGACGTTTTTCGCCATCCATTGGATAGCGTTATCCACCCTTCAAACAGCTGGAGCCAGATGTGGAGGCTTACTTTCAGGCTTTTGCAGTTTTTGTAAGTGATTTGTCGTCTGCAATCCAGTGTCTGATCGATTGGTATGGAAATGTTGTACGTCCCAAATACACTGCGACATTCTTCCTCTCCCGTCAAAGCATCATCACAAGGTGCGCTGATGAGCGGGTGACAGCACATTTCTGTCAGGCGCGTGTCGTGTTTTGCCATACAGTAAAAACCGCCATCTAAGTTTGAAAGAGGTGAGTCATATGATTATTCAAGTGACCTATATTTAACGCCTGATTTTAGATAATGAGGGCTTTATATGAAATCTTAGTAACGCATGCGCAATTGTTCTTAAGGAGGAGCTTACTTCCTTTCCCACAAACACCAGCTCGCGGTGCGCTATATTCTTTACCCATCACGCAAGGTCTAATGATTGAATACGATAGGCATTATTCCAGGGACATTTTCTGTCGTCTGGATCACCATCACTAATATAACAATTCAAAATATATCCAGCCACTTACCCCTCCCATGTTCTTTTTCCTGTCTACACTTGTCTTTATTAGTTATCTTGAAACGGTCGAAATGTAAGTACTTCCAAGAGGCTATCGGCTGATGGAAGTCTTTAATCTGATCGCCAATTCTAAAGTAGGACCTGCTCAGTGGTTTGAGCTTCAGACGAACTTTGTCAGGGACGCTCTGATCTTGGGCTTTACCGTATAGTTCCACATACATCTTTGAAATATAAGAAATGTGAACACTGTGAAGGAAAGTTCAGTTTTTGAATCATCGTCCTGTGTATCCTTCTATTTTTGATCATTGCTGTCAAAATTTCTCGCGGTTAACGCCTAAAACTCTCTTTAGCGAGTCATTTACATTCACTTCATAGTTTGCTTATATCAGCAGTAGTATGATTGGTTACGCTACCCGCTGTCTATTCCGTTTCATATGATAAGCTCGTTCATACATGCATTTTGATTGGTTCTTTCTTATGATCTATTGGGAGATAGACGCATAGATGATGTCACCATGTGTTTTTTTATCATACAAAACAAATAGATTCTATGTTTCTGTGAGTCTGAACAAAAATAGATCACAGAACATGTAAAATGTGGTAAGGACATCTGTAAGAACCAATCTAATTAAGTAGATGGTGTGTAACGTGAGTAGCACATGCTGTGAGCTATTTTTATCATTATTCAATAAAAGCGTGTGCATGAGCCTGTCTTATAATCAAGTTTTTGACGATTAGTAGATTTAAACTAAACGATTAGATTATTGCTTCTCGATTTCCACGCACGGAAGTTGATTCGAACTTACACTCTTCTACCATCACGCAATTAAAAATCTTAGTGTAAAAATCTAACTGTTAAATTGTAAGGCAATGGGAAAACCATATATACTATCGAATCTGATTAGAAAATAAAGTTATAAACTAAGAGTGAAACGCTAACAGTCTTTTTGTTGGGAAATAGGGATTGTTTAAATCAAATACTCTTCGGCCTTCCATCATGCGATCAGTTATATTTTGTTTTGTTTTGCAAAATTATCAGCATAAGAGTGTATATAACAATGTGCATGCAACTTGTTGTATAGAAATTTCTTAATTTTGCCACCTTCCTTTAACATTTCTGTGTTTATGTACCTTTAGGAGGCGCACATTGTAGCAATCTCTACAGGCCTGATCCATATCCAAGGTAAAGGTCGTGTAGCTTTCGTACAACTCCTTGAACATCTAGGTGAAGGATATGAGCGAATCAAGCACAACAATACTTCGTAGCTAATAAGTAGTGCTAAACATTAACACTGTGGGGATAAATATTGATTATCAAAGGAAAGACAGCGTGTTAAAAAACGCGAGGAATAGAGGATCAGTGCATATTATTCGCCTTGAGGGTGGGAAGGGTGAAAGATGAATTGTTCCGAAGAATATTACAAAGTCTTATGGGCCGGATCAGGTAAATCATATTGTGACACAACCAAAATCCTCCCACCTCTCTCCCAGAGATAAATATTGACTGCAGTACACCGCAGTTAAGAGAATTCACGGAATATCGATATTTTGCAGGAACTGACTCTTATCATCCAACTGCACTAAGTAGAGTAGAAATTAAGCGTTTAAATATTCCGCTACATTGTACAGATATCTAGAAAGTTGGTTATTTTTTACTGTAAAAAGGCCTGTTTGACAGGTTAGCTGCACCTGTGTGAGTTGTAGTAGGGCGCAATAGGTTTAGGTAGGAGTAAAGCTTGAAACACATACCGTTGGATCTTTCGTTTTGTCAAAGGACCATTTGTATATACCAATTTTGGGCTTCTTACTGGTAAAGCAACTTCTAGCTGCCATTTCAATATTTGTTATTTCCAGTAAAGCACGAGTCAGTGAGTTAACTCCTTGAAGATATCCGGTGCCTTTTGCAAGGGTTGCTGCGCGACGTTGAAACCTTGCCATCTTTTCGTCCATGTTCCACAAGGACCGGAACTCAAAACCCTTGTAGAACAAATACAGCTGCCTGGAAAAACTGGTTTCTAGTTCTTCATAGATATTCAAAAGGTTATCAAGAAACTCCTGTCGTATGCTGTCAGCTATTGGGGTATCTGAAAAATAGTCAAGAGAGGTGTTCATAAAAGTTGTAATGATAAAAAAATGTCTACGTCACAAGCCTCTATTGCTTCGAATATAAACTTTAATACCCATTGTTATCTCAACCTGAACACTGAATAACTTGCCACCCACTGAGGAATATGGAAAGAAGACGGAATTCTTAGGGGAGGTCTATCAACCTTCCATTCCTTGAACGTCAGTGAAGTTGTCACTCAGCCTGTACGCGTTAGGGTCAGATATAATTTCCTATTTGAGACTTATTGTAGGTCTTAGCAACGCAGTGTTATTATGCTAAGGCAACAGTGAAGATTGCCACACCGATATCATTAATTTCTTACGTATAGAGCTCCCCTTACGCGCATAACGTCGGAAAACAAAAGATCTCCGGGATCCACTTCTTAAGTTTCTTAAGAACAGAATTCTTACCCTTTGCTTTATTGACAGCTTGAATTTGCTTTTGAGTTTCTTTTAAATTGGCGATGTCGTAATTATATGTGCCAATGTTGTTGTCTAACTCCATGACCTGCGCAATGAGATCAATCCTTGTTCCACCATCGATGAAGAATTTCTCGATTTCGCTCTTAAAAGTTGCCGTCACGTGAGGTGGTAGATCAACATCCAGCAAACAAACCAGGTCTGCTAGAAGCCCTTCCTTGTTTATTTCCAGATCTGCCTGTGTTGGTGGAGAGCGATAAAGCACGAATGTGGTCATAAGCGTGATGGTACTTGTAAGTTTAAATCGGTACGCTTATAAGTCAGTGTTTGATTTAGCTTCATCTCCATTGGATCACCAACATGCCAGCTTTGAGTTCCACCGATAAACGATAGAACAATAAATCATGGTACCCTCATGGAATGTGGTTGTGTTGATTGAGTGACGGCAGTTTTAGAAAACATGCACAATTATGCGACAATGGAAGTGATTCTCTAAGTCTTTGCTTAAAACATTTTAATTAAAAAAAAAGCTATATGCATTATTTTACCTTCATCATATCTGGAACAGATCGTATGTCCATTTTGTCAAAATTCAAGTCACTAGAATCTTCCAGAGCCTCGTACGCCTTTCCAAATTTCAACCATTTTTTTATTTTTGCCTTGTTCTGTTGAAGTGTTCCTCTATTGCACCTCAGAGCCTCATTCTCAATGAGGCTGAAGCTGGAACTAAGTACACCCATTGGATCTTTTCCTCCAACCGCACTCACGAAGCCTATTAATCCCTGGAGCATTGCAAAGAGATGCTGCATGTTTTTTTGTGCTTGTAAATCAACCAGTAGTGCCTTAATCGTCTCCATAGTACCTATAAGGCGTAATTCTACTTGAGCGATGATCTAAACGGGTAAAAAATAAGATTAGAACGCATTCAGCATCAATTGAAACTACCAAAATAATGGAGTAATTGGGTATTATCAACTGAGTCGATAACGTAAATTGGCCACCCTAAAGAGTTTAAAAGCTGACGTTTCGAGCGCTAGCTCTTCGTCATAGCTATTGAAATAGCGGTTGATGAATATCAATTAAAGAAATATACGAAAAATGAAGAAGTAACTAAATAATAAACTATTGAATAAATGAACAAATAAATAGATTAATGGATGAGTGATGGATGGTGGATGAGTAGGTAAATGATTAAATAACTAAATGAGTAAGTAAATAAAGGTACGAATAAATGGATAGAATGTCAGTTTGCGATGAAAGAAATAATAATATTATATTGAAAAAGGTACATCTCAAAAAAGGACAGTTATCTACGAAGTAATCCCTCTTAGTCAGTCCAAATGTTTACGTTTTCATGGCCTAAAACCAAAGCAAACGCAAACAGAATTGAAAACTCAGTTTCATTTACCGTCAACTTACATCGACGTAAAGCCTCTTTTGGCTTTCATCCACTGCTCTTGCCGCTTTCTGTCGTTTGATTTGATTGCTAACTTGTATTCTGGTTGCCTTTGGGATTAACTTCTTCAGTATGTCAGTAATTTCCTCCTTCTGTCTAATAGAACCTGTAACGCTGTTAAAAGCGTCTTGGTATTCCTTGGCGTATTTTTCGATGATTTCAGCGTTTTCCTTTAAGCGTTCCCATTTCATCAGTGGGGCAAACAGTTTATTATTGCCAAATCTGTCGAATCCTTCTTTGCCTAGAAAACCTAGCTTTCTTTTTGAATCTACAGGAATATAAGAGGCATTAGTACCGTTTTGTTAAATCATTTGGATATTTACTTTCTTCAATATGCATCGGAGAAAGAGCAGTAGCGGGTTAACTTTTGAGGAAGGAATAGGTTAGGAATAGGGGAGGAATGGGGGAGGAATGGGTGAGGAATAGGTGAGGAATGGGGGAGGAATGAGGGAGGGTTACTGAAGTCTTGATCAATTTTTTGCCAATAACCGCCGTGCAATCCTTCGAATTACAAATTGCAATCCTCTCGAATGAGAAATGTGCTCCAGCATCCATATTGAACCATAGCCAACATGAAGTCAGAGAACTTCGTTCTTGTTGCAGAGGCCGGCAAGGAGACTGTGCCTTCAAGATAACGAGTAGGAAACTCTTGGTAAATGTAAGAAAGGTTAAGTAGCCCCATTAGAAAACTCACCTTTTTTCATAGCTTTTATACCCTTTCTTCCTTCCATTAGAGTAATCAAGAACTTCAGCACACTTTTGCCTTCCTCGATATCATTTGCCCAAATGCGATCCTCGGCATATCTTTTCATCATTTTCAGCAATGCCAGGGGGTATTTGCTATTTGCATTTTTAGAGAGGCCAGATAAACGAAGATAAGTATCATCTATTTGGCCGGGGGCGCCAGGATCTTCAGCTGAAAGAAAATATTGACATATAGTTACATTGGAAGACAAAATTTTGGTATCTTGGTAGCCTATAGGGTTAGATCTATAACGGAGACCTGACGAAACACATGCTGGGTGATATAGCATTCCGCCTAAAGTCTATATTGAAAATAAAATCCAGCGTCAGAATTGTCCCTCTGACTCGCAAACTTTCTCTACTATGCCACAGAAAAACGTATTCTAGGTGAACGCAGGGGCAAACAAACTTTTATCAGCGTGTTTCAGTCAGTGCGTTAACCGGCACGCTGAACGTTCAATACGGAACACGTGCAAAAAGGCCTGCATGCGATATTATTTGGTTCTCAGAACAGCCCACTTACACGTTGAGTTTAACTTGCGTTAAAAGACGCTGTATCACATTATGATTCCATTAATCGAGAATTTTATGAACGACGAAAGTAAAAACCAAGAAGTATTCGGATTTACTCTTATTATACTTTCTTGGCATCGGTAAATCATTTGCCAGCCAATCGCTTTATGGCGTGATTATTCTTGATTCTTAATGGGCATGCAAATGAGTCTTCCTGGCCTCGCTCTTGGGTAAAAAATTTATTGCTTTTTAACTTGTTGTGAAAAAGAAGAGCAATAAAGTCTGACATTTACAAAAGAGTCCTCCTCGTAGCGTGGCTCATGTATACTCAACTTTTTCCGTCTTTTCCATTATCTCCTCTTCCTCCTCTACGTGCTCTACCCGTGGCACCATCATTTTCACACGAAGTGTGACAGGAGGGGTTCATAGGGTCAAACAGATTAGTTGAACATGACTCCCTCATTGCACATCGAAACCCTGTTCCTCCAAAACTTCCGAGACCCCCTGAGGAGAAGATGAAATTGAAACGATGGTGAAGTCATAGATATTCTGTGAAGAATATAATTAGAATACACTGGCATTGAACGAAAAGCTAATTTCTAGAAACAAAATAGAGCCATCATCCTTCCAGGGTCCTCCCGACCTCAATTGATCCGCCATCTTTAAGATGAAGCAAGCTCTCCCAGATTCTTAACGCCGTGCTTACGCAATTAAAATTTGCATATTGATTCCCCACGTTAATTGCTCATATGCTTGGCATATCCAGGAGTGATAAGAAATGATGGAAATGTCAGTTATCTGTCACTAGGTGAGACAATTCCCCCAGAATCCCCAAGAGTCTCCATCGAGAAATCAAATCTTGGACCATCAGACTTACGGGCCAAGGAGGGAACTGTTAGTTGAAGTTGATGTTACACTGGGACCACTTGTGAAAAGAGTCGAGCGCGTAGATGAATAAGGATGGAGAATTTATAATGTTTACTATCATGGTCAAATAAAGAAAACTGTTATTTTCCTTTTCTTTAGCAAAGAAAAATGAGTCACTCTAAAAAATAAATAAAAAAGAAAACAGTAGTACAAAACAGAACGAAAGCAAAAAGGAAACAAAACTGTGCTCCAGGAGCGAAATAGATTTAAACAAACATACATTTTATCACAAATAAAGGAATGCCCGAGGGTTCTTTTTTTATTAGAGGCCATACGTACTAATGTGTGCTGATTTTTTCAATGCCCCTTCCCTCCTCTCCCCCGTTCATCTGACTCCCCCTCCTATGATAGGTATGTTACGTCACAACCCCCTATCTGCCTGCTAATCTTGAAGTCCATACCTATTCCTCCTTTTCCTTTTACCGGCGCTGCACCTCCTCGGCCAGGACATGTTTTTAGCTTGATACTTCCTTTTATTTCATTCACATATAGTCTTTGTTTTCCAGCTTCGCCACCGTCTCCTATTTATAAAATATATATATGGAAGTAATTACTATTATTACAAAGTGAAACTTTGCCCCAACAGCGCGCGCTTTCATTGGTTGCTTTAACTTTTTCACTCCTATGAGTGACCAAGACAGAATTTCTCCTTACAATATCAATACAAAATCAAGAAGACAAGAGATGAGAACCAAGAAAAGTATCAATTAAGGGATTAATAGTTGATCCAATACCAAATTCTCAGAAATAACATCGGAAGAATTGTACTGCAGACAGTAAGGAG